TTCACTGCATTGAGGGTGAACTAGACTTTAGTTTATAAGAACGACTATCTCTCTCTGCTTTCTTTGGGATAAGAGAAGGTAGCCAAGCAGTCTCGCGAACAGGCGTGCTGACGAAACTTCTTAAACTGGTTTCTGGCAAATCTGATTGAATGGTTTGCGGTTCTTGGTATACCTCCTGGCAGAGGCCCGTTGCGCTATGTACTGTATACATGTGTTGTCTTGATTATTGAACAAAAGTACTCAGTATCTATCTTTTTATCGTCGCTTTGAACATTATTATCGTCGTATTTCGTCCCCCAATTGTCATTTGGCTCAAAGAGCTTCCCTACAGTTATGAAAGATCCCTAAGATGCAACGCGAGGATCTAGCTATTGTAGCTCCTTAGTAGCTGAGCTTCTACCACTCTGAACTTTATAATGTAACCAGTGTCTATATTCCCGCTGGAATTGGTATGCGGGCTGAGAGCTTTTATATATACAAGAAAGAGGGCATTCACTTTCTTCGCCGGATCTTCCTTGGACCCAGGAGTGCTTTCTGGTTAGCTTGGACTTATATATCTCTCCCCTATTTTTGTGCTACCAATCTTGGTATAAATTCTTGACATTTATGGAATGGCCATGAATGATATGACGAAGTTAGAGGGGGGAAAGGAAAGAAGGAATCGAAACTTTGCGACTTTCGACACGGCAGATCTGAGAAGATTTTTCTTGTGCGAATTCGCGCAGTTATTATCCAGCGCGCTTCTTTAGTGCAGGCAGCTCTGATGTATGGAATATTCGGTGATAGCAAATTATGATCGCAACGATGATGAGAAACAATAGCAAGAATACATGACAACATAGTTGGGGTTTAATGCCTGGGGTACTCCTCAAGCTCAACGTTCCATGTAGAAAATTCAAAGTTTCTTGCAGATGGCAATGATCAAAGCACGAGAGACGCATTTTTATCAGGTTCCATTTCTCTTTATTTCCATGATTCGCAGGAATTTGAGTCTCTTTCTCTTGTATATATACGCAAAAATCGAGATCTCAGATGAAACTTCAGAGTACCTACTTTAGTACGATTCATAGACTCAACAATTTGTTAGCTTAACTTCTCCTCGCCGGATCGCTAGACCTGATTCATCTTTTGATGATTCACACGCATATGCGGGTTGGGTTTCTCATTGTCTCTTTACGAAGTCTTGAAGTAAAACTCTATTCACTCATTGTTTGCCGCGCTATTGGTATAAGTAGCACATGCATTGGAAGCTTTTCAGACTCTGAGCTGTGTTTCCAAACACACAAGTCGTATCACAAGACGCAGAAGAGCGTACTATTTGCTAACTTTGATGATAGACCTACAGAAAATTTGAGAGGGACTCCTAAATCCCTTTTTTTCATTCAGTTAAGATTCAAGCACTATTATCGGTATGAATACTTATTGTCACTTTGTTTTATATCTAGGCTCATTACCTTTCCATCCACATGATACTATACATCTAAACTTCAGATGAAATACAATAGCCGCACAAATCGCGTGTAAGAACCACATCTCGTTACTATTTTCCCTCGAAGTATCTAATATATCCTTCAAATTGACAAGAGAACCAAGTCATGACAATTTCTCATCATTGATAATCTCACAAATCTTGAAAATTTGAAAATGGCCATGATTTTCGTGCTTATATATAAGCCACCGAACTTTCACTCCACATTCTCGGATATTCACTCGGATTTCTTAAAAGACTACGAGGCACATATAAAGAGCTCTGGTATCTTACCCAAGTCGTCAAATATAGAGTCCAAATCCTAAACATGAATTCAGGGACCTTCGAGGTAGTATACGTACTCCTGCTAGTGAAGCCTTTGGAAAAAACATGAGCTGGAGGTTCTGGCTCGGGCTTTGTATTTGGTGTATATGAGTTATTATTTATTGTCATTTTATTACTGTCAGTACTGGCAATATAGCAGCGGTGATGGTTTGACATAAATGAGACTTATGTGATTGTATGGGATGTCGTATAACGAAGTGAGGTTTAAGCGCTCTCGTATTCGGGTCTGGCCCTCATATTCAAGCTAGTTTTCAGTACCTCTTCCTATGTATTCATGAAATAGTTTACCCGAATGGTCTGCGCTGCGTTTGTGGAGCCGATCTCAGATCGTTGTTGGCCGAATAAAGAGGTCAGAGATCCTACTTGTAAAGACTTTTGTGAAAATGTTCAACGACTAGCTATCTGTTGTGATTGACTTCTACCTCTCTGACCAGATTCCCTAAACAATGAGGCACATGCAAATCCACATGTGTTTACTCATTCACCCGCCAAACGCCCAGGTATTTTAATATTCGTTGGTTTCTCACTCTTCGTTCCTATAAAGTAAGCAATGCTCACTTGAACTTCCATTTCTATTCCTGGGGGACATTCCCACATATCATTCATCTAAAACCTATGGAGTTTCAGGCACGAGACATGACTTACTCTCCTTTTTCGCACAAGTGTATTGAGATACGCGCGATCTGCGTCCACATAGGAACTTTTGACAAGGTGAGATATCATAGTATAGCCTCCAATCTCAAACGTCGCCAATGAAGTTTACTAAACTTTAGACAATAAAGTATGTAGATTCTTCGGTGATAAATTCTTTCTCGAGTGGTGACCGTAATACCCAAGTATGCAAGAATCAAGTGCTGATGACCACCTAAGCGGGTATATAAAATTCGTTTACTGAGAAAAAGGATGCAATGAACTTTTACTAGATATGATGAGCTAGCTATATACAAATTTACTTGAATTGCTATTGCTCCCTTGATACCAGTGCTCGAAATATCTATGCACAGGGTCTTGTGATCATATTTAGTGGTACTTGTGTGAACAGTGAATGATTCACTACCCTCTACTTTCATTTCCACTCTCCATTTCCCTCCTTAAGTTATAACTTGATATTTCTCGGATCTTCTTTTCCTGTGTAGACTCAAGTTCTCCTCAGATCTCCGAAGATCATAATGGTCGCGGTAATTGGATATTCGTGCAACAGCTGAAAGAGTAGCGCTTGTGTCACTGTCATTTTCCATAGAAAGGATCACAAACTTAAGATTATGGTTACTTGACTCAATTTTACAAGTATGAAACTCAGTTGGCAATGTGTAAAAGTTCAATAGACAGTTCAAAATCAACACCTCACGGTCTTTTGTGCCTTGTGTTCATTGTTGGCAATGAAGTGTTTCGTTTGAGCTGGGTATAACCGTATTTATAGGCACTACTTATCCGAAACCTTTCTTCTCCTGTTTCTAGGTTGATGTCCGAGCAGGAGGCGGGTATTTGCTATAGAATGTGGATGGCGAATTGGATGCGATATTAGATAAAGAAGAAAGACCTATAAGAAGGAGTGAGTTCTTCCTTTTCGAGTCAATACCGAGAAGTAGTTTACTGCTAGAGATCGCGGCAAAGAGAATAGGAGGGGTTAGTGATTGAATCTGTTCGTCTACAGAACTCTTCTATTCAATTTCCGCCGATATTTCCAAGAAGCAAAAAGAAGTACAAATGCTCAAAAGTTGAAATACATTGTTGTCAATTGCTTGCGTAGCGGATACATTGCCGCTCCTTGAGAAATTCAAACGGAAGATTATTCGAGAAGATAAATGGAACACTATTTCGAGAGTTGATGGTGAGAGCTTTACCGTGTACATTCTTGTCTGAGAGCTTGAGATGTGAACTACGGCCAACAAGCAACGGAGAAACAAGACGCGAATTTTTGTAGTATTCCCATCTTACTTGTCAGACTTCCACATTTCAAAGAGTAGGAACACGCGGTGAGTATTTAAGCACTTCAAGATATTACTCAGCATTCTACTAAGAGAATAGCTCTACGTTGTTTGTCGACACGTTGATTCACCCCTCGATGGTTCACATTTTTTAAAGGTCTAGCGGACTCTCCACAAGCCCTGCCCTTTTCTCCCCCTAGGCAGTACGGCTCACTCTATCCAAATCGTTTGGATGTTGAGGCCGCACTACTGCTATATTTTCTATTTCATCATAATCTGTGGACATTTCCATGCGTTACTGAGACACATTTTCCTCATAGAAATGATCCTAATAATAAAGTACTTCTTCCATCTTCTCCAAAAACATGTTTACTTCGCTCACTCCATCATATTTATATTGATTCTTCATTGTTCCCTTGACATCTGTCAGCGCCTTTTCAAGAAAGGGCTCTTCTATCGCGTTATGTCTGATAATTTTGAAATTCTACCGACTAATGACAGGCCCTGTCATATTCCATTTCTCTCGGCAGAAAACCTAACAAATTGATCCATCCTCATTTCCCATTATCTCTACATGTAAGTACTGAATGTTGATGCTTGAAACTGCTCGACTACATTTTGTGCCGGCTCTTCATCTACAAACTCGACTCTCCAAACCATCATATTCAATCTTGATACTAAATTTGCCAGGTCAACGAGCCATCCCATGCCAAAGCAGCGTGAAATCTCGAAAATGAATTGTTCATGTCTTCCCACCAACTTGATTGACTAAACACCGATGGCGCGACCCCCCGCACAGGCATACTGTATGTCTTTGATACCCACGGATAACAACTCGTAGAGAAAATCCAGTCTGTTGCAAAAAGGGTTCTCAATAATCGAGGGGCAGAGTTGGGGCAGGATTTATTGTTGCGGTGTACCCCAAGGTTGTAATTCAAAGCCGGCGAGATGTAAGTATATCGCTCGACCATTGTCAAGATCTATTGCTGTCGTTTACCAATGAAAAGGCTCGGGCTAGATGAAATACCTTTACAAGATTGAATGAAGTGTTATGAACACATATGAAGTAAGGAAAAACACTATATGTCACGAGAACCAAGTAGAATCTTCGATATCAAGACTCAATGTTATTTTGGGGAGTGTGATGTAGTGTTTGTTATTGAGAGTTGAACTATTCCAGGATAATCCAAGTTTTCAATCTTAGAAGTCATTCGTCATGAGCACATCGAGCGTCCCTTCCTCCACACTTCGGACCAGAGTCATGACCAATAACCCTCATCTTCCGGCTCTGTTCCAGATCCTCTCATCTCCGTAGCTTCCTGGCATCTCTAACATCGTGTTAGATCATGGTAAGCTAAAGAACGCAATAAGCAACGTTTACCTCACATAGCCCTTTCGTATCTTCGATCTCCTGTCTCAGAAAGATACCACCGCAGTTTTCCGATGGCTGTTTGCATGGAATGTCTATCGAAGGGCTTTGGTGAGTGCACTCAAATAATCGGATGACTTGATAACACATCGTGATTGCTTGGAAGGTGTCTCGCAGCGGCCAAGAAGAAATCCTCGTCGGTGATATCAGTTGTAATAGCTGATAAATGATGGCTCGCAAGACAGGCTGGACTCTGTGGAAATGAACAGAAGTGGGTACATGGGACCTCTCCGCAAATGTATTCACAACCCAGATTTTGTTTACTGTGGGACAAAGACGACAAGCTATTTGCTGAAGGATTGTTCTTCTTTCGGGACTGAAGAGCAAACGAGCCGTTTTATATCTTGCTACCGAAAAGTGCGCTCAACTTTGGTCGCATCAAACAAAGTTTCAGTTTTTGATAGCCGTTCCCTTGTGTGTCAAAATGACTTCCTTTTCATTCCGATCACCACCAGCATACTGCATCTCAACTTCTAAGCCTCCCAGTCCTTCATCAGCTGCCTTTCGGTTCCACAACATCTGCATGATCTTTCCGTCCGCTCCGCACAGTACATAACCCATCGGCCATTGGCTCCTGCCTAGAGCTTCTCTTACACCTTTGGTTGCTGCTTGCTGCGAAACCAAAAATGCCATTACACTAGATGTTCTCCATCCTTGCGGAGCACCTACAAAGGTCCCTTCTAACTCTCGAGCTTGAGCTGGTTTCATTTTGGACGCAAATGCTTTGCATTGTATGAGGACTTTTAGTGGTTGTGGAGCTGTATGCAATGACCATGTTCCAAGAAGATCGATACCACAGTCTGATCTTCCACCAACTTGCCTAAGAGACATTCCTAATCGCTCCAATGCTTGTTTAACTATATATTCATAATGAGTCCCTACGTATGTAGTACTGCCTGTGTCCATGTTATTGCGTAATGCATATTCTAGAAAACTGGGCAGATCATGATGTTCTGCATTCTGTAAGTGAGGATACGCTATATCATCCACTTCGGCATTAGTTTTAGATGCAGTTGCTGTTGCGCTGTTTGCAAAACATCTGCGTGATGATTGCTTGCCCCATCGCAAGAAACGCAGATGAGAACGTGCTAAAAACATGGAGATTGGCTGAGTTTGCTAGTATCATGTGACTAGCACAATCCTTCACAGCGTGGTTCGTCCTAAGTAATGCAAAACAGATGTAAAAGCGGGCTCTTATTGGGTACCTGCATACACTCTTTCGGAAAGAAAGACGAGCGGCAGGAATGAACATGTAGTGTGAGAATGTTTCGAACATATTTTTACCATTTCTGATATCGACGCTCGGAAGCCGGAAATTATGTAAGGCTACGGCCGAGTTAGCTAAACCATTTATGGACATCTCTCCGCATAAGATTATCTGCAAGGCTGACATCAATTCGTGTAAGCTCTGGAGCATCTGTTTGGAGATCCTACAAATCCTACAACACTGATTTCCCTTTCTCTATCAGCAACAAGTCATGGCTGATCGATTGACACAACTTCAAGAAGCGATTGATGAGGTCTATTTTATTATTAAAAAGTATCCACGTCCAACCACTGACATTATTTAGCTCGCTCTTCAATTCGTCGCATCGCTCGTATGGGTTAACAAGCACCATGACTACCAAACTCTCAGCCCAACCGACATGGTCCGAAAAGATACCAAGAAGGACGAATCAGGCGAAGCATTGCCAAATGAAGACGGCTGTGAGATTGCCAGCCCCTATTACATGCCAATTTTGACTCATCCTTTTACTATAGTAGAGCCATTACCTGCGGACAAATTTAAAGAAGGCCAGCTAGAATTAGCACGAGATCTTATCATCAAGGAGCAGCAAATCGAAGTGCTTATATCTGCACTACCGGGTCTAGAAGACAGCGAGACCAAGCAGCACCAGACGATTCTAAGATTGGAGCAAGAACTCAAAGAAGAAGAAGAGAGGAGAAGAGAGGCTTTGAAGGAAAAAGAGGCCGTTCTAGCCAGGTTGGAGGGAGTTATAAGGAGTGTGAAGAGACCGTGAATCGACCGCTGTTGAGCCCTTTATTTGAATAAATTTATACCTGCAGAATTCGGCGTTTGGGTAAGCACAAGGCGTTCGGGAATGTGGAAGTGGTCAGAGAATGAGGTTTTGAGGATAAAAAAGTCTGCGATCGAGCGATGTGTCGCAAATCAAGACAGTCGACTGTGCTCAGCTTGTTACGTTCGTATAAATACACAATGTTATCACCTGGTAGGACTGTGGCTATGCAACCCTGGCTGATGGAAACCAGTGTGCTTTTTAGAAAATAGGAATACTGCGTTATAAAATTGTGAAATGAGGATAATTGAGATAGTTTCAAAGTAGCTCAAGAAGGTATATGTATTATGTATTGATCTAGTCTATTCTAAGGAAGAACGAACGTGGGATTCTCTCTGATTGCCCGCTTTGATAATGAGAACTACTTCCCTAGGGAATGTTGGATACTTCTTGTCACATCATCGATGCTTTATGTAGTGGTGAAAAACTGTGGGTAGACAGTCCTCAGTTCTTCCAAAGTGCTGATTTGGAAATTTGCTACTGGCTTAGCAGGTGATTTCACACCCTCCTCAACCAAGTGAGCTGCTGTCCAACCAAGTTTATAAGCCGCCTCGCAGTTTATGAGCGAGTCATCTGAAATGTGTGAGTAGTAGTATGATGAAATCGGACTCAGAAAGAACCTACCGACAAAATAACAATCTTTAAACTCCTTGACTCCAGCTTCGCTCATGGCCTTTTCGAACGATTCTTTGTAGGGTTTGCAAATCAATTTTTCCTGAGAGTAATCACAGTATGTCATACCCTCAAATAAATCTTCTACCCCGAGTAGACGGACGACACGTTTTCCATGGGTAACATAAGCATTGGTGAATAGCCAGAGCTTGACTTTGGACCGATCAATATCCTCGAGTAGCTTGCGGAGCTTTGGATCCACTGAAAGAATGCTTTCTAATGGGACGGCATCGTCTACTTGACGATTGTATTCCAGAGCATCAATCTTGTGGTGACGTACTAAACCTTCGATGGCGAGACCATAGGTTTGGTAGTATTCTTGATGGAGCTTATAGGCATCTTCTCGACTGAGCTCAAGATGTTTCATGAAATAGACATCGATCAAGTCGGTCATGTGGTCGTGAACCTTTTTACCTACAGAGTGTATCGCGTCAGTCAATACATTGGAGGATTATGTGTAGAGGTGGCAAGATAGATGTTCGTACTCTTAGAATATAGCTATAAAAAAGATCAGCAATCATAAGCTCATATCAACTATAAGTATTAGCTTACACAATTATCGATATCAAAGAAGAAGACAGGTCGTGAATCCCCCATTTTGCTGGTGGTGAAATGAGAATTAATAGGGGTAGGTATAGAGGAAGTAGTAATTGGTGATCTAATTGCTCTAGTAATGGTGTATGTGGGATGTGAAAGGAAAGTGCGAGTTCTAGCACATCTGAAGATGCTATACATTGATTAACAAAAACTAAGAGAATGTGGAGAGTGTTCGGGTTATAACAGTATGTATCTACATCGCAAAGAGTCATTCGGGGAACATCGATGCCGGCCGATCGGATATTCACTTTAGCACGGATGCTGTATCAATTTAATGGCAGAGTCCACGCTTAGTCATACAAGCCTGTCTGCACCTACCCATTATTTTTCTAGCCGACATAATTTCTCGACCTTCTTAACATTCAACCTTGCTCCTTAAAATATCGACACGAATAATCATTCAGACAACGCAACTTTGGCATTTATAGTCAATCATCAATTCATTTATTAGACTTAATACTTGCATACGCAATAAGTCAATTTCTCGTATTGTTGATCAATTTAATTGCTCACTATTTTCAAACATGGCCCAAGGGGCCGTTGCTTTTGTGCCAACCAATGGCACAAATGGTGTAACACTGACAACAGAGAATATTCGTGAAATTCGGGAGTACGAAAAGATAATTTCATTTCGAGATGCTGTTCTTGCAGGAACTCATCCTCGCGTCAAAGTCCCTTCTCATATTGTAGGAGTGGGAAAACAGAGCAGTCTAGCTCGTAATACATCATCACCTAACACATCAGCAATACGCGCAAATGCGCAAGCAGCCATCGACTCGGCACCATCTTCGAAGAGTCATTCACCAGTCAATTATCGTGCTGCCGCGGCAAACAGCCACATTGCGAAACAGTCTGTATCTACGATTTCTAATAAATCTGTGAAAACTTCAGAGATTAATCCAATTTTGTTGGAAAAATCTGATGATCTTATAAAGGCGGAAATACAATTGCAAAGGCAGAGATTGGAAAGAGCTCTTAGGGAACAAATGGACCAACATCGTTTGGCCCAAAAAGCTTTGCTTCAGACATCTGAATCCCTCCCCAATTTTGATCTTACCGAAGTTTTGCAAAAAGCTCTTGCTATAGTTCATCCCGCCACGGCTCCAGAAGTTGAACCTTCTGTGGGTGCTGGAAGTGACTCGTTTGATGAAAACTCTTTCTATTCTAGTCAGCATGATACCCCTGAGCCATCCAATTCATCGCATAGCCACAAGCCTACCCTTAGCGGGCAAGTACGCGGTGAGGTTTCGATTGAAGAATCGGCAGCGCAAACTGATCCTACAACCAATGTTGAAGACAATGATGTGGTTATGACTGGCAGTCTACTATCCCAAAATAATCATCTAGAATCTCGGACACATTCACAATCACAGTACCGCCCACTAGGAATCCAGAACAATCATTCTGCTGAACAACAGTCTACAAATGATTTTCGAGGGAAGGTTGTCCAAGAACCACCATATTCCAAGGGTGTACCACGTAGAGTATCGGGCATTGTTGATCTTTCTCAAGACAGTACAAGTACAGGCTCTGAAAGCGCAGGTTCTCAGCAGATGGGTGATGGAGTGGCCCCGGCAAAGGCATCCCAAATGGATTTGCAGCAACCACTTAACACCCGAGCCCATAATCTATCTCCCCTAGCACCACAACCTGCTCGTGTCTCACCATTGGCTACTGCAAGAGATCCCCCTATCTTAAGAGACGCCCTTCCCGTTAATGAGGCACAACAACCTCAAGTTGCTGCGCTCCGAAATGCAGCCTCAGGTTTATCCAGTGCAGAAAGTTCCCCGAATGGACCCAAGATTTCAGAGAAGAAGAAAGGAAAGAAGAAGAAGCGTAAGGCTAATGATAGTGGCCAAACCGATACACCGGATTCTCCATACATCAAGGCAGAACCCCGTTCACCATCCCCATTTGCTGCTGTACCTCTACCACGACCACCAAAGAGACAGCGACAGTCAGGACAATACGCGTCAGAACTTAACTATGATGAGCCTAGATATGAGCCAGTTGAGGTGATTCCGGAAGCCACTTCCAAAAGATATGAAGAAGTTCGAGCTCCCGTGCGTTATGAAGGAGGTTACCAAGATCGATATGCAGAGATTCGACGACCAGAACCCATATATCAACGCGTGGAGCGCGATGAGGTCGAGTATCAAAGGGTTGATAGCGGAGGACAGTATACAAGAAGACCAGCGTCTCCAGTTTATGCTTTACCATACTCTCGGCCAATTAGAGAAAGCTCTCACGCAATCGTGGACCGACAAGTTATTGAGGAACCTAGATATTACGCCGAAAGAGAACGACCTGTAGTGTCCAGAATGAGTGTCCGCCCAGATGCTGATCGCGAAAGGTCTCGATCGCCGATTATGAGAGAAAGAAGATCACCAATTCCAATGGGACCTCCGCGTCAACCTGTTAGGATCATTGTTGATGCATATGGCCGTGAGTATATTGATCCCACTCCCGCACCTTCAATGCGCCAATCAGTTGCTCCCATTGCCAGAAGGCATGACGATGGAGAGCTGTATTATGAGCGTGCCCCTGTTAGAACAATGTCTACTCGCCCACCAGTAGAAACATTTGAAGAGGATGGAGTGTTATACAGAAGAGCCTCTCCCATTGTTACTGCCCCCCGACGTGTTATTACACAACCAGAGTACGCCCAACCCGAATATCGCTCATATCGTGAACGGGAATATTCAGTTCGCCCAACTCCAATGGGACCACCAGGCGAAGAATATGTAAGAGTCAGAGCTCAACCTGAGCGTCGTCAAGCCAGTCATTATGATGAAGCTCCTCGTGAGTATTTGTCTCGACCACAAAGCGTGCGACCAGAAGCCATTAGATATGAAGTTCCTAGAGAATATGTGGGAAGACTTTCAAGTGTCCGACCTGATGCTTCTAGGGAGTATGCTTCAAGCGTTCACCCTGAAGTCCGTCGCGAGGTTATGGCACCTCCTCGTCGAGAATTTAGCGTTCGTCCCACGGAAATAATTCCTCGCAGTCATCAGCCTGCAGCAGCAGAAGGAGAGAGATATTATGAGGTAGAGAATCAGAGGCCGGCTATTCTAGAGAGGCCTCGGGAACGCGAAGGTTCGGTGTTCATTTATGCAGATGATGTACCAAGGAAAGTTTACCGCTGAAACTGGCAACAATCCATGGAAGCCAAGACGGAATGTAGCGGTATTCAACCGGCAGTCTGTTCCGATTCGATTGTGGCTGGTATCATACTACAAGGTGTGTGGGTGGAGAAGCATGAAGGGATAATGTGGCGTAATGGGCGTGGAGGAATTTTGTGTGGTTTATTAAACAGCAGTCTTGGATTGGATATCAGGCTTGTAAATCATCAGTGCATTCAGAAGCAAGTAATTAAAAATATGACATTGTACAACTATCAAAATGCCCAAAGTCGTAACACATTACAGTCAATCAATCTATGATTAACATAAAGATTTCCATGATTGAATGAATGCAAAACCGGGGAGCTATTTTAGTAATCAAACCAGACCAGAGCAAACATCTCTCAACGAAGAACCTTGCAAACGACAGTTGACTAACACAGCATGCTTTAAGTCTTGAACCAAGCACGAGCAAGCATTCACCACTAACAAGACAAAGTCCGGGGTCTAGACCGAACTTTGAGTTTGGGCACTGAGTAGGTAGTAGGTAAGCTGTAGGTATTTCCGTTTTTGGGCGTTTTTGTTTATGGAGCACACACACACGCTGGAACTGGTGGATGGATAGAAACAAGAAGACCAAGTCGTGTTTCAAATGGGGTTTTGATGGAATATTTTCCTGAGGGTTTTATGGAGTGCAGTGGGGATTTTATGTGGATTGATGGATTGATGAAAGATGGATCTTTTGATTCAATTTACTTTTGGGGGCAAAGGAAGAAGCAGAAGGAGGAAGAGAAGGGGATTAGTAAGCGGTGTGTGCTAGGTAAGGTGACTGAAGTCATTGTCATGAGAATCATGAGATGTTGAGGCGAAGCAAAAGCTGGGTCCAGATTTATTAGTTGGTAGTTGGTCGGTAGGTACTAAGTACCTAGTGGATGAGATGGGTGAAGTGGATGATCATTACTGTGATGGGGATGTAGGATAGATGATCTCGAGAATATGCGTGTGTTTTTTCTTTTGTTTTTTCTTCTCTTTGGAAGTTTGAGGATTGGGCATTGGAGGGGTTTCTACTCGAAACTTGGAAAGATTTCATTGAAACGGATTTGGGTTTTGTGGGGGGGGGGAGAGGAAGAGGGTTTTTTGTGGTTGTGGTGGATGGGGAGGTAAGAAAGGAAGGAAAGGATATTGAAGTTATGTTTATTATTATTATATCTTCTTTTGTTGATATAATTTATTGTGTATGTTCTGATATGATATGGTACTTGAATGATTGTAGAGAGTACTCTCAAGTTTGGTGTAATAATGTTCGTATCAGAGAGTACGTAGGCAGGTAGGTGGGTGGTGGTGGTGGTGGTGGTGGTGGTGGTGGTGGTGGTGGTGGAGTGACGGTTGTTAGAGCGGCAATGGTGTGGGAAATTGGTGGGAGGTTTGCAAGTCACAGTTGGGTGATGTCAATTTGAAGTGACGATAGTATTGAGTATTGGTTAAATCTATCGATGCACCTCGTGATATGATATCAGCAATTAATAAGAAGCAATGAAGCAATGAAGCAATGAAGCATTCAAAAGGCTCGTTTATTATTGCCTACATACATCCATTATCTATCTGGACGTACCTAGTCATTCATTACCTGCCTGTCTAGTATCTATCTCTCCATGAGTGTCCCATCTACCAAACAACTACACATAATACCGTACGATGTTGGCTTTCCTTGCCTATCTTACCACCTTAGCTACCTCCAGAGTACACCTACCCAGGCATATTCCCACCCATCCATTCATTCCATAGAGCAAGTTCTCGCGAGTGGCCTACGGGTGTCGATCCTACCACTACTGTTCGTCATTGACTCCAGCTCGTCCAGTCTAATCAACAGCTACCCAAGTAGCATAGTATTTGAATGCTCTCTCTTGCCTCGTTGTTCATTCAGCTATACTGGGTCTTGGCTTCCTAGTTCCTTAAAGATTCCTTTCTTCTCCAATCCAATCAGATCAAGAAAACTTCAAGCTTTCTCACTATTCACGCTCAGGCATTTATTTATCTACTTGCGATACAATTGAGGTGGAATTTGGCTACAATGCTGGGATCTCGCACAAAAGTTTTCAAACTTTCCCTTATCCATTGACCGAAGTCGAATCAGATTGAAGTATGAGACTTGAGTGGATTGCCCACATCCTTCTTTGTATCCTTTGTGCATGCATCGTTGTGTCAAACGTACTTACCGGCACATTAACAAGAAAAGTCAACCCTCGAACACACGAACGAGAGCTCAAGCTCACTCACTGCCCTTGCTTACCTCGCCTCATACGATATTATCTGCATTGCGACTTCACCAATTGAAGGGCGAATTGGATAACAACGATAGATCTATAACTATCATCGCGGTTGGCTGGGTTGTACGATATTGGAATAGTACGAAAGTGTAAAGAGGGACTTGTAAATAGCTTTAACCATATATTTCTCTATAGACTGGCTATAGGACACCATCACCTCTTTGAACCACCTCCATTATCGTCGAACCATATCTCTTGGAACATTCTCTCCACACACACCATATAAACTTTTACCACTGCGAACAACGGATTGAACCAACCAGAGGCTAACATCCAATACTCGAGCCTTTTCCTACTCCTCCTCTTCCTCCTCTTGTCCTTCTCCTCCTCCTCCTTCCTCTTCTTCACCAATGTTGATACCCTCATACTACATATCCGACAAGTTTATTATTATCTTTCGTGCCTCCTCTACATCTATACTACGTTGTACTTCCCTGGCTGTATTGTACCGTTTGTTCAGATAAGATACGATTACTGTGCGTATCTGTTCCTTTGGTGGTGTGTAACTATTTCATTTCCTCAAACCCTCTTTGCTGGTCCCCTGTCCTGTTCACATATATATGTACCCAACAATTCCAGAATTGATGAGACAGCGATGCAATTGTCAATAATCGGTACTTTGTACATCACACTCAACTGTACTTTGATTCACTCCAATCTATCTCTCCTCACTGCACTGTACTTTGTTTTCTGTCCCATTTCCCCTTTCCTTTAGCTCTTCCCCCATCTCTTCATTTCACTACTATACCAAACTTTCAATCGTTACTACCAGGTACATCCAATCCAATTCGTACCTACATCCTACTCGATCTCTCAAACCCAATTGCTTTGCTTTACTTTGCTTTACTTTTGCTTTGTCTCTGGCTGCTTTAACACTCTCATTCTTCGATTGCCCACTTCGATTTCAATCATCATACAACACAGACCACTCATCAGCCCCAAACTCTTCGCTTGTCATTACCGAACCGGTCTGGCTCAATTCATCCAGCTTACTTACTGATCAAAAGCAGCAGGAGCCCAGTCTTTCAACTTACATTATCTCTGGTACCCCAAATATCTTATTTGGTCTGCTTCCCTTTGACCATCTTCGACCCTCCACAACTCAACCCAAATTTGTGTGGTCGAGTTTGTCAACAACGAAACACACAACAAGAATGAATAAATTATCAAACCTCGGTCGCGATATGAGGCACTGGTCAGGTCCAGGATTTGGCATGTCGCGACAAAATCAAATGAATGGCATGTCCTCAATGCCGCCTCACACAAAACCGACTCCTTCACCAGCGCTGGCACCAACCCCTGCGGACTCTACTATCCACTATTCATTCAACATCCCCTTCGCTTCCGATCTCGCCGGTCCAAATACTGAGGATATTCTTTACGCCACGGCCAATGCTGTTCTGAGATGGACACATCCCAAAGACGCGCCTGATGACATTCCTGTATGGAAGTTGCCGGTACACACCTCAAATATCGAAATTCTCTCGAAACTTTGCGCAGCTATCACCAATGGACCTTTGCCTATCTTGGCTGACGTCGCTGTCACCACGCCTAAACGTCCCACTGCCTCCCCAGCACAGGTTACAACCGTTACTCTCTCGGGAAGCCCGGAATTGGTACACAAGAGCAGAGAAACGATCTTAAATGATACCCCTATCGCCTTGGTATGGTTCATACTGTTGTCCCCGGTGATTCCAACGTACTAATGTCACTGTAGCGTTGTGCAGTCATAGATGTTGACGGAGACTTGATTATTGATTCTGCGATCTCAGGCTTGAGACAATCTGTCGTTGAACATTTGGACAAAGTTGCCGCGTTCTGCGGTGTTGATATCTTCTTATTAGGTCCAAAATTTCCTTCGTTGGCCGATGGACTCAGCAGCAATGGTGAGGCAGGAAGGGATCAACGCTGGAGAATAGCAGTCTATGGAGATATGGAGAGCGCTGAACACGGAAAGACTAGAATATTGGTCTACATTGACAGACTAGTACGTTTATGTGTATCAATCAAAGTGACACTGTATACTGACATTTTTTGGTTTAGCTTGGTCGTGTAGCTGATGTAGCATCTCTCGAGCTTTCCCTTCACACTGTCATATGTGGACGATCCCGCAAGAACATCAAGATGATCGAATCCTCTACTAACACGGCTATCTATTTTCCACCTCCCTTCTCACAGGTTTACAAGTATTGTCCAGAGGGTGCTCAGCGACGAAACCCCGAGGAGATTTTCATTACTGGCGACAGAGCAGAAAACATAGCCGCAGCCAAAAGCAGAATCCACGAGCTTGTTAGAATGACGAGGCTCTTCATGAAAGATGCCCATGTGACTGCCGCTAAGATCGACAGCATTCTCTTGACTAGAATGGACAAGGTTCGTAAAATTATGGAGACAAACGGAACATTTATCCAGTTCCCAGCTCTTGCTTCTCAACGTAGCATGATCAGAATCCAAGGAATTGAAGGTCTCCACGTGGAACGAACAGTCCGCGAGCTCATGCTGATGGTAAGTAACACAACTCCATTGTTTCCTCGCTATGGCTAACAAACTTGCAGGGAGTACAATTTTACAGCGCGTCGTGGTGGATCCAACAGCCACCAAATCAGCCACCTTTACAACCAGCTCCACCTCAGTTAAGAGCAATGTTGGTAGATATCTGTTCATATTCTTCAGCAGATGTGACATACGATAAGCTACAATGGACAATAACTGGTTCTGACGAAGCTGTCAAAGATGCGTTGACCATCATTAGCAACATCCCGTTGAACAAGCGAGGATTCGCCTATCAAATTCGAGTGAAGCTTGAGCTAGCGAATGAGCACAAGGAGTTTGTTAGTGGCAAGAAGAATGGAAAGATTAACAAGATCATGGGCCAAAGTAAGGGTTTCGAAGCTTCGTTACATTTGAGTTACTAATTACTTTGTTTAGGCAATGTTCAAATTATATTTGACGGATTCAATGAGTACAACTTCAACATTGATGTTTGCGGAAACAATTACGATCAAATGGTTACCGGTCTCAACCTCGTCGAGCAAGAGATGCCAGCCCAAATATCTTTCCATGTTCCTGATCAATACCATAAGCGCATTATCGGCATTGGTGGTCAACACATTCAAAGAATCATGAAGAAGCATTCGGTTTTTGTTAAATTCTCCAATGTCATGGATCGTGGTGGACCCAATCGTGAGGATGATGATATCAAGGCCGACAATGTTATCTGCCGAACTCCAGCTCGTAATGCTCAAAATCTAGAGCTTGTGAAGGCCGAAATTCTCGATATGGTCGATCGAGTTGATTCAGAATTCACTTCTCAGACTGTCAATGTTGACCGATTGTATCATCGAGAACTTCTAACTCGTCTTGACCAAATTGAGGACTTGGAAAAGAAATGGAACTGTAAAGTTCTTTTCCCAAGTACCGAGCAAGCTAGTGATGATGTCATAATCTCAGGACCAGAATGGCAAGTTCCTCATTGCGTGGATGAGTTCCTTGGCATGGTTCCAGATAGTCATGAGCTTGTTTTGGCTCGCACTCCGGAGCTCTTGACATTTTTGAGCTCCAATGAATTCAAGACAGAGATGGTACCAAAGCTCAAGTCCCAATATGTGGTCGAGGTCCAAGTTGATGAAGATTCCTCGGAGCTTACCGAGGATAGTAAACCAACAGTCATCCTTCTCTGGACTTTCACCAGAAACAATGCAGGCGGAGTTCGAGATGCAATCGAATTCTTATTCTCTAACATTGCCGCAGCCGGTATTGAAGTTACCACTGTCAAGGGAACAATTCCTCGTCCCAAGTCCGACTCCTTCGAGGAATCCCTACCATTTTTCAATTCTAAACTCTTACAGCATGCTCCTGCACCAATGGCAACTGATTCACCAACTAAGTCTTCGTTTGGTGATGATGTTGCAAGGGAAAGGAGCAACATTTTTGATAAGCTTCGCAAGCCTGGTAGCATGTCATCAATTTCTTCATTCTTGAATGGCCGCAAGAATAGCTCCCAATCTCCTGCCGGTTCTTTCTTCAGGAACGGGTCTCGTAATGCATCAAGAACATCCTTGATCTCCATCGAGTCTACACGAAGCTTTAATGCAGACCGTAACCCATGGAACGATAGTGGTGTCAACTTGCCGGACGATGACACCACACCATGGCCAACCCGCCAATTTGGAACTGGCAGTGGCAGTAGCCACGATAACAAGCACCCACACGGGCATCCGGGCGATGCAACACCAAGACATAGCATGAGAGCTTCGACCGATAGCGGTCGCCCTTCAACTTCTAATTCTACAAACTCAGGATACCCCGGTCCAATTGGACCACCGCGTTCTTAAGATATCCACAAAACTATTCCCTTATTTCCTAGATTGTCTTTAAGTATGTCAATTTCGACGTACACAATGGCTGGATATATACCCTGGCGCGCAATACCCCAAATACCACTTTTTTTTTTTTTTTTTTTGCTGCTTTGATTGTTTTTCATCTCTCCTTATTCCAATTTGATCTTTCTCTCTTTCTTTTCTGGGCTGTTTTGTTATTTGTGTTGCTTGCGTTTACCGTGCTCCAACTTTTTTTTTGAGGTGAAGAGAAAAAGCATGCGGGCGCTCTCAGAGACGAACAGAAGACAAGACATTTAGAAGATCTTTCTTGCGTGCTTGACTATTCATGGGAATATTAAGAGGAAATACCTATTTGCTTTTAGGGGCGTGGGATTGATTTTTTACTTTTCGTTTTGGTTGCTACAATATCCTCGACTTTGGTTGTTTTTCGCGTGCGATGTGTTTGGCAGGGGTTAACAAACAGGTAAATGGGTGCATGGGATTGTGAATTGGAAGATGGCTTGTGATGAGGGGATGAGAGATGAGGGATGAGGGATGATTTTCACACTCTTTTTGTTTTAACTTTGGATGGAGGTATGGGAAAGGAAGAAGGAAAGGATATGAGGGTGGTGGCTTCAGTGACATCGGAAAGCGGTTTGGTGGGTCAGCGATTCTGCTACAAAGAGACAGCGTGAGGTTCCAATTTGGGGAATCTGGTATGGATCGATGGTTTGGGCATCAGAATCATTCATTATATGTATTTTGTGGGTGTATGTTATGATACCCTAGAGATGAATCGTTGTACGTTGAGAATTTGAAAAGTTTGCGAGGATTGGAGTTGTTTTGGATAATTACAACGTGATTGTGATATGATGTTAGATGGTGTGAGATGATCTATGGGATGTGAGCTGTTGCGAATCGGAAGCACCACAATCCAATCTACAATATGCTCAAGGCGTCAGCGTGTACCTGATGATTATGTATATGGAGATGTCTAGATGGTTCTACCTAGTTTGAATGATCTAGACTTACTTGGTGGTGGAGTGGAGTTTGAAGTGGATTCTGGATGAGAGGTGGGGAGTGGAGAATGAAGAATGGAGAATGCAGAATGGGGGTTGGAAGGTGGAAGTGGGGAGGTGGTGATTTGGTGGTGTGGTGGTGAGGGAGAATGATAAGGGAGGGGGGAGATATAAGGCTCAGGAAAGGAAAAGGAGGGCAGGCATGATAGGATATGACATGATGATATAGTTTTCCGGTAACCAGATAGTCATAGTAGGCTGCTGGATGAGTAGACTTTTAGATAGATCACAATATCTTCTGCACGATTATACACAATCGTGCACTCTGGTAGGTACCTGGGGTAACTTGAACTTTCTCGATGGTGGGGGGGGGATCTTGTGGATGGGTGTGTGTATGTATGTATGTATGTATGGATGTATGTATGGATGGATGGATGGATGAATTAGATAGGTAGCTAGATAATTGGTGGATTTCTTTGCAGGATATAATGGGGGTTGTAGGTAGATATCTTGTTTCTTCTAGAGATCATCTACCTACTCATGGGTGAGAGAGTGGATGTTGATATGTGACAAGTTATATGAGAATGAGGGATGAGGCGTTTCTACCTATCTATCTAGGTGACTGAGGATTGAGATGGTTATACCTATCTAGTATTCGCTGCCTACTATCTACGTACCTAGGAGGTACCACATCATGCACGAGTAGTACAGTAGACAACAGTGATACATACAAGAGTGCAATGACTAAGCATGACGTCTGCGCCGCGTTGAGTCAAATTATTGATCATTTGGGTGCGGCTTAAAAATCATTGCGACGCTAACCAAATGAGTACTGCCTAGCGTGATTAATCCCTGAGCTTCCCTCCATCCATATATGTCGATCTCTCGTAATAATAAACAATTCCACCTCCACCCACAAATCCCACACAATCATCAATTCAATTCAATTTTGAAGATTTCTACCATCTTACTTATCTCTTCAATTGCAATTGTCTTTCGTATTCAAGCTTCTCAACGGTCAATCAAGCAGTTACGTTCAAAAGGATTCTTTTGATTCCTCTTTGGCATTTGAAATATTCTTGAAAGTTCTCGAGCTTTTTTTCTTCTTCGATCTTGCGACGCGTCTCTTGAAGCATTTCCAACTGCGCACTTCAAGACCTACAAAGACTCAACAATACAATACACCTTACCCTTACAACAAAACAATTAATCGTACACGATACTCGGTCCAACAATGGCTGGTCGGAAAACTAAAGCCGCAGCTGCAGTAACATCTCCCGCCAATGTCGGCGTCAAACGAACCACTGCGTCTCGCACATCTGCTACTGCAGCACCAAAATCATCAAAGGTAACGAAGAAGCCAGCGAAGAAAGTTACCACCACCAAAGCTGCCGCTGCTAAACCCGCTACCAAAAAAACTGTCAAGAAGCCAGCTCCTAAAAAATCAAAGGTAGCATCTAAACCGGCTCCAGAGGAGGATGCTGAGATGGAGGAGGAAGATATTGAGACTGCTACAAGTGACAAAGAGGAAACACCAGGTAAGCTTTTCTCTTAACTCAATCAACACAATATTAGGAATGCGTCTGACATCTGTTTACAGCGCCAAAACCTGCCGTTAGCAGAAAGAGAAGTCGAACTCAAGAATCGGAGGCCTTACCTGTTGCAAAGAAGCTCAAGGTCGGCCCTAGCATCAACACTCCACCTACCCAGCGACTTGACGTTTATGTTTTCGGAAGTGGAGAAAATAATGAATTGGGTTTGGGTGCAGCTAAGATCGATGGCAAACCACCCATGAATGTCAAGCGACCACGTTACAATCCCCTTCTCAAAGGCGTTACCCAAGTTGCTGTCGGCGGTATGCACTGTATCGCGTTGACCGATGATCAAAGAATCTTGACATGGGGAGTGTCTGATGGAGGATCTCTAGGTCGTGATACTAGCTCATATGAAGCACCGGCCAAAGACATGGATGCAGATTCTGTGGATGAGGATGAGGATGATATCGTTCTCAACCCAGTTGAGAGTACCCCAACGGCTATCTCCACTGATTTTCTCGATGGACGAAAGGTCGTTCAAGTAATTGCCAGTGACTCTGCTAGCTTCGTGCTCACTGAAGATGGTTATGTATACGGTTGGGGTTCGTTCATTGTAAGTTATCTTTCCACGCTCTTGATTATTCAAATCGACTAACAATAACAGGGAAATGATGGCATCATCGGTTTCACTGCTGAAGGCGCGTCAATGGCGGCCAAAGAACGCGACGGTGATCTCAAGAAGAAGCTCCAGATCCAGGTAGAGCCCATACTCATTCCTGGATTAAAGAACATCAAGTCATTGGCCCGTGGTGGCAATCATGTCATGGCACTTGATAACAAGGGAACTGTTTTCACCTGGGGAGCTTACGAACAAAACCAGCTCGGTAGACGAGTCAATAACCGTTTCAAATTCGCAGCACTTACTCCAACACCAGTTTTGAAGAAGTGCAAGTCGATTGCTGGAGGTACCTATCATTCCTTTGCCATTAACACCAAAGGCCAAGTCCTCACATGGGGTTTGAACAATTTCGGCCAGACCGGTATTGGCGAAAATGCTGGCGAAAATGATGCTATCATCAATAACCCGACTGTTGTTAAGGGTTTTGAGGGGTTTGACATCAAGCAAATTAAAGGATGTCTTCATCACTCAATTGCCTGTACTGAGAAGCAGGAGGTTTTGGTTGTTGGAAGATGCGATGAAGGTCAGACTGGCCTTGATTTCGCTAGTGTTGACCAAGATACTTTCATCGTTAGCTCCACCACCTCTAAGCCAGCTATTCTCAAGGTTCCAACCGTTGTTCCTGGTATCACAGCCACTTTTGTAGCTGGTGCAATCGATAACAACATTGTTCTGACAGAAGACGGCAAAGTATGGGCATGGGGATATGGTGAGAACTACAGGACTGGCCTAGGCAGTGACGATACCACCAGGACACCTACCCTCATCGAAAACTCTGCCATCAAGGGCAAGAAGATTACTTTTGCTGGTTGCGGAGGTCAGTTCAGTGTCATTGCTGGACCTGAGGTCACAACGAGCAGCGACAACTAGGCCAAGAGAGGCGTGGGGACGGGATGATGAAAGGATTGTTTTCTGTATTACGATAACGACTTATGTTTGTGAACGAACGAATACCATGCTGCGTTGTTGGCTTTTGAGGGACAGCAGTTTAAATCCTTCTACGCCACCAATCCAGCTCGAACTCAGCCTTCCAACGTATATTTGACATTGAAAATACATCTACCTTGGTTTTGAGGGACTGACCTTGATGAGTCTCTGGTTTTCACCTAGGACTTTGATCCGGATTCATCAAGGCATGTTTTCTCATCACCAAAGTAGGTGTATTTTGATATTGAATATGCAATGGAAGGGTGATAATAGGGAGGGTTGGTAGTGGTTTAGAGGGAGGATGGCTGTTGGTCGCCTATTTAATAGAGATTTGGATGGCGTTTTCTTTTAATTGGTGTTGATAGATTCTTTGAGACAGCATTGCATATGGCAGGATATATGCATTGGGTGTTTGAATGGGCGTTCTTAATAAAAGTTGGTCTAGACTTAGACTAGATAGATACCACGTTCATTGTAGGATTAGAACTGCATAGTGTATACCTGTGCATAATAAAGAAAGGATTAATGAAAGTATCGACCTTTGCTTTGTTTTCTGGTGATTCTAAGGGGTGAACTTGTTTGAGAAAGGTTCAAGGTATGAGAATGATAAGGGAGGTATTTGTTGGAAATTTTCAGCATGTAGACACATTTCTACTGGTGAAGTTGATGTAGGAATTTACGAGGGGAAAAGAAATGGTCGTGGTTGACATTTCACGGTCGATGAACATTGAAGAATAGAATAGGGAAGGGGGCGCTCAACCGGATTCTCAATGTGGTTGAACAGGGAACGGCGGATGCTTGAAAGGGAGGGGTCACGGAGTGGCTCATGGGAATTGATTACGGGAATGCTAATCGGATTGGTTTTTGACATCAGGCCTCTAAAGGGACTTTCACATAACATGGCATTGCTATGTTGTTGCCGTTCTCGCGCTTTGAGTCACCGTATCATATCGATCGATAATTTTGCAAATTGGAAGGAAGGAAGGAAGGAAGAGAGAAGTTGAGAGACAAGAAACGAGAGTAGCTCGAGAGAGTTTTTATGGTCTTGTTGCGAAAGTTCTCGAGTAGATCTTTCCATCCCACTTTGAGGAGAAGAATAGAGCGGAAACCCCTCCTTGAAATAATGCTTGTCTCGATGTGAAGTCTTGTGAAATCTCTCAATCCCCATTTCCTCTACACTCCCCCACGATCCAACCCCCCACGCTCCCCCTTCTTCATAGCCCTCTCCCTCATATCCCTCACCACCAAATCCACCAAACACATCCCCCTCTTTTTTTCACACCTCGCCTTCCCAATTTCCAATCCCGTACTCTGCCCTACTGCCTGCATCACACACTGTGTTTCCTCGCGCAACAACTCGACAACTACATACACACCTGTTGTTCCTTTTGGTAACCCTCCTGTTCGCCAATCGTAGCAGTGGAATTTGGTGAGGAGATTGGAGCAGGGTGAGGATGAGGATGTGAAGGCGGAGAGGTAGGGAGAGAGGGATATGGAGGGGGAAGGGGAGGAAGAGATGCAGGATTTGTGCGTGGGAAAGTTGATTGCGTATTCGTAGTTTTGGTTGGGGAGGATGGGAGGGCGTGTGGAAATGCTGATGGTGGTTATGGTTATGGAGGTGGTTGTGGCGGCGTAGGGCCAAATGGGAATGGCGAGGGTAAGGGGGAGAAAAAAGGAGATGATGAAGGCGAGGAGGGGGTTTGGGATGGAGAGGATGTGCATTCTTTTGGGTGGGGGATGAGAAGATGGTGGTGTGGTTAAAAGAGGGTGGTGTTTGAAAATATTCGTGGTGAGCTCGGTGGATACGGAAGAAAACGAATGGACGATCGTGGTGCCGACAGTGTGGTCGAATTGATTTAATGATAGAACTGAAAGGCCGCAGTTAAATTAAACACCGTCAAATATTTACACAGGGAGACAGCACAAGAAGGGTTATCTCCAAGTCATTTATCTAGCCAAAGGAATGCCAAGCACACACGGAGAACTAGTTCATAAGATTAAACTTAAGCAGCGGATGCGCTTCAAAGTCGGTTGCTAGCCCCGCAGTAAAGGCTGATTGACTCCGCCACCTCTTCATCTGGATGCCACTACATTCCGAGAGTTTTTGTGTATCAAAGATGCGAGAAACTGGCGGAAGTGACAGAAGACAGGAGTAGTCTTCACCACGATTAGAATGAATGAGCAGCGGCGCCGCACTCACGGAGTTATTCGAACGCATGCTCGATTCCTAGATATCGGGTTTGCTCTTGAAATCATTTCCAGAATTGGGTTTGACATAACCTATAAGAGAAGGGCGATGATGAATGACGGGATCCCACTTATCATATACGAGGAGCAATTCCATCTTGGGAAAGCGGGGTCCGTTAAGCGCCGCGAGTTGTCGCAGCGAGCTTGTGGGTTGAGGATGGGCGAAACGACGAGGTGGAATTGGTGATCTACGTGAACGGGGTCTAATGTAGGGCCAGAAATAATAAGCATAATTAGCGGAACAGCTAGAGATGGGTTTTGCCGCCGACTAATTGGGAAAGTATATAGATACTGTGTCTTGCTTATTTTTCATACGAGAATTTACGTGAGGAGATCATTAGATCTTATAGTATAATGGCCGTGGAAACATTAGTATCTAATGATTTAGCTGGATATCTGACAGCTTCGAGAATGGTTTATGGATCATGTTGCTCCACCTCACGATACCCCAACTTTAGCATCTGTTCTCTGAAAAGCGCGGCTTCCTGGTTCATCACCTCCGCACTACACCATCAGATATTAATCAGTAAGTCACAGCCCAAACACTTGGATCCAAAGCCAAGAACGATTTGTCAAGACAAAAGCATTTGAAACAAACTCAGGACTCACCTTCTTGGCACTCTATCCTCCTCATCCACCTTTGGGAATTTACCCTTCTGCACCGGTCTCTCCCCCATCCGCGCATCTCTATCCCAAAGTCCCCCTCCCACATTCCCTTCCTCTCCCTGCAACTTGTCATAAATCCCATCTCCAATCCTCGCGCTTTCCTGCGTCCTCGGTATAACATGACAGTGAAAATGCGGTACCGTTTGTCCGCTCTCTGGTCCATCTTGAATCGCTATATTGAACGATCCTGCCGTGAGATTTTGATCGGGGAAATAATAAGCCGCGAGCATTCTTTGCACTTTCTGCGTCGTGGAAAAGATATCATCTAGCTCGGCACGTGAGAGATCGGTCATGCGGGGATGCTGTTGGTAGGGGATTACGAGCACGTGGCCCGGGAGGATGGGCTTGATGTTTACGAGACAGTAGCAGTGGGTTGATTTGTGGAAGACCTGGATGGGGTTAGAAATCTGGAGTTTACACGTTGGGGTTTAAGTTTTGCTCTTGGATCCGACTTGCCTGATCCGTGACTTCGAACTTCCCGAAGTGGATGAGGGGTTTGGGGGGAGGGTGGGATGTCATGGTGCGAGAGTGAAAGTTGCGGAATGGAAATATTGGGAGGAGTAATCGATGGATTATTGGTCGTATTATCATAACCTGAACTTCACAGAATTGACTTGTGAGATAACTTGATATGCGAAGGAAAGGAGAGCTCTCTCTGTTTGGTGTGGCGCTTTTGTGCTTAGTCATCGTGAATGATACCACATCAGTGGGTGCATGGATTAATGGGACTGTTTTCAACTTTTCAATTCTCATTCTTCAATTGTTTGATATCAGAATTCATTTTCTCATTATCAAGCTTTAATGAGTAGTTATAGGAATTTCCAAGATATCTTCATTGAGAGCTCAATAGATGTTACTAGAAAAGCTCTTGCAGTGTTCTGTCATGTCAGTCCATCGCCCACTAGTGGTTGGGCTAATCTTTTGCAGCTACAGGATTCTAACTCCTTCAAACATCAATATTCAATAGCAATATAGACATCAAGTGTGGAGGTATTGATACCCTTGGCAAGTGCCTTGTTAATCACTTGGAATTCCCAAGAAGTATTGAAGAAGATGTCTAGTTGCCTACAAACACAACTCCAATAAGGTAAATTTTTTATAGAAAGCCTTGATCAGTGGAAAGGGGCTACGTGTAATTTGACAGTGAAGCGCAATTTATGCCGAAGTCTGAATACTTCCCAGAATAGAAAGTTCGGCTAATTCTATCTCTTCATCAATGTGAGTTTACTGCACTGAAAACGGACTATGAGAGTCTTATATACTCTTTCCCCGCTGCTCAAGAGACCTACACCGTTGTCCGCTTATTGCGGAGGTTTCATGTAGATTTCTAAGAAGCTATTAACGTCGGCGATTTCGATGGACAAGTCAGTGGTTAAATTTACCCCTATGGACCCACGGTGGGGGTATTGAACATTATAATCAACACCTATTTGTAAGAGCACGTCGTGAGACCAAAATCTTGATTGTGTAATCAACCACGAAGACATCCACAAGAAACCCAGAAAATATTCCCTAGCTCAACAGAGGGTTTGAATTTCTTGGCAACGGGGACTGCGGAAGGTTCGTCACTACCCGTCGTCCGAGCTCGTCGGCACTTGATGAGGAGCCCCAGAGTATAGTCTCCACTTAAGATCGAATGGCTACAACGACATCGTTGTATAGATAGAATGAGCTTTCCTTATTTTCTCTTGTCAGATCCTAGTCAAAATAACTTGTTCAGATATCAGATACTAAAAACAAACTCAGTTCATCAATACGACTCAACCAATCACTCTTTACAGCCACAGTCTGTCAAAACCCTTGAGATACAAACGCCCAAAAGAATACTGACAAGAAGAAAGTCACCGGGCCCAACCCATGGAAGGTAGCCATCATTCTGGAAGATCTCAAGATCCCATACGTCACCGAATACCTAGGTCTGTAACGATATCTGTTCCCTCCTCGCCTCCTCACCCCTCCTTTCATCAAGCCTCGAGCCTCAAACTCCAAAAGTCCACCAATTAACCCCCTCTCCCTCCTAGAAACGACAGACCTCAACCCCCCCCTCCCCCTTTCGAAGCCCTTACCCCAACGGCCGCGTCCCCGCCATCACCGACCCCAACACCTCCCTCATCCCACAGCGAGAAGCTGGATAGCGCCACCGAGCGCTATTTCGACCAGATCAAACGAGTCTTGTATGTATGTATTAGATAAACATTTGAGCGGAAAAGAATGGTTGGCCGGTGAGAGGTGTACATATGCCAATCTGGCATTTATTCCATGGGACATGGGTACGTACCCATGGATTCTGGCGATCGCGCGGGAGAATTGGAGATTGAGAGGGATATTCCTCACTTCTGGAAGTGGCATACGAAAATGATGGAGAGATCTTCTGTGAAGAAGATTATTGAGGATAACAAGGCTGCTGCGACTGCTTAATGGGCGCTTTGGGGGAGTAGAAGATCCGTGGTCGGGTACTCTGACGAGTCATGCATTAGATTACAGTAGAACATTTATAAATGAGAGAATTGAAGTGAATGGGAATATTCAATGCTATCAGATTGTTCCACTTTTTCTATACGGAAACTTGAGAGTAGATCGTCCGAGTGCCAGACTGCGGGCATTGAACTGAGAACTGAGTACAGAGACGACACCAGATACTGAATTAAACTTTTAGTTCAAAGTTATGCAAATGCTTAATATGTGCTACTTTTTTATCCATACATAGTTCCTTGTAATACAATACCATGTCCCGGTAGGCGAGTCATGCTATTACATCACATCACATCATGAGATGAGAGTAGGTATAAAGAGACTGTAATGATATTCTAAGCTAAAACGAATCATAACAGCCCTCCAATATCATTCGTACCCCTTTCAAAAATTCATCCAATTAAAACCATTCTCAATCTGTAGAAACGAGCCGTAGAGAAAAGATGTAAAAGAAGAACCCATAAGAAGCCCTTCCTCGCGGCTCCTCGTGCGAAAGCAGGAGTAGGTAAACGATCGTTGTATTGATGCGCAATATTCAAAACTATAAATATGGGCATTGGCCAACTTCTATATTATAATGAGGCCCCCATTCGTGATCTCTGGAATCTGAATACTTCGCATGGCTTCTACAAGATGAAGGTTGATTCACTAAAGAGTGTACCTTGCTCCTCCACAGCTGTCTCGCCATCCTTAATCTTGAGGACGAGGGAGTTGGTTGGGGGGATAGCCCACTATAAAGATGTTAACATTGATAAATCAAAACGCCGCCGGATAGCTTACCTGATAACAGAAAGGTCTGGTTCCCACAACTCCTCCAACAACTGATTTGATGAAGCTGGGAATGTGGGATAGAATATCAACTCTGTCTGTCCTTTCCCCGAGCGATCCACTGAGAACTGCAGAGAATTCACCAGATTTGCTCTTGCCTTCCCATTTATACTCAGCTGAGATAGGTTCGGGCCACATAGTCTCTGGGTCTTCCTTCGACTCAGTATGCTTTACAGTGTTGGTAGCACCGGCGTATACGATCTCGCCGTCCTTTACAATACCTCCAACATTCACAGAGGTGTGGCCGTAAGAAGCAGGAGTTGTGAACTCCATCATGATAGCGGAATAGGTAGGTGTTTGGAAAGTTGCAAAATTCCATTTTGCTGCAGCATGATGAGGCTTCATGCCTTGAATGGCGTGAATGAAAATTCCGCGTCCTTTGAAGTCGTAGTTCTTCTCGGGTGTGGTGATGGTACCAGTGACGGTGCAACGAGGCCAGAATCGATGTCTCATCTCTCCCCATGGTGCGGCGGGATCAGTACCGTAGTAGGTGGTTCCATTCTCTCCCACCTGGAAGCCAGGGGCTGCGCGTTTGAATACAAGGTTAACAAGTCCAGACTCATTGCGAGCGGCCTTGATGGTGTATTCGTCACCAGCTTCGTTCAAAGCGATGGAAAGGCCGTCGGCGTAGAACGAAACCATTTCTTCGTCAAAACCATAGTTCTCGAGTGCATCTGAAAGCCAGAGATGGTCGGATTGTTTTGGGCCTTTGTGGTTGAACACTTTGACGTTCAGTTGACAAGTTGTTCGAAGTCCGCTGCATCCGGCGTTAGTGTAATGTTGCCTTGACGCGTGATGCATCTCGTAAGTGCATGGGTTAAACATACGCCACATTGTTGTAAATCATCTGAACAGATGCGACTTTACCCTCATCTGAGATCATATAGAAGGTCTGAGTCTCTACATTTGTACTCTCTTGAGCCTTCCATTTCAAATCGGCCTTCGTCAACTCGGTGTAGGGAGTTTTCTCAGCTTGAGCTGTTACCGTGCGAATACCTGCAGAACCATACTCTGGTTCCTCAGTTCCCACGACATTTGCGAGTCTGTGAATTTTAGCAGGTGGTTTTATCAAAATTAGGGAGAGGCACACGTCTGTTTAAACCAATTCATTGTGTTTTGGGCTGTCAAGGATGTCTCTTTTGGTGGTGTTTAGGATGTTTTAATTAAGAGGAAATCCTTCTCCGAGGTCCACGGTGGCACATGATGTGGGAACTAAGAAATAAGGTTATAAGCTTACCTAAGCGAAGGTCCTTTCCATAAACGGCTCGGATCGATCATGCCACACCGCCTGCTGAATTTGATCAACAACTTCACTGGAAGGGACATCAGGGGAAGAAAAGCATACTCAGAAGCTACCTAGTATTGATATTTTTCTCTAATACCCGACTTTCTGCTGTGGACAGCTATACATGTAGTCATAGGTATGAGTGATTCAGTACCGGATGCCAAATCCTTTTAAGTAAACAGTCATTCCATCAACCAGACATAGAAAACATCAAAAAGGGAAGAGCAAATTCATAAAACATTCATATTCATTAACACCAGCACCTATGCAAATCTGCATACCTAACCAATCTCAATACTGGAACACCCAAACCAAAGTGACCGCTGATCAGCGCTCCTGTTCATACACCCCAAATATCTTTCCTGACTCCATGTCCAATCCAGTATTTATGCAGAATCGTAATTGCACATTTCCTCCCTCAACTTATCTTCCTCGCCCATTTGTCAGATCATTTTGCCTCGGAACGCGGACTTTGTCCATTTTTTTCACCTGCCGGCTTTCTTTCCCACAACCGCATCTCTTCTGATCGTTCCCTCTCCCACAAACTCAACTCTCTTCTCGTCTTTTTGTCTTTGAAAATGGGGCTTTGTCCTGTCTCTTCTTGACGATTGAGCGCTTCGATCTCGATTTTCAAATCCTCCAACACATCTATATGTGCGAGTAAATCTCTTCTAGCCTGAAAGACATCTTGAGGCGCAGTTTCGTGATTCCACTTGCTTTCGATTTCAGCCCGATGTCTAGTTGCATCAGTAATACGAGCATTGAGATAGTTAATATGCGAAGCGTTATCGGTGGTGTGAGGAGCAAGAAGAGATCCTTCCATCTTTTCATCGCTAGGGGTTTTGGAAACCATGATTCCCGGTCCTTCTTTCCACTGTCGTAATAAATACTCGCCAATCGTAGCGTATCGAAGTTCCTTCTTGGAAAGGTCACCAGAGTTGATTGGAGTCTCCATCCCTTCTTTGATCGTCGCCTTCCAATTTTCCAACTCTCGGTCAATCCGATCGCAGTCTTTCTTGTAATCACTGTGCCCGCTGTAACCTTTTACCAATATGCGCTTTTCTTCGTCCCAATACCAATCACAGATATTCATCCCATTCGCCATGAACCGCCACGATGAATCCACAAAGTGCAGTGTGTTATCTGCAGCAATGTTCTGCTTTATAGAATGCTCCTTTAACAGAGAGAGTCTATCAGATATTTCGCCATAGAATGGACCCATCGAACGCTCGCGGATTGTTCCATTGCTCATAATACATCTCAATTGCTGAGGCCATTCATATTTCGGTTTCTCGAACTCGTTGCTCCTGTGGTACCATTTAAATTCCATTGGCTTCGTACGCTTCAATTGAACGAAACTGGTGCATGCAGATTCGTCGACCGGGTCATCACCCACGAGTCCGTTCATGCCACAACTCTGCAGTGGTCGCTGTCGTGGAGGTAGGGTGGAAATGCTAGCATCAGCTCCTAGCCAATTCCGGTCTGGGCCTTGCCAATCGATAGGATCGAAGTGTTCTCTTACAACTTTCTCAACCGCTCTTCGCACAATCTTGTCAGGCAGTGAGTGAGGCTCCGATGACTCGAGACTGCACTCCGCTTCCTGGGAATCTCCAACCGCCTTCTCTATATCCCGAAACGCATTCTCTATCTCACTCTCCATATCCTTGCGTAAATTCTCATATTCCTTTAATAACTTGAACGTGCTAACCCCTCTCTTCTCCTGCGCCATGACCACATCTTTCCCCTTCCTTAGAATCTTGTTCACCTTTTCCTTATCCTTGTCCATCCCCAAGCTATACAACCATCGCTTCGCCCCTGTCTTCTCCCAATCCCCTCTTACTTCATGAGCCCGCATATCGACCCCAGAAGCTTGAAACGCATCTCGCATCCGCATCGCATACATCCCAACAAAACTCGTCGCGCATCGTTCTCCACACGTCGTGATCGTAAATAGAAGATCACTATGAAGCGGAACCACACCAGGTGGTAGATAACTATGACCAAGAGGATATGTCGCATTTTTCTCTTCATAGATACCTACACTAGATAAAGAGGGAGAAAATATAGCGTCTTCGCCAGTTTGTGACATCGTAGACCCTGCGGGGAAATCAATCTGGTGCGTTCTTGCATAGTTCACCATATACGCAGCTGACTGCGGATCTTTAGTTGCCTCAAAAGTCATCAACTCTACTTTCTCTTCGAATGTATATGGCCCAGCTGCTATTGCCTCCATTTTCTTCCTTGTTTCCTTGCTCACTTCGACAGGAAAAGGGAGCAAAGGAGGAGGAGGGGGAGAAGTAAAAGCAGCAGGAGCAATCGGCTTGCCCGTAGGACGTCTCGCCGACTTAGCAGGTATGGCCAAAGGAGCAGGTACCAAATCCGCATTCTCAATCGTGCTCGAAGAAGGTCCTTCTATAATACCTAGCGCCAAAGCATATTCATAACATTGGTACAATGCTCCACCAGGTGTTTGAGGAGGAAAGTATCCGCCGCCGAAAGCTGCAAATGTTGCACAGCCTCTGCAGTTTGCTGGACATCGTTGAACGGGTATGGAGGGTTTGGATAGCGACATTGTTGGTGGGGATTGTTTGCTCATTTGTTTGAGATGAATGGTGTTGTTTATTGTTTAATTTGATGAAAGTTGATGAAGCTATATGTGAAATTTTTGACGGTGCGCTTTTGTCTATATAGTTGATCTGTCGAGAGTTGAGTCTCGGTACTACAAGGAAAAATTAAAGCCAAACAAATCACTTATTGCAAGGCTATCCAATACCAAATGTAGAAATCAATGGTGGCAAGTGAACTTTAGACGAGAAGGTGAAGTGAATTTTTCACTACGGCGCGCCTCCCGTTGGCCGTGAATTCGAGCTGACGCGAAGCTTTGAGATCTGAAGCATACCGCCATATTTACCAAAAAAAACCAAACAAAGCCGAGTAAACTGACAAACTAAGCCCTCAATTTAAGACTCGTCTTCGAGTAGGTCAAATATGGTCTTCGTTACCTCTTGAATATCTATAATTCGAGACAGAGCCAGCCGTAACCACTGTAACCAGTGTCTTCTCGTCGCATCACGTAGGTGAGAAAGGAGCCATACGATACCAAATCCACGTGCATCACAAAGCATTCTACTGACAGTGGGTACATCAGGAGTTTTTATTTCTATACCAGTATATGTGGTTAATCAATTGATCCATCCTAGGGATCCAATCCAGGAGATAACTTCCCGGTACCATACGCAACGCTTAAACTACCAACAAACATTTCCTTCCAAAAACATGAACCGCCCAAATGATTGGCGAATGATGATGAAGGTACAAATGATCCAAAGTACAAAGAAGAGGGGAGATCTAGAAGACCCCCCGAACTTCCTTCAAATATCTAATTTCTTGACACCCCTTTGCACCTTCAGCACCGAAAAGAGATTCCTCCATGAAGATCCATTAGACAAGACCATCGTAGAGCGAAAGTGCAGATACAATCGTCTCATCACGTTTACTTCCTTCTTTGAATTCTTCCATGTCCAGACTGCCATTCTCATCCTTGTCCATCATACGGAAGATCTTCTTGACCCGCTTTTCAGGGGTATCCTCATCAGGTGGAAGTTTGACCATTGAGCCAACCTACAGAAGTGCTAATCAGTACTTGCACAATCCAAAGTAACGTAAGAGACAAAGATACTCGAAATGAGCTCCTATGAGAGTAGGAAAATCATTCGAACGGCTAGGTAATGGATGAAAGTCCAGCTCATGAGGAGCATCATTGCCAGAGCATCTTACTCGACAAATCTTGCAAAATACCACTGCTCCATGCCCAATGCAAATAGAGACCTCAAACATGTCCACGTGACCATGAGGGTAGAAGTTGAGAGGTACTCACCATCTTGTAAATTGCCTCTACAATCGCTAACATCTCTTCATAACTTATCTTTCCATCTCCATCAATGTCATAAAGCTGGAATGCCCAGTCTAATTTGTCCTCCATCTTTCCTCGACTGGTCACACTGAGGGCGCAAATAAACTCTTTGAAATCAATTGAACCTGACTTGTCGCTATCGAAAACATTGAACACGTAGTCTGCAAAGGACGATGGGTCTCCGAATGGAAAGAATTGTCGGTAGATCTTTTGGAATTCCTCCTTAGTGAGCATCCCAGATGGGCAGTCCTTCAAGAAACCTAGAAAGACCACATTATTAGGTGGCCATTCAATGAGACCGACTACGTTTTTTGCACACCTTTATACCATTGTTGCAATTCCTTCTTATCGAAGTGAGTAGATTTCTGGAGTTCGGTGATTTGCTCTGCAGAGAGCTTCGATTGACTAGGTTTAACAAGTCAGTCTATCTGCCAGCGCGCAAACTAGATTATATGAAATATCCCGCATGTTCCTCGATTAAGTAGGTGCAAGCGATTCAGCCATTTGCGCATAATTCGACGTCATGGTGATTGATATTCTCCTCGTCCATCGTATACCTAGCCGAATCGCTTTTTACCGGACTTTGAAGTCACTGATTTTGTCTATTCATCGAGCGATAAGACTCGGACTTTGTAACGACTTCCGGAAATGCGGTGCACACTGACGAGATCGGTGCATTGGCCTCGTGGCTTTTGGCGGTATTCATGTTGTGCAAGTTGCGCTGGAAAGTCTCGGGAGCGTAAAGAGAAATATGGTACTCACGATTTACCCATCTTCTAAATATTAAATATATTGATTCGGACTGTCTGTGGAAATTCGAATCTGGCGCAGGAAAGAGCGCGGCTCTTGAGGAAGGTTCTGAAAGTCCGAGTATTGGCTGCTGAATGGAACATACTGATGTCAGCGATTTGGCTTCAAGTAGTGAAGGAGAACAACTCCGCGCCTCCTTATGGTAGCCTGAATGTTCGGACGACATACCTTTGATTTAATGTATCGTTGTGCGAAAGAATTTCTGAAACTTGAGAATCGCAAGTAGAGAGAGGATGTTGTAAAGTGTTGGTGGTTGCGGGTTGTGGTTCTAATAGATTTGTAGAAACTCCGTGGGGTAGGTGGAATTGGCCTAGATGACTGAATGAACGGCCTTGCTTGGTTGACTAGGTGGGTCTTCGATTTCGTTGTTGAGTGGGAAGTGAGTAGTTGAATTATATTTATTCACTTGAGACTTTCGCATATATTAAATCAAGGAAGATCTCTGAACTGAAAGTGTCGGAATCCAACAAGTATGTCGCCAGTGAGTTTTGAGACTTGGGAGTTTGGGAGTTGAAGTGAGGCGGCGATCATTTGATTGTTTTGCAGGTAATGAGTTTATTAGGCTGTCACGATTGCTATGAGGGGCTCACTGGGGCTGTGCATTGTTCGCTTGAAAATTGTTACAGCAGCAATCGATACCAACCGCATCCATAAGTACAGTAATAGAGGAGGTACGTATCTAGTAGGTGCCAGTGGTTCTATCAAAACACGAATCGTTTGCTTGTTACATTTGAATCGTGATATCGCAGAGTGTCATTGATTGAAAGACTTTTCTGAATTGAGATGTTTAACCAACGATATTCGAGTACCTAGGTCCCTCTGGAAACTATTGGCTGTTATGTCGTATGTCTTCTGGGCAGGTACAAACCCAAAGCTTTTGCCAAGTGGAAAATCCAGTTTGTTTTGCATGATCTCGTGCTGGCAATTATTAATCATGGCCGAGCCTCATTATCTCATTCTCCCTCAATTCTCTCTCAAATTCGAATCTGGAAAGATCAACAGGATATTCAAGAACGGCTGTAAATGGTAATCGGGTAGGGCTGATAAATGATCTAGTAAGTCTTACCTAGGTAGGTAGATTACTCTCTAGAAAAGGAAGAGTTCATCCTCACTGGCACGTGGCTCCCTCACCAAGATTACCTAGTATGGTGTGTGGCCGGCGTAGTAATCTTGGAGCTCAATTACGAAATAAATATGTTTTATCACATACAATAAACATTACCGTTTCTCTCGCTCATTATAGGATTGCCCTTTGGTGCATTATTTCTCAGCAACAAAGCACAATATACAGCTTCTGCACTACTGTGAGCACAAGATAAGCCAGCTACCTAGATATTGTGTTTGTACAACTTAAACATCCGCCCACTCCTTGGCAAAAGGAGGCTGAGGTATGTCCCCTCTCGAATTCTATCCAATTTCTAGGCGGCCTTGTGATAGTCGCAGAATGAAGAACTTCTCCCACGAGACATTACTCATCATTTTCTAAGACATCCTAGTACCCAAATGTTTGAATGTTTCTTAGGGGCAAAATCCCCGAGTGGTGCTGACAATGCAGGGACGAAACACTGATGCATGCATTGACATCATCATGAGGACAAGTGTTATGGGGAACATGATTTAGGTTTGGGGTTTGTAGACTGATGTTTCTTGGCATGTCTTAAAAGATTGAATTGTTACTATATCAACGCCGTCATTACCCTCATTGCTGTGCCCAACCGCTGGATTCTTATTTCATTCATCTCGTGATGGTTCCGTCATAAATTTGGCTTCTCTAGTCAAGCTGCCCTAATCTTCTCATATCGTTCAAGAGTTTTCTTTGCTGTGGCTTCCTCATCCCAAATGTAGGTGACGCTCTTCTCCTTGCTTATGGCACTGGCCCATCTCCAGAAGGCCGGAGCTTTTTCTTCTAAAGTCAAGAGGCTCTTGGGAAGCAAACCATCATATTTGGAGAAAGCTAAAAGTCGGAGCAGAAATGACCCAATTTGAACCTATACAATTCATTAGTATCTAGTGACATTGCCAGAGATATTGGTACTTACTTCCACAAATGTCAGTTTCTCCGAGCCTCCAAAAAACGGGGCTGCGTTCTGAACTAAAGGCTCTATCTCCTTCACAATCGCATCTATAACATTGGAGGCAGCTTGTTCTCTTTCTTCCGATGATTTCGCTAACCCGGCTTTCAAAACATGTGGGGCAACCTTCGAGAAGTAGGTTTCAATGAAGAAGTTGTATTTGGCACGTTGCAATGCACCGCCTTCCTCACGGCTGGTCTTCTCCAAGTGGGAAGGATGAGAGTCGACCAAGAATTGAGAAATCACTCCAGATTCGGTGAGGATCTCTCCATTATAGGAGAGAGCAGGCACGAGACCCCGGGGATTGATGGCCAGATACTCTGGTGTACGTGGAACACTAAGATCGATAATGACAGTTTCAAATTCCAGCCCGAGCTCAGCAAGAGCTATTTGAGAGCGATGGGCCCAAGGACATGCATAGGAAGTATACAAGATAATCTTTGGAGCAGGATGAGAACCCATTTTAAGTTCGACAATTGTCGATTCCCCGTCTGGTGTATCGTGTGTATGAAGGCTGATGTGAAAGTCAGGTGGAAGGGCTGGGGTCACGACTAATTCTGCGTCTAAAGATCCTATCGAAAGTGTGAGCGTGGGATGATTATTTGGAAGAACAAAATGGTGATGAGACTGGGAGATACAAACCTTTTATATGCCACTCTTTCTTCTCAGATTCTTCGGACATGTTATGTTCCGCAGTCTCTCTTTGATAAGGTTTAAAGAAATAGTGCAATTTGATTCGAGATCAAGTAGGGGGGGGTTCATAAATCCCCCTCATTTTGTCAATACTGGGCCAAGTTGCGCAATTGGATTTCTAAGCTTGCGAATGACGAGATAATTACGGTTGCCAAGGAAGACCAGGATAGAAGGGGTGAAAGTACCGAACCCCCGGAGCAGGTCACTGTAAGGTCACCGTAATAGGTAGGTACTGGTTTAGCAGTCTTTCCCAAGTATATAGGGCGGTATCAACCCCATAACCATTCAATTCACATGAATCCCATTGAGTAACACTTCTACACTATTTTCTACTTTGATAAAGATCCAAGTTTCAACATACTATCAAATAACAATCCAAATCCCAACACTTCTATCGATCAATAAGAATATACATAATCCAGGAATCTCAAAACATAAGGATATCCTTACAAAGGGGTTTTCAGCGTACGAATCATTTTAAATTCTAGAAAGTCTAGGGACCCCAAAAATATATCCTTATATACAGGATCCTCATGGAACGATTTTGATGTATTAGTAATCCCGTTATACCTAATCAAAACATACTTCGTGCATTGCAGGTTGAACTTTGCAAAACATCTTACTACCATCACTTAACGTTGTTCAAATTTCAACGGAAACAACCACAAATCAATATTATTAGGAATCTCATGTACCTATGTATCTCATCAACTCGGTGGATATGATATCAGGTGCTACAATGGCAACTCCCGACGGTTACTAAGTTGCCGTCTGGCGGTTACCTATCCAGCGACTGTCAACTTTTCATCAATTTCCCCTCTTTACCAAGCATTTTATAGAGCTTGCTTTCCCAATTCAAATATACACACATGTTTTGTCACTCATTAACTGGTACCTACATCAGACCAGATAAAGCCCGGTGCCATGTTATCCAGACAAGTTTCCAAGAACCAGATAGCACAGAGCCGTCAATGCAATTTCCCGTTAGCCGTGTGATGGCAGCGATACATCGTTACATGATCAAATGCCTTTCTCGTCCTTCTCTGCGTCGTTGTGGGGGTTTATCAAGTGTAACTACCCATGCCTAGGTGCTTGCTGTGAAGGTTATGTGTCGTCACGATTGTATGAAGCTATTATGAGTGACGGGTGCAAAAAATTTCAACGCTTCGGAGAATTATTTGACAGCTCACTGCATATCTGTTTTGCTTTTTGACTCAACGATCTGCCTCGATTTCGAAAATATTATTTTCAGATTCAGAAGTTTCGTCTGCAAAGAATGGCGTTATCAAAAGCTCAAAGATTGACCGTGGTGATCTGCATATCAACGTCGTTTTTTCTGGCTGAGTTATCAAGTATGTCAACATGAGTATCCATCTCGTTTTCGACAGCGGAAGCTAAATGGTGTGACTTTAGTTGGTTTCTATACGAAATCCCTTGCACTGGTAGCGGATGCCTTTCACTATGTATGTTCTTCCCGATCGTCTAGCAAACTGCTTGCTCTTCCTTTCGCCTACGTTTGATGTTCATTCGACTCCGTTCTTGTGGGACTTCATCTGACAGAACCACTCAGCTGAATGATTTGATCGGCTTCATGGTCGCTTTGGCTGCCTTGAGGGTAAGTGATCTGTTGACCATCTTCTCGCTTTCGAACCGAAGATTGACGATGTGCCGCAGGTATCTCAACGTTCTGACTCACCCGATTCCCTCTCCTACGGCTGGCAACGCGCAGAATTATTAGGTGCTTTCTTCAATGGCTGTTTCTTGCTTGCTCTAGGCGTCAGCATAGCACTGCAATCTATCGATCGCTTCGTGTATCTAGAGAGTACGAATTTATCAGCGCTCGGACTTTCAAAGCTAAATATTTTCCTCTGTAGAAGTCAAGAATCCTCAATTAATGCTCATCATTGGCTGTGCCGGGCTCACTCTAAACGTTATCAGTGCTGTCTTCCTACACGGTATGTGAAAGCCCTAGAAGTATATGGCTCTCAGCTAACTTTATCAAGACCATGATCACCATGGGCATCATCATGGACATCATCATAGTCATGGTGATAGACCCATTCCAAGCACCGTCGACATCGAACAAATGAGCTCTGACACGCTATGTGCCACCACGCTGAGCACATCTAGTTTGAACACTTCAAAGAATCTCAGAGAAGATCGTCACAAGGGCCATTGCCATATGGTTCAACCGAAAAACGGCCAAAGCGAGCCTAGAGATTTAGCCCACCTTGCAGTAATGCTCCACGTTATTATGGATGCAGTAAATAACATAGGAGTAATCATAGCCGCATTGGTTATTTGGCGCACCAAATATGAGGGAAGGTTTTATGCAGATCCAGGCGTGAGCATGGGCATATCATTAATGCTAATCTTTTCCTCTCTTCCAATAAGTATGCTGTTCTTGTACTGTCTTTTTTACCAACACATATGTTACTGACTAGTCTAATAGTAAAAAATGCCGGTGCAATAATGCTACAATCGGTTCCATCTGGCATAAACATCAACAATGTCAAGCATGACATTGAAAACATTGCAGGCATCCTGTCTATCCATGAGCTACATATATGGAGTTTATGCCAGAGGAAGACAGTCGCTTCAGCCCATATTGTTACGATTGAGACGGATCTGAAAACATTAATGAAGCAAGCCAAACTTATTAGGGAATGTTTGCATGCATATGGTATCCACAGTGTAACGCTACAAGCTGAAGCATCAAACGGGGTAATCATAAATGGCACAGGTGCGGACGAGAAATGTCAGATGGTTTGCGGAAGTCTATGTGAAGATTTGGCCTGCTGTCCATGAGTGTAGCAGCAGGATGTTACACTATGGAAAGTTCTTGTAACTACTGAAGGTTCCTTTGTCCCAGATTAAATGAGGGTACAAACCAGTGTCTCATTCAAGTAACGATATGTTCACACACGTTGTAAACTAAGAAAAAAAGTTACGCTTTTTCCTTCATATGTGATATTTGACTAAGGGTGGCGTTCTCATCGTCTCATTATCTCATCGTCCCATCTTTGACAAAAGTTCGGATGAAACGATTGTGCGAACCAGTTTTGCGAACCATTGTACATGTGAGATTGAAATGATTGATGATACAACTGATGTGCACACATGAATTCCATGATCCGCCCCACATGTCTCATTATTCTTCCATTTAGGCAAACGTACTTATCGCCATGTGCTTACCCCACAATTTTCCGATAAGAAAGTCCCATGAATTTCCCCTCCAATTTTTTTCTTCCCAAGTTTCACCACCCTTCTAAACCTCATATCAATCACCCAACTCACAAAATGAAAATTGAAGAAATCCCAGATGATGCACCTGCATCTGCGCCCGCTCCGGCACCAGGCCAAGACTTTGATCTCCTCGCGCAAGCCATGTCCTCCGCCTTCCCCGGCTTTGCTCCTTCCAACTCTGACCCCTCCTCCACAACTCCCTCTCTCCCCCCTCCCTCGCCTCCCTCCGCGATAAATCCGGTCCCGAAATTCTCGCTTCTCTGAACTCCACTCCCCTGTTCATGACCGAACTCGAGGAAAATGACGAATTAGAAGCTTTCAAAGCATTGGCCTATGAAGGTACACCGTTAGAAATCGCTTCCAATTTCAAGGAACAGGGAAATGACAGTTTCAAGGAGAAGAGATTAGCAGACGCAAAGGAGTTTTATACGAAGGGTGTGAATATTCTGTTGGCTGAGGTGAGGAGGAGACAGAGGGGAGAGAAAAGGTCTGGAGATGTGCCGGAAGAGAAGGAGGATGAGATTGTGGAGGAAGTTAAGATACTTGAGGTGCTGCTTGTGAATAGGGCGATGGCGCATCTGGGACTCAAGAATTACAGGAGTTGTGTGTTTGATTGTGGAGCGGTGTTGAGGATCAATATTAAAAACACAAAGGCGTTTTATAGAAGTGCGAAAGCCCTACTGGCGTTGGGAAGGATAAAGGAAGCGGATGATGCGTGCGCAAGGGGATTGGAATTAGCTGCGGATGACAAAGCGCTGTTAGCTTTGGCTGGAGAAATCATGAAGAAGAATGAGGAGATTGAGGCGAAGAGGAAGAAGGAGGTTGAGCGACTGGTGAGGGAGAAGAATGTAGAGAAGATATTAAAAACATCGTTGGCGGCGAGGGAAATCACTTTACGGATGACGGATAAGCCACCGGAGATGGAGGATGCGAAGATCGAACTAGTGCCCGATCCATTGGATCCGATTAATTCGACTTTATCCTTCCCAGCTCTTCTATTATACCCTCTTGCAGCAGAATCGGATTTCATCAAGTCGTTTAATGAGATGGATACTGTGGGGCAGCATTTGGAATACATATTACCACTTCCATGGGACGTTAAAGGGGAATATAGAGATGAAAAGGTGGTGGAGTGCTACGTGGAAAAGAAAAAGGGCTCTTTGATTAAGGTGGGAAGAAAAGTTACACTATTGAAAGTCTTAAATGGTGGAGAAGTGGTGGATGGTGTTGTGAGCATTTATGTTGTGCCGAAGCAGAAAGCAGCAGGATGGATAGAAGAATGGAAAAGAAAGAATGTAGTAGCAAAATAAATGATATCCTTGGGTGAACTTCTGAAAGTTCCTTTGTATAATTTCTTAATATCTCTCGTATTGTGTGGGCGAGAACTTTGACACAACCATGTCGCTTGAGTTCACATGTGAAGAATACACCGCCTAGATGACTCTGCATAGGCAGGCACCTAATATGTCAACGATCACGATCCTCACGCATTCAATCGCCACAAGTGAGGCAACCATAGATATCAAAATACACAGCAATTCAAATGCATCAATCCCACAGCATATAAGTACATACAATGCAAAACTGCAACCCTAGATATGAACAACCTTCTTTCCCTCGGGCTTTAAACCTTTTTCTACTCCACTCTACCAACCATCCACCCATACAACCATTCTAACCACAACAACTCAGCCAGACTGATCTAGCCAGACTAGCTAAACCAGTCCTTTTCTACTTTAATCCCCATACCTCCTCTAATATTTTCCTCTACTACTAATCGCCCGTGCCCACCTAAAACATTTAAAAAATCAAAAACAGGATGCGCAAACCATGTATGCACTCAGGAGAAACGAAAAGAAAAAGTCTTGAGCAATTCAGATATTATCTGATCAAGCCAGACGACAAATGCTCATGTATGACCCACCCACTCGATGGTACTTATCCCAGCTCGACTCATCCAACACAAAGATGAAGACGAAGATGAACCACTGTAGAAAACTTCTCTCACATACTAAGCGCTCTCCTTCTCTTGACCCGCGGCCCATCACTATCCCCCTCATCTTTAATCCACTTCGCACTCCCCATCAACGGTGTGCCTACGGCGGATACACTCGGTAAAGAAGGTGATGCAGCACCTGCTTCGCCATCTTTAACACTAAGTTTCATCAAGAGCCAAGCTGCCTTCCTTTCATCACCAGCTGCGTTTGTGCTTTTATCTCCCGAGACTTCTTCTCTCGCCATCGTAGTACGCTGATGATTTTGAGCCATGTTCGTTGCATGTGCGCGAGAACCAAAGGTAATGGTTCTATCGTCACCGATAGGACTCTTTTCATCACCAGTAGCACTAGCGCTTTCTTCACCGTCATATTCTTCATCTGTAGGATGAGGACGGTGGATATCTCGTTCTCTTTCTCTATCTCTTGCATCGGAGACATTTCCATCTAGTTCTTCCGCACGTCGCTTGGCTCTCCAGCTAGCTGTCATGTCGGCGAGTCCGCCTATACTTCGCGGAATGGCACTCAACCATGGATTTGTACCGCTGTGTCCAATGACCATGGCACCGTTCACACTCATGTGTGGGTTCATCAATTTATGATTATGAGTATGGCCATAATGAAGACCTTGATTGTGTCCCAGATCATGACCACCCATTCCCATTCCCATCTCGGAGATGTTAATTCCGGCATTAGCGGAATGGGAATTGATGTTCTGATGCTGATGATGATTCATCGCATTTGACAAGGAATGTGGAGGACCGTTAGGAAGATACGATCTGGCGTGAATGCCCCAGTTTGCACCCGCAAGACCGGATGTAGGAGTTACTGGCGAGCAAAAATATGCAGCGTCACCACTTGATGTCTCGCTCGCAGCATCATGATCAGTGCTGCTCTCCGCATAAGGACTCTCGCCACCATACGCTCTTTTGAGTCTCAGCCTTCGTTCGAGATGACTGCTTGAACTTGTTGGAGGCGTCATGGTGTTTGTGCGAATAAGATAGTTAGAGCTTTGCTGTTGGGGGCTGGCAGAGTCGCGAGGTGTAACGTTAGTGGAGGATTTGGGGGTGAAGGATGTGTAGTGGAGACGGTAAGATTCGGCTTCTGCGGTAGCGGCACGGATTATGCTGGGGTCGATAACCATACGGCCATGTTCTGGAGCGTCGGGTGAAACGCACTGAGATGGGAAGGAGGGACCAAAGATAGGAATCAAGGCTGGAGCGATGTGGGAGCAAAAGGTAGTGCAAACAGCGAGAGCGCAGGAATATGGCATCCAGTAACCTGGAACAGAATCAGTATTGTGGTCTCAACTGGTTTTTATTGTTGCATTGTGATAATGATAGAAGAATTTTAGAGTGTTCGAAAGAAATAAATAAAACCATGCATTTTGCACTGATTCTTGATAAAAAATTAAGATGAGAGATGACTAGAACGTACCTTGGGCTGCTAAAGCGCCACCAGTGATGCTGTGCGTGATTTCCTTTAGGCCTGGGTTCATCCCGAGCATCTTGGCCGGAGTTGTCTGTAGACGATCAGATGAAATTAGCCATCTTGGGCACACGCAGCCTAATGAATGAAGCATGCTTACCTTGGAATATTTACAGCACTTAAAAAAAGGAGTGATGCGAACGAGCCCAATATTATAATCCCACATAACAGTGTACACTCTATCCTCACCAGGAAGTTTAAATGTGTACTGGAATACTGCAAGCAAAAAGTCAACTCTGGTAAGCTTATCGGAAAGAGTCAGCTTTGCATAGACAGAAGCATACCTTCGAAGCTCTCTCGACCAGTCTTTTCCAAGAAATTCTTTTTCTCGCTATTATAAGGGATATGGCGGCAATAATCTTGAATTTTACCAAGTGGATACACTTGGAATTTTGAGACTTCTCGCATAGTCTCCTCGCTCAGATGTTCAAACGGTGGAAAATTTACATCGCCCTTAATCTTAGTACCCTTGGCGAAAACTGCGCCGTCCTTAGCCATCTTTTGTTTCTTGATGGACGAGGACTGAATGGGTAATAGGGTATGCCCATAAGAGGGCGATGAGGTACAAAGCGACGATGGAGGACTTGATGATATTCGAGTGCTTCGCGGTTCTGACTTAGCAGGATTGAGTAGCGATGCTACGGAGAGCATAGTGGGCGGTGAGTGGTGGAAATGAGTTCAACAGAATCTTGTTTCCTCTAAATCTGCAGGCTGAATGCCTCTTTTTTCGAAAGCGAACGAATTCTCTAAAAGAAACGAGGGCTAGGTAATTTTCAAGTTTTCTCGGTACAGTAAATGAAAAAATTAGTGTTTGAATCTGGCAAACAGGAAAACAGTGATGGACTGTTCTTGGATCCTTATGAAGAAATTTGAAGCACAATAATGAACGAGCTTCAACGGCTTCACTTTCGTCGGTGTCAACTAGCGATGCAGTTCCTGCAGTCCAAGGATGGGTGTCTTTGGATCAAATCAGTGTTCTCGAACTGGAGGCAGTCTTTGTTGGCAGTTGTCTGAGAATCAACCAGTAGAATATCAATCGTCCGTTTGTTGGTGCCCACCGCTCTTCCAAAGCTCGAAAATAAGAGGCATCCACTTAGCAATTGCAGACTCCGGGGTAAGTTGGGCAGGGATGGCCTACTTGGTATTCCAACAAGGCGAAGGAAATGAGTTCTATCAATTTTCTACAACTTCAAGGTTTGGGATTTTCCTTGAATTGACAAAGGCCGAGATAACGAGACCATAAATCCAAACGACATTTAAGAAGCTTCTATTCAGATTCGCCGCTCCCGTGCCCGTCAACATGAAAAGCCAACACGGCCACCAAGCATCCCGCATATGGATTGCAGAGCATATCGAGGCAAGACGTTTCACTACACCAAGAAAAAAGCAATATTTACCGACTTCAGTACCATCAATTCGGCTGCGTGACTGCACAGGGGTGGCAAGCCAGGCTGATCAATTAAGTTTGACAACAACAAATATTGTGCTACAGCCCGATCGGGAACATGGCTTGTTTGAATGTGGATAGCAAAAAGGTTGCTGGACGTATCTGCTGGCCGAGATGTCTTGGGCCGGGTGCCCGCAGTACTTGCGGATGATTTACAGTAAGTGAAAGCCACAATTTCATAGATAGACAAAGAAATCCATCCACCATAAGTGGAACTATCTAAAGCAAGATTGCTTGACTCGATGCACGTGGACAACACATCTTCTACCTGTGTTTCTGTCGGAAAGTAGAGATGCTAGAGAATTAAGATATCAATTTCATGACTATCAAAATCTAAATTTGAAAAGTGGGTACCTACCATCACTATCACTTCTCATAATCTTCATTGAGAAACACCCCGTTAGGGATGCTTTAAATAAACATCATGTCCCCATCCGCCATTATCACATCAAAGCAAATTTCAGCCTTCCCCCTAGGAACTTCTTCTACGGGCCTTCGAGAATTAAATGAGAAAAAATACTCTGATCACACAACTAATGCGAGGACTAGTACTGCAGCTGTCACTTGAAAAGCATGGTAAAGTCTACGGGAATATGCAGGTAAGCGTAAAGCCGGAATGCGTGTTTGGCTGCTCTACTGCTCTAACTTGGTGATGGAAATGGTCATTAGTGTGCACGTCATAAAGACATGGCAACCAGGCTGGCATTTGTGGAGATTTCTACCTCAATAGATGTGATGGCATGTAGCAAGCTAGAGAGAGAAAGCAGAAAGATGCAAAACAAACACGAAAGTCAAGATTTGGCGACAAAGAAAATGATGTCTGAATGATCCTCGCAGTATGGTAGCTAGCCTTATCCAATGAGCAATTTCTGAGATGCTACCATACCCATACACCCTCGAGTCGCAGTTGCTAAGACAATGTCAGTGCGGGTGACCCAAATTGGATGAAAGGTGCAGCCACCCGTCGACCTTGTCGTAAAAAGCCTTGCCATAGGCCAACCATGTTGTCGCCAATGCACCCGGACAAACGAAGAAGAAGGGTAAGTTTAATGAGAAGAAACGATAGGACAACATGCGCCTTATGCAAGTCATTACGCCTACTTGTAATGCCCACAGCCCCTGGAAGAGACTCGACGAGATCCCATGCAATGAAAGGAGAAGGCAGGGACACCTTTACTTCGATGCACTTTGTGAGACCAAATCGCTCCTCCCTCATTTTATTTCCTTCGGGCCTTCGGTTTCATGATTTACCTGACTTTATTGAGGATTTGAATCAAAAATCAAACACATCTTTCGGGTCAGAACCGTCTTACATACCATTTTTCCCGATTTGCAAGCAATATTCCTTGACCATTTTAGCATTAAGAAAAATAGAAATAGAGCCAATACCCACTTACCCTACTATACGATACGATGCACTCCGCTATTGAGGGTCAGTCCTACCTGTAAGGTCCTGCTTCCAAAGCTATACCGGATGATCTTCTGACAGCCGTTGGAGTTTCAGATCGTGGAGAACGCGTGGGTACAATAAACCTTGATACACCAGATCCATTTTAAGGAATTGGTATAACGCAACGGGAGGAAGATGTCGGCAGGATGCATTATTCGCATCGGAAACATCTTTCTCAACGTGAAATTTCTGTTCGAAGTAACGCAAGAGGTGAGCCTTCCGATGTCAAAGTTTTAATTGAGTAGTACGAATCATGAAAGAAGATCCTGTACTGTACCTCTCCATTTTCTTTATCGCTCGCTCGCTCGCTTTTCTCTCTCTGCGTGCACTGTACCTCTCTCCCTCTCTCGTTATCTTCTCGCCTGGGATTTCTTTCAAAGGACTGTAGCAACGAATCAAACTTTTCGGATATTTTTTTGTTTTCGCGATATCTATTGTAACATTACAACACAGGGCAGAGGTTAGATAGATAGAATAGAGTCAGTACATCAGAGAGCACAGTGTACAGTACTTTACTTTGTACGACACCAGATCTTTGCGAGTGATGAGAGGAAGAGAGGGGGAGAGGAAAGGATCCAGACGAAAGGCCAAGTGCATATTGAGAGAAACAGCAAAAAGATCAAAATACCAGACGAACATGGCGAAGTAAATCCATTGGTGGTCCATTGGCCCACTATTGTATGGAATTATATGGATTGGGATATCTACTCCGTACTATGCAGGTAGGTAAGACCTTGAGTAGGTAATCTGTACAGAGTGTAAATGTATCATTGGAAGAATTTAAAGCCTATAATTGGTTAGTCTATTTATGGTTAGGTCGAGAGCTACCCTTCATCGCTCTTTACTATATTGGTACTAGCGCATATTCAGACGCGATTTATCACTGTTTATTTACTTTTTTGAAATTCACAAAGTTGACATACAACGACAAAGATCAAGGGGAAGTTTTCCTTTGGTCATACACTCTTTCTTCAAATTCACACTTTGATCAGATTCTTCCTTACTTGCTTTTTTGATCAAGTTTTTCTCTAAGAAAAAAGTTAAAAGAAGTTCATCTAGTTATAAGGTATTCTATTTATTGTACTACCATTCTCTTACCTCGGGACTTTTTTCATATTTTGAGGAACAATCTGTTTCTCTCTTTAATTCATCATGGACGACGACTCGATGAGTGATGTGCCAAGCTTTCATATGTCGGACGATGAGTCTGATAACTTTGCTCCCACAGCGGTATGTTGTTCAAATACCTTTTCAGTTACACAAAATGCACTGCCCGACAAACACAACCCCCAACATTGAACTGACCTTTACAAACTAGAAAGCTAAAGCGAAGACTACTGTGAAAAAACCTGCAGCCCCAAAAGCGAAAGCAAAAACAACCAAGGAGCCAAAAATCGCCAAAGCTCCGAAAACCACCAAGGCTACGAAAACCACAAAGAACATACAAACCACCCTTAACATGGCTCCCCAGAAGCGGGCGAGGTCAGGGAGCGACGATGAGGACCAGCAATCTGATAATGACTCATCAAATGATGCGTCGCAGTTGTCCAATACCCCGCCAAATGCGAAGAAGCAGAAGAAAGCTCCAGCCGCCGAAAGACAGGCTACTGAAGCTCTGCACGATGTCGAGAACGAAAGTATACTGGAAATAGAGCCTAAACCCAAGAAGACGAAGACCTCAACGGAACAGTACCAGAAACTCACTCAACTTGAGCACATCATCAAGCGTCCAGATACATATATTGGCTCCGTTGAGAAGACGGAGCAGACTATGTGGGTATTCAATTCCGAGAATAAGGAGATGGAACTGCGAAAGGTTACATTTGTGCCCGGTCTCTACAAGATCTTTGACGAGATTATGGTCAATGCCGCAGATAACAAACAAAATGACCCTAATATGAAGAACATAAAAGTTGTCGTGGATCGTGAGAAGGGTGAAATTAGTGTTGAGAACGATGGTAGAGGTATTCCCGTTGAAATCCACGAAGTAAGTCATTCAGTCACCCTTTATTTTTTCTATCTTTTCCCATGATGATTACACATGAGTTTCATGCACCACTCACATAACCAATGCCCTTGTTTCTCTAGAATGAACACATACATGCGCCCCGTCTCTGAATGTTTACAAGTACTGACATCTTGTCTAGAAAGAGAAGATTTACATCCCGGAGATGATCTTTGGACATCTCCTTACTGGTTCCAACTACGATGATGACGAAGCCAAAACGACTGGTGGTCGTAATGGTTACGGAGCAAAACTTTGTAACATTTTCAGTACCGAGTTCACATTGGAAACACAAGATTCCAATAGCGGCAAGAGGTACAAGCAAACTTGGACTGACAATATGAGCAAGATGGGCAAGGCGAGAATCTCATCTAGCAAGAATGCCGACTTCACCAGAGTTACCTTTACTCCCGATTGGACAAAATTTAAGATGACGGGAATTGACGACGATTTTGAAGCTATGGTGAAGCGCCGAGTGTACGACATGGCTGGAACTGTCAAAGGCGTCAAGGTTTACCTCAATGGAACACAAATCAAGCTTGATTTCAAAAAGTACATCGAAATGTATGCAAAAGCGATCAATAAGGAACGCGGTTCTGATGATTCCAGCGCAAACACTGTTATAGTCGAGGATTCCAAAGGCCATCCAAAATGGGAAGTCGGATTCGCTGTTTCCGATGGTTCTTTCCAACAAGTCTCATTTGTCAATTCAATTGCTACAACTTCTGGTGGAACTCATGTCAATTATATCGCCGACCAGATTTGCGACAAATTGTTAAAGGTCGTTACGAAGAGGAATGCTAAAGGTGCACTCTTGAAGGCCAATCAAGTTCGCAATCATATCTTCTTGTTTGTCAATTGTCTGATTACAAACCCTGCCTTTACATCCCAAACAAAAGAGCAATTGACTACGAGAAAAGCACAATTCGGGTCCAAATGCGTCTTAACAGAGGATTTTCTGAAGAAGATCGGCAAGACCGAAGCTGTAGAAAATATTCTCAATTTTGCAGCAAAGAAAGCTGATCTGGAGTTGGCAAAGAGTGATGGAAGCAGACGTTCACGCATGAATAACCCCAAACTTGTGGATGCAAATTTGGCGGGAACAAAACGTGGTCATGAATGTACTTTAATCCTCACCGAAGGTGACTCTGCAAAAGGTCTTGCAGTTGCTGGTCGAGCGGTTCTCGATCCAGATCGTATTGGCGTTTTCCCTCTTCGTGGAAAGCTGCTCAATGTGCGTGATGCCTCACACGACCAAATTGCAAAGAACGCTGAGATTCAGAACATTAAACAATTCTTGGGGTTGAAGCACAAAACCAGTTACAAGGACACTTTAGGGCTTCGATATGGTCATCTAATGATTATGGCAGATCAAGATCACGACGGTAGTCATATCAAAGGATTGTTGATAAACTTTTTGCAAGTACAATATCCCAGTTTACTGAAGTTGCCAGAGTTCTTTCGAGAGTTTATCACTCCGATTGTTAAAGTATGGAAAGGACCAAACCCTAATAAGCCTACCAACTTACGATCCTTTTTCACCATGCCCGAATATGAAGAATGGAAGGAGTCTAACAACAATGACAAATCATGGAAACATAAGTACTACAAGGGTCTGGGTACGAGCAAACCTGAAGATGCGCAAATCTATTTCAGTAATCTCGATGTCCATCTGAGAGAATTCGAAACAATTAAACCAGAAGAAGAAGAAATGTTGGATCTTGCTTTCTCAAAAAAGAAAGCAGATTCTCGTAAGACATGGTTAGGAAACTTTGTACCTGGTACCTACCTGGACCACACTGATAAAATGCTCACCTATGACAATTTCATCAATAAGGAGTTGATCCTATTCAGTATGGCAGACAATATGCGTTCCATTCCTTCCGTCATTGATGGTCTCAAGCCTGGACAACGGAAGGTCATGTATGCTTGCTTCAAGCGGAACCTCATAAACGATATGAAGGTTGTGGAACTCGCTGGTTATGTCAGTCAAATTTCCGCCTATCATCATGGTGAAGCTTCAATGCAAATGACCATTGTTGGCCTTGCTCAGAACTTTGTTGGTTCCAATAACGTCAATTGTCTTGAGCCCAGTGGAAATTTCGGTAGTAGACTTCAAGGTGGCAGTGATTCTGCTAGCGCCCGTTACATTTTCACAAGACTATCGCCATTTGCGAGAAGAGTCTACTCCGCTCTTGATGACCCAGTTCTTGAATATAATATCGATGATGGTAAATCGATTGAGCCTGTTACCTACTTCCCTGTCGTTCCCATGGTTCTTATCAACGGCGCAGAGGGTATTGGTACTGGTTGGAGCACAAATATTCCAAACTACCATCCCGTGGAAGTTGTGAACAACTTGAAGCGTCGCATGGGTCGTCTAGATGACAGTGGTGAAGAGAAACCATTTGAAACAATGATGCCGTGGTTCCGTGGATGGAAGGGTACCGCTGAGCCTGCTGGTCCAGATCGTTACAAGTTCAATGGTATTATTCGAGAAACTGGTGATACCGAGGTTGAGATTACAGAGTTGCCCATTCGAATGTGGACCGACGACTTCAAAGCTAAACTTGAAGAGATTATCAAGACCGAAAAGGTCCCATCGTTCATCAAAGATTACAAGGAATTCAACGATCACAAAAACGTGCACATGATCATTCAGATGGATGACAAACATATGAAGGAAGCTTTAAAAGAAGGTCTCGCCGAAAAGTTCAAGCTGAATAAGACTGTCGCAACATCCAATCTGGTGGCCTTTGACCATAGGGGCCAGATTCGCAAATATGAAAAAGTTGAGGATATCCTCGAGGAGTTCTACGAGCAGCGCTTAAAGATGTACACTGTTCGTAAAGCACATTGGATGAAGAAACTCAATGTGGAGTATCGCAAGCTCACCAATCAAGCTCGATTCGTTACTGAAATCATTGAGAATAAGTTAATTGTCTCGAAGAAGAAGAAGCCAGTCCTTGTTGCAGAGCTCCGAAAGCGCGGCTACGAGGGATTCCCGAAGGTTACCGATGCGAAGAAAGCTGGCGAGACTGACGATGTGGTTGAAAATGAAGAAGAGGTCGCCGCTGATGAAGACGCTGGAGCTAGAGATTATGATTATCTTCTTGGCGTAAGTAATCTCATATTAACTTTGTTATTACATACTGACTTTTCACTAGCTACCAATTTGGTCTCTCACCCAAGAACGCGTCGACAAATTAAACAAACAGATGTATGATAAGAAAGACGAGATCGACACACTCGACAAGCTCAGCGAAAAAGATCTGTGGTGTGAAGATCTTGATGCATTTGTCCTGGAGTGGGAAGACCAACTCAAGCAAGATGCGGAGATCACTAAGACTATTCGCAATACAAACCGACGTCGTTCAAACAAGATTGGAGCAGGTGGAAAGCCTATTGGAAAAGGTCGGGTAAAGAAGGAAGATGAAGAATTTACTGTTGGTGCAAAGAAAAAGGCTCCAGCCAAGCCGTTGAAGGCAGATCCAGTAAAGGGAATTACAAAGGTGCAGAGCAAACCTCATCAAGGATTCACGGATATGTTCTCCAACAAACCCAAACCAAAATCTGTTGGTCGCTTTGATGGCGGTGACGACTCGGGGATGTCTGATGATGATTTCGCAGCATTGGCGGCTCCCGAAGCTGATGGACCCAAGCTTGATGCTGGTACTGGACGAAGCAAGCGTGCAGCCGCAAGCGCACCAAAGAAATGGATAGTGGATGACGACGACGAAAATGAGAGCGATGACGATAACCTTCTCGGCGATATTGACAACATGGTCAAGGGTATTGGTGGCAACGATAAACAAGATGCTGTGACGGGAAATTCAAGACTCTCTTTGTTTGCAATGTCAACAAGCAATGGCGACAGACCTAGCAGTAGCACGGGTTTACCTAAGCAAAAATCTAAACCCAGCAAGGTGGTCGATCTTTCCGAAGACGAAACTAACTACGAAATGCTTGCTAGAAGTTCCCCTCAAAAGCCTCCAGGCAAAGACGAAGTTGATGGTTTCTTGTCTTCTGATGATGACGTTATCCCGGTCGCCTCCAAGAAGGCTCCTGTTCAGAAAGCAAAGGCAACGAAAGAAACATCGAAGGTTAAGAAAGCCCCAGTTGCCAAAAAACCAATTGCAGAGGTTGAGTCAAAGCCTGCTTCTCATTCACCAGCTGCGAAGGCATATGCAGCGAAACAAAATCGCCTCCAGCAAATTTCTAAAACAATCGGTTACAACGAGGATAATAGCGAGGATGAGGATATGGAAGAAGCCCCACCACTGCCAGCAAAATCTGCTGCCAAAGGTAGACAGGTCAGCTCTAAGGCGACTGCGACTAAATATGCCCTCAGTGATGATTCAGACGAAGACGTTGAAATGGAAGATGCTGCACCACCCAGAAAGGGTACCAACGGTAAGGCTGCTTCCAAGCCAACTTATATCAGCGATGATGAGGATGAATCCATTGCCCCTCCCCCTAAACGAGGGGCCAAACCAAAAGTTTTACCCAAAAAGTCCGCCCTTAGCGACGACGAGGACGACTCCATTGCCCCTCCCACGAAGCGAGGCACTACGTCTAAAGCTGTTTCCAAGAAGTCTGTCGTTAGTGATGACGATGATGAAGATGAGTCAATCGCTCCTCCTCCCAAGCGTTCCACAAGCTCGAAGCCTGCACCTAAGAAGCAAGTGAAGCCAGTCGTTAAAGATGACGAGGAAGACGAGCCGGACTCTCCACCCAAGCCAGTTGCACGCGGAGGCCGTGGTCGTCCAGCAAGACAAGCCGCTGTTGCCAAGACCAAGAAACCAGTTTATACCATCGACTCGGAGGATTCGAATGATGATGACGTTGATGATGTTGATGAATCCGCATTGGTAGAAGATGATGAAAGCGAGGATGACTTCAGCGAGTAAATGGATGGCATATTTTCTATATTTCGGCGTTTGTGGGTGGGATATTCAGCTCGTCACTGTGATTTAGTCTTCTAGGAAAGACTGTTATGCGATATGGTTTCTTTGCCTTAGGATATCAATTTGTGCATCAAGGGATTTTGTGTGCAAGCAAATGGGATCGGTTTCCCACTACACTCTTTTAGTAGACCATTTGTATGCGTATAGTATTTGATCAGTACATAGGTAGCCAATTACGAAATACATCTTTCTTTGTAAAAACAAAACCACAACCGATTGTTGAGGAATGAAGATCTTTGGTGATTGTGATATGTGGTGATCAATATTGTTTTGTAAGGATGCTTTCAATGGTTCGACACTGACAGACGTCTTGTGGTGATCAGCATTTATTTTTAGATGATCATAGCATAACAATAATAAGTAAGTATAGCATAACAGGTATCGGTCCTTGCCTTTCGTACCATCCTAACTCTATCTATGAAGTAGGTAGGTAACATTATCTGACCTCATCTACCTGGGTAACCTTGGATCACGAATTAATTCATAAATATAGAATTATACAATCAATTGTGTGAGCAGCGACCACCTACGTATTTCTTGATCATTGGTGCAATTGAAGGAAGTCTAGGATCCGACTTCATTTTATACCTTGGGTAATTTTAGTAGTATGTATTTATACTAGTTACTCGTAAAGGTATTCTGTTCATATTATTCTGGCCCCCAAACAAATTGATCCAGTACCGACAACAAACTACGCTGTCTATCTACCCATCCTCTCTTGATAGATATCTGTCCGTTCTGTCAAACATCCCATTATCCCCGACCCGTTTTACCCAAGAGATCAGAGACAAGAGGCGAGAAAGTGAGTCCCGAGTCACCAATTTCAGAGAGAGTCAGTCCAGACTGAAAGTGCCATTTTATTGACTCTATTTGGTCCGTACTCCACTAGCTTATTTGCTCTAGAATTCTTAAGGTAGGTTCTACCGTCGCGCTAGTGGGTGCTAGATGGTACTATGACTAAAGGAGAAGAGGTTAGTTCAGGGGTAAGTGGTTAGTGGTAAGTGGATGGGGATGTGGATGGTTGGGTAACGCCTATCATTGATGCGGTGGTTAGTACTAGTTTAGCCTTGGGATGGATAGGGATGGATAGGGATGGGTGATTAGGGTGATGGGGGTGATTGGAGTGATTGGAGTGATTGGAGTGATTGGAGTGATTGGAGTGATTGGAGTGATTGGAGTGATTGAGATGGTTGAGGTGAGTGAGGTGAGTGAAATGATTGAGCAAATGAAGATGACTGAGATGTTTGAGATGTTCCTAATCCTGATATCGCTATCTACTATCATGCTTTGTACCTACCTAGGTATTGTCAGATGTGAGATCACTGAACCTAATCTCTTCTCGGCGTCTATGATGTATATCTCTGGGTATATGATTGGATGGAGATGGATTGAGTTGAATCGAGAAGCATGATATGATATGACATGGGCCGTGGATGCATGTGTCTGCAGGTGTGTCTGCACAAAAGCAGCAGAAGAGTTACATTTCCCCTGAAATTATGCTTCAACCCCCTTAATGCTTGTTTCTTTCTCTTCTTAGCCAATGGTCCATTCCACTTTTCCCAGGTATCCTTGTCGTCCAAAAGTTGGGTAACTTACTTGGCTTGGGGGGGAATTGATTCGTCCTTACTCGATTAAGCTTCCCTCAAATTAATCCACCCACCGTGAAATTTGTATTCAATATCTACCGTGTACCTACTACCTGCTACCTACCAGTGCCTACCGATCTATGCTCCGCTCACTTGTAGAGACTCAAGAGTAGAAAAGATATGCAAATTACCCATCGACCTATGATCTTTCACCAATCACCCCCCCCAAGTTACTCTTGGTCTATCTCACCGCTGCATCCATCTGCATCCATCTGCATCCATCCTGGCAAATTCCTATCGACTCCTTCCCCATCCTTTTCATCATACTCTGACTACCATCTCACTACACTATATGAAGGTACGGACGGACAGCATAATCATAATAAACATAAGTTAATACTAAAGAATTGTTTATACAAACGTTATGTATCTATGTATAGTTGATGTGATGGAAGGGAAAGGAAAAAAAAAAAAACTAAAAAATCTGATACATTCTTTTCCTTCTTGTCAGTGAGATATAATTTTACAATCAACATACTCATATTTATATGAGAGAAAAAAGTCACTCTTTTCAGTCATCATCTCCAATCTCTAATCTCCCATCGCCCATCTCCATCTCCATCTCCATCTCCATCTCGATCACCAGTCACTCGCTCACTCACTCACTCACTCACTCACTTACTCATTTGCCCATCTACCCACCTCCACCCCTTTCTTCCGAGAACTACTTTGTACCCTCATTCCAATTTGTACATACTTACATATTTCACGACTTTCACGATAACCTGGTTTTACGTTTAACTTTCAACGGCTGTCGTCAAGCATTGCATTTACCACCCACGTTTCCTTGAAACATCAAACATCCGATCTCCGTGCGCGCGTCCATTTCTCCTCTGTCTACCTACTTTGCCATTCGACAAAGTGTGACAGCTTGTTTGTGAACATTCATCGACTGGACTCATCGAATTGTGCAACCAGTAATAAATCATCTCGCGGGTTACACTCAAAGGGGGTTCTGCTTTGGGAATTCTTCCACCACGGGTCATCCAAATTTGTTCGTTTGTGAGAAGAGAAACTTAGGGTAAAGAGTGAAGGTTGGACTTTTTTTTGATTGTTTTAATTACAGTGGAGTGAACCAATTTTTGAACAGAGGTTGGGGTGCCTTTATTGTCATTCCGACCTGTTTATCGTACTCCAACGCGACGACGTTCGTTCCTGAGACTTCGAGGCCAGAATGGAATCCACCCTGGATCGAATTGTGGAGGATAAAATTCACCAGGAGGGACAGGCTATGCAGCATGATTCTATGGTTACAGTGCGACTTTCCGAACCGCCAATTCTAACACTCGACACGAAGAGACATTCCGACAAAATCATCACAAATGAGGAATCGGAGACGAGCGAGGAGATAAATACTCCTACCGACAAAAGGCAGACGATGAGGAGTATAATGGATGTAACAGGGAAGGAAACGGAAACTGGCAGTCTCGAAGACTCGCCGAGAATTACAATGGTAGATCCAAATGGCAATGAAGTGCCCACGCCTACAGGCTCAGAATCAGCAGAATCGGAACAAAACAATTCGAGGAGGGCAAGCGATAGCTCTGATACATCAGTAGAGGAGGTCAATTGGGAGGAATTGGAGAAGACAGAGGAACAACAGCCGAGAAATCAGGATTCTGATGATGTAAGGTTATGAAAGACGCGTACATTTTCCAATACTGACATGTTGCAGTCCACGGCTTTGCTGCTAGCCAGGCTTGAGCAAGAAAACAATGCGATCGCCTCGAACCCGAAGTCTGGTATCGCAAAAGTTCAAAAGGTTGAGAAACAACGAGCGCGCGCTCAATCCAGACCACCATCGATGCAACATCTCAAGAAATTGGTCAATGGCCCTACACCCTCAGCGCTTCGATACTCCGTCACCCCTCCACCCCCCATGACCGACCTCGAATTTTACGCCGCACTTGTACAAGACTACCCAAGAACTGCTCAATATTTACCTACATTATTGTCGAAGAAGATTAGAAGTGGTATTCCCCCGCCACTGCGAGGTGTAGTATGGCAAAGCATGTCAGGGGCCCGCGACAGACTATTGGAGGAGCAATTCGATAGACTCTGTGGCGAGTCAAGTCCATATGAAGGAATTATTGGCAAAGATTTGGGGCGAAGCTTTCCTGGTGTAGAGATGTTTCGCGATCCCGAGGGGGATGGACAGCGCATGCTGGGAAGAGTTCTTAAATGCTTCAGTTTATACGATCACAAAATTGGGTATTGTCAAGGCTTGGGATTTCTTGTTGGACCTTTATTGATGCACATGGGGGATAAGCAAGCATTCTGTGTGCTCGTACGGTAAGATATCAGCTATGCGACCTGTCACAATATTTGCTAATCATCTGTAGTCTCATGGAACATTATGACCTACGAAATTGCTTCCTTCCTGATCTCTCCGGTCTCCACGTTCGAATACACCAGTTTCGAGAATTGCTAAAATTGCACCTACCGGCCCTATCAACACATCTCGATGTTTTACAAGTCGAACCTGCATACGTTTCCCAGTGGTTCCTATCATTTTTTGCTACTACTTGTCCTTTACCGATGCTTTTCCGAATCTACGATGTTATATTTGCTGAAGGTGCTTCAGAAACTATCATGCGAGTTGCCCTGTCATTGATGAGAAAGAATGAAACCAAAATTTTGTCATGTACCGAATTTGAGGATGTAATGCAATTACTTCTCTCCAGGGGTTTATGGGACGTTTATCATTACAATGCCGATGAATTCGTCAATGATTTCGTTAGTCTGACAGGGATTGTAACACACGAAAGCCTTCAGAACTTAGAAGCGGGCTATCGGGAGTCTCAGATTGTTGATACTGCTATTCCATCGGACGTAGGATCAGCAGCCTCACGATTTCTCGGACGATTATGGGCTGGCTCTAATTCGTCAACAAAATCAGCCAATCTCACTCCTAGTCCAGGGCTTAGCGCCCCATCACGTCCCGTTAGTTTCTTGAGAAGATCCCCTTCAAAGCAGAGTTTAGCTTCTACACTAAATTCTATAGAGGGTAGCGGATCTGAAAGTATGCTCAGCACTTCAACGGATGCAACCAGCGTTTCTCGTGATTCAGCAACTGCTGATGGCGCCTCAATACGGGCTCAATCATTTGCTAGTGTCAGTGCAACAAAAACTCCCGTCAACAAAGATAAAAATCTGCACAGTCAAATTGAAGATCTTTTGATGGCTCTAAGTGAGATGCAGCGAGATCATGCCATACTTGCTACAGAATTGCAAAGAGAGAGGGAGGAACGTGAAGAAGATAGGACTGCTGTGCAGCCGTTGATTGATGCATTGAGGAAGAAGACTAGTGAGGACGCAGTGGAAAGCTCGGAAAGTGATGTCAGTGTTGAAACAGTGAAGGGAATGGATGTAATTGCAGAGGAAGCGAGTCTAGATGAAGTGCCCAGAGATGAGGAGCTGGCGACACCCGTCGTTGTTGACGAGTCGGAGATTAATGAAGTCACCGCTCTCCCGATCATCACCGACGATATTTCCAATCTACTTGATATTGTGGAAGATCGTTTTCAAAATCCCGTCGAGAATCGGAGATCTTCTATGATGTTGACAAGATCTCAACTTCGTGAAGAGCTCGATCGATCGAAAGAACAGCTCCTCATCGAGACATCGAGGTCTCAGGAATTGAGCAGGCGTATTGTTGAACAAGACCAAGAAATCAGTAATTTACGAGATCAAATCAGGGAAACTCAAGCTCATGTGCGGAATTCACATCAAGATAGACAACGATTGGAGAAACAAGTATATGATTTGCGGAATTCAAGGAAGAGTGCCCAGTCGACCCCGGATGGTTCAAGAGATCATGAAATCGAGTGGGGCGTCAAAAGTGCAACCACAGGAGGACTTCGAGAATTGAAGCTTGTTCGCTCAAATTCCAATCGTTCGGTGGCCACAACTTACAATAAACGAACTTCAAGCCTTATATCTCCGCAGAATCTCAAAGAGAACGAAAATTTCCGCGCTTCTACATCGTCTGAGCAGCAACATTCTCCCAAGGACGACGTAGATTCCGATTCATTAGTTCTTGAACTTGTACAAGCAAAAACCGCTGAAGCGGTTGCTAAACAAGAAGCAGAAGAAGCCAAGCTTAAATTAGAAAGCTTGAAGAAGATGTTGGCCGGATTACAAAATGGCGAAATGCCAACCTCGGGTTTTGGACATTCGTCAAAACCTAGTCTTGATAGGTCGATGACAACTATACCTGCGAAAAGTACTGTTCCCAAGATTGAAACACCAAACGCGCCAGCTAGTGTACCAGCTACACCAGCACCAGCTAGCGGTGGTGGATTCTGGGGTTGGGGGAAAAAAGCTGCTGCTAGTGCTGAAGGAAAATAGGTGTTTGTTGATATAAAGGTTTCTTGGTGTGGATGTTTGAGATGTTGGGATGTTGGGATATGATACGCGTTGTTTAAAGCATTGGAGGATATGAAAGATGGGAAGAATTGATGAGAACGAATTGAACAATTGCAGGGGGTTCTTTTTTTCTTTTGCTTAAGCTTGTTTGCTTATTGTTGTTTGTACTTGCTTTTGCCCTTTTGGTACATTTCTTCGACGCGATTTTTTGACTTTACAAGCAAAATACCCGAGAGTGCGTGGCCTTGTGTAGATGGCTCTTTTTATATTAGTGGAGGGGGCTTGCGGATGTAAGTTTATTGTTTATTGGTGAAAGCGGGGGCTGGATGTTTATAGAAAGGATTTGGGGCTCTGAGATTAGGAGTGAGGGGGAAGGGAGAGTAGAGAGCATTTTACTTGGGATGTATGGTGTATGATGCATGGTTGGTGAAGTGTGAGAAGGTTTAGGGATGCAAGAAAAGGAGAGCGAGGGACTTGGTAGGCGAGGACTGGGTGGGGATAGATAAGGTGAAAGGAAGATAGAAATGCAATGCAATGGTGATGAATTCTACATAAGGATTTTATTTCGATATTATGTCATGATGTGATGTGAAGTGTTTCTGTGTTGTATACGTAATGAGAGTGTATTATATGTATGTATGTATGTATGTATGTATGTATGTATGTATGCTTTTTGTTAGAGGTGAGCATACCCAGTAGATGTATGAATAAAACTTATAGGTCAAGTATTTTGATACTTTGTTCTGGGAGTAGGGAGGTGGATGGGATGCGGTGGGGAATCAATGGATGGTAGATGGATAGATGGATAGAGAGGGTTTTTGGTAGGTGCGTAGAGCTGGGTAATGGATTTGGGGATATGAGAGGGGGGTGGGATTGGGGAGGTGGATTGGGGCTGGGGGGGGGAGGGTATGAGAAGCTTAGAGGATGGATGGGGATGGGGGGGACTAAGGTGTGGAGAGTGGGAATGTGGAGAGGTGAGAGGTGAGGTCAAAGGGAAAGGGAATAGATATGAATAAGAATAGAAAAATAGAAAAAGTTATAAAGGCAAGAGATGGATAGATAGATAGATAGATAAATAAATAAATAGATAGATAGATAGAAAAAATTAATTAATTGTATGGAAGTTTAAGAAAAGGAGAGGGGCAGGGAAAGTGCATCCAGAGAGGTGTGTGGTGTAGTATAGTATAGTATAACATGATTGATATATTTATATAAAATAGAATTGTAAAAAGAGAAGTGAAGAAAAGAAGGAAGAAAAAGATAGAAAGAAAGTGTGTTAGCGGGAGGGAAGATAAGTTGTGTAGAGAGGGCTTGGTGGATTTGCTTGGAGTGGCGAGGAGATAGTAGATTGAAGAATGGAAATGAGAGTTTGGGAGTTTAGATTTTGAGGAGGGGAATAGAGGGGGAAAGGAGAGGTGGTTTGGGAGATGGGCTGGGGATTATGAGAGGATTATTTTGGTTATCGTTTTTATTGTCACTTTTTGATGGAATGTGAAATTGCGGTTTGGGATAGTCGTGGCTTAGGATATCGAAATTGAAAATTGGAGTGCAGGATTGGGAAGTTGGGGATTGGATTACGAAGGGGAGGGTAGTGTGGGATGGAGATGAGCATCATTAGAGCGTTGAGAAGAGGGGATGAGGATATTGTGGTGGTGAGCTGGAATGACAAAAAAGGAAGAGGGGGAGGGAGAAGGGAGTGGGGGAGTGGGAGGAAGGAGATGGTATAGGGGGTGAATACGGATACAAATATAAAGACCCGATACACAAAAGTGTGATACTACAAAACGTATGTGTATCAATGACTGAAATGCTAAAATCACAAAAATCGAGAATCTGTCCGGGTAGGTAATCTTATTTCAGAAATACTTCGCCAAAATGGAAGAGTCTTTACCTAACGCACACAAAATCTTAGATCTCCCTTCTCACTCTCACCATTTTCGGCATAATTTCACAACAGCAAGTATATCTCATGATTAATTGACGTGTGAATTTATTTTATCTTAAAAAATGCACGGTGAAAATTGAGGGGAAAATGTACTTTTATTTCGATTAGTTTAGAAGGGGAGGTAAGTAGTTCTACCTAATAGGTACTAGATAGAGAATTGTAGTGTTGATGGAAGCTTATAGTTTATAGTTTGTAGTTTGTAGTTTATAGGTTAGGTGAAACTTGTTGGGGTCAGGCTTGTAGTTTGTGGGAGGAGATGTGCAACAATGGTTTTAATTTGGCGGGGGTGGTGAGTGGTTGGATGGGATGAGTTGGGGTGGATTGGTGGTGGTGGTCTTGATTGGGGGGTTGCGGTTAGTAGAGTAGTTTGTGAGTTAGATCCTTTGAGGTTACGACTTGTGGTTGTTGGGTGTACGGCTTGTAGGGATGAGGGAGGTAGTTTGGGGAAGGAGGCGTGTAATGTGATTATAGTTTACTTTAGGATATTTTTGGGCGAGTAATGGGGGTGGGAAAGGATGGTATGGATGGTATGGATGGTATGGATGGAGATTCAATGTTTGGGCGGAGTGAGTCTTATGTATTGGAAGTTGATGTTTATTTTATCAATGAGTCGACGGGATATTTTGATGGAGAGAAATATGGGCGAGGAGGAGTCAGTGATATGTGATATGTCAGAAAAGTAGTGGAGTGAAGGTTGGAAGGGCAACAAAAGGAAAAATGTACGAATGAATGAGCGTAGTATCGTGGGGTAGTCAAGATGTCGATGGAAATGAGATTGATGATATCTCTTCCGTTAAATTAGGAGGGTAGTAGGATGACATTAATGAAGAAGTTGGAAGTTCACTGCAAGCTCGAATTGAAAAGCAGAGGAAGTATCTGGCAGGATGTATAACTCCATCTCTTTGCGCTATCTGTGTGCAATGTGTTCTCTCGCTGAAACGCTTTCCAAATTTAATTTCCATGGCATCATAGTTTCACGCAATCCATGGGTAATTTTCCATTTTTTGGAATGTAGATAATTGTATGCATCAATTGCATTATGAATGGAGGTATCGCTAATCAATCCTTCATACCAATTTCCCACAACATCTATAAGAAATCTTATATTCCCAACTCTCTAAACCTTTATACATTATCCAAATAGAGGTATCCTTAATCATTTCTTCATATACATTGATATCTGATATCCCATAACATAACTCCAAATTATCCCCAAAATCATACTATATGACATAGAATTACCACACATCACACCCCATTTCAAATTAATTTCACCACAGATTTCCTACTGGATCCGTTCAGGTGCAAGCACAGCTCTCGCAGGTCTTGAAGGCATCATTGTGGAAGTGGCAGCAGTGGTGAAGTTATTGGTAGTAGCATCATCTTCTTTTTCGGAATCAGAAGAATTAACTTCGAGATCGTGGATATCGGCCTTGGAGAATCGCTTGCGGTTTAAGATGCGGCCGATGGTTATGATGAGGGAGAGGATGAGGATTGGAGTGATGGTTAGGGCGAGGCCGAGGTAGGCGTGCATTTTGCGGATGGACTGGGTATTTTTGGGTGTGGTGATTTTGTAGTCGTTGGGGTGAGGTTTGTTGGAGATTGGGATGTGGTTCCGTGGGTTATCTGTCGGGATGATAGTGTTCTTTCTTCGATGGAGAATATATATGAGGAGGAATAGTGGATAGATTGTTTGTTTGGAGGTCGACTTTATGAGGTGTAAGTGACTGAAAGATGGTTTCCTTGAGATTTGTATCGAAGTTTCTTCTTTGAATATTTGAACTTGTGCAATGTTTTTGAATGAAAAAGAATTCTATCTCAAGAGATTGAAAGACTCCAGTCCCAAGAAATAATTGACATTAGAGTTTGTGGGTGAGCTAGATTGCGAGCTAGATGGCGAGCTAGAATTAGTGAGGCTGCTAAATCCATCTTTGATTGGGAGAATTGAGGTGTCCTTATGTTTTTGCAAATTTGGGGATATTCTTGGTGTGTAATTGGCTACTAAACCATTTAGTTTTTCTTTTATTTCTATTTCGAATACCGCTAAGCTCAATTGCTCTAGTTCATCGGTCTCGTGAATCGTACTGATGATCAGTCGCGTAAAGTCTCCGTCAATGGGGCCATAATGCATTTGTAGGAGCACAACTACAACTGCGTTGTACATTACAACATGATAGCGAAAATAGTTTTATGAGTCTGGGTATGTCTACTACATTCAGCCTCCTTGCGATGCGATGATATTACCTGCTCAGAGGTCTTGAAGTATGGCATGTGATCTTTTCACCATTTGACTTTTTGGAAAAGACACGTTGAAAAATGGTACTCGAGGTCATGATGACCACAATCCCTTTGGTTTTAACAAGGCTCTGAATACTTTCGAAGTAGTAAATTTATAACAGTTTTGGCAAGACTACAATACTACACCTTCAGGATAGATGTGATGATAAACGAGCCCTAGAACGAAGAAACCAAAGTTGATCTGAATGACACCAACAGTATAAGGACAGGTTTACATGTAATAGAAATGACATTGAACAAGAAGTTTTTGACCTGCAGTGACGAAATAATGAAATACGCTAGATACCCCAGATTTTCCGGCGATTTAGAAGCTTGGCATGCTTTTTACATCGTGCAGTTTCGGAACGGCACCCCGAACTTCTTGAGACGCTCGAATAAAGAGCAGAAGAGTACGTCCCTATCACCCAAGCCAGTTCTCAAACTATTGAGGACCGCCAAAGGTACGGTAAGCGTGCTCCTTTAAACATCGCGGACAAAGACTAGTAAGCTAACGAAAAACACCACACGCACTGGCGTCGGCGTCAGCGTCAGGTAAAATAGGAGCCGCTCCTCTTGACTTGTTGCTTGGAACCGATATGCAACCCATTATTGAGAGTGGTCGACCCAATTCATGTATATTGCGACCTACGGTACGAGATACGGTCGGTCGTCGTCCTGTCGTTGCAGGGGCTGAATTGCCCCACTGTACGAATGATGCTTTGTCATCCAAATTCCAACCTCATCTGTGACACAAGGTCAATGAAGAACTGTGAAATATCGCTAATAAACACTTTCATGGATTAATTGTTGATTGAAACACTGGATGAATTAATCTGATTAACAAGAAAGTCCAATTCGTCTTTGAAAATACGGATCAATTGTACACGTTCCCGTTGATGAGAGCTATTTGATGTGCTCCAGTCATGTCACTTAAGAGGCTAGGATTTCATGTGCAGAAGGGGACAAATCTAAGCAAGAACTGTTAGGAATTAGTTCTTTACGAAGAGTTGTCAAGTGATAAGAGCTACCTTGATTATTGTTCCATGGCTTGTTCGCAGACCAGTGTTTGCTCTCAAGAACAGGTGTCGGATTCTAAACATGCCGTTTTCGAGTTAAAGTTTGCATCTCGAGCATAATACCTACATATACCTAAAGCTTCTCATGATGATTGTGCTTGCTATGAAAGTAAAGCATGTCCGGCATTCATAAGCATTATTGATACAATGACCAGCGTCAAGTATTTGTCTCTCACATGAACATGCAATCACTCGAAGTATAACAGGCTGGGGTTGCACTTTCGGTGCTCTTGCGAAATACTTTTTATATACTGGTAGAACAAATTGACTATTAGAGAAGCTATCACACTATGCAAGGTCTAAAGTCCCGCAATGATGTATATAATTATGTCAATCATGTACTATCACAGAGCTTCATGTGTGCTTAGGTTTCTCAAGGAGTTGGATCTCGAATTTTCGATTCAGTTCCTCAATTCTATCCTGTCAAATGCTTGGAAACTTCTAGTTTGTCTTGATTTCCGTAAGTCTGTGCTTTTCTGGTGTGGTAAAAGGTTTGAATGAATTGGCTCTTCTGTCAAGTAGACAAGATCATATGTATCATCCCGATCCCGATCTCTCTTTGCAAGTGTCCAAATCGGAGAATCTAATTATTTCCCGATAAAACCCGACTCTATGGTTGATATGCTCAGCCACTGACCAAAATAAAAATGAGTGAATGAATAACCAGAAACCTCGGGTTTCGGCAGAGACAAAGGTTTGTTGTTTTATGATTGACAGCCCTTTTACGTATGGGTTCCTGGATGAATATTAAACTGCAATGATGTAAGGATGGCCTTGGTTTTGTAAAATAAAAAAGATCACGTGGAGTGTTAGGGAAGAAGCAAGAGCGATGGGCTGGTAATGAAGTAATTTGGAGACCGGATAGTGAGAGAGTATAGGGCGGAACTATTTTGATGGTGAGATAACAAGAATCACTTTCTCAAGAATTGCAGGGCATATAGATAATTCAATACAAGACACATTTGATATATTTTACTTCTATGGACGTGTTTGAAGATACATTATCCTGCCTTCTTCCAGTCATCTTTTCAAGCTCATGTTGATTAAGTTGCTCTAATATTGTACATCGGATGGGCAGCATGTTCTAATTAATACAATAGAAGTAACAATTTAATATCTAATTACCTCCGCATTTTGAACTTGAAAATACTCTATAGTGAATGCCACTCTATTCGGAATACCTCGGGCCTCGACTTAAATATAGCCAATTGAAAAATTACATGCCCCAATCTGATATCACAAGGCGGGGGAACAATTCACTTCCGCGGCAGGTGCCATCTCTTGTTTCTCCTTAGCGCAGAAAACTTGGAAATCCTGTTGCGAGGCATGTACTATATCTCGCATTCGCATAGCAACCATCTCCTCGTCTTCCCCTCTCACAAATCAAACCACCTCAACCACCAAGAGGCCATCAATTATTAAATTCAAGTCAAGGTTTCTTTGACTTCAATACTTCAATACCTTCTTCGATAACAAACCTCTTTCTATTCTTTTCATTCAGATCAAAAACAACGCGACGAGTCACTATCAGTGGCTCGTCGTGGATGTGCTCAACCTCTATGAGCCTTCAATTTCTCTTTTTCTATTGATCAACAGTCTTTCAAAGAAGAACGGTTCTCAAGCAAAGGTCTCATCTATCTCATACTGCTAAGTAAGTCTTGCTACACATGCACTGAATTTCCGTTTGGTTCCTGACACTTCTTTCGCAGTCGACGTCCGTTAAAAATGCTCCAATCTGCCATACCAGCAGATCGGCATTTTTGTCAAGTATGTAATCAAGTCTGTTATCTCATTAGATATCAGTCAAAGTATTCTCGCATAGTTCTTATGGTATAAGTCTTCGATCTTCCTGCATCCTGTTTTTGTGCCATTACTGACGCGTGTTGTGCAGTCTTCCTCAAACCACGCATGCAAGCTTCTTTCGTTTTGCAATTTTCATTACCACCATGAATCAATATCGTCCTTATCACACAACATCGCCGTGTTCACTCGACACGACTTCTGGCGAAGATTTCAATTTGTCACTAAAACAGTCGTCCACCAAATTATCATTAGGTGTTCCTTCGTTCCGATGTCACTTCTATTCTTTCCTGTGTTCTTCACAGTAATGTAAGTACTGTTACTGAGTCATCTTTTTTCGATTACTGACTTTTTATACCACAGTTTTGTTCCTCTGTGTGCTCAACTGCGGAGTTGTCACACCATGACAATACCAATCAATCATTCGATCCATTCACGTGTTTCCATCACGATGGGTACCTTCTACGTTACTGCGAACCTCAAAAGTGAGCTTCAATATGGTCTCAAAATATCCTGAAAAGGGCGCAATCATGTCTTTCAATCGTCTCTGTTCAAACATACCTCCAAAACCTCTCGAGCCTTCGGCGCTGTCTATTTTAATTGGTAACGCTAAATCTCCTGCAAGATCCAGTCATTTTGCTAACAGACTAGTCAGGCGTGATAGAGACTGAGAAGTCAAAAAGGCGAAATGTGATGACGAGAATACTGGTATAATCTCTAATATTTCACCTCCCAAGACTTTTCACGTCAATGTCCAACTTTCGACTCCTGGCGGTAGAGGTATCTTCTTCAATTAGAATCAACTCTCATCAACTCTGCGAGCATCAATTAAATCTCATGCAATAATGCAGAGTATCTCTTCTTCGAATACTCTTTACAAGATACCTCTCCGTCACCTCTCACGACCTCAGAATTGCCTGATGCGCTTGAGGATAGTACCTCTACTTCAAACAGCCATTGCTTCTGCAAGCATTGCATCTTCCCTGCATCTTCAATCCATGTTTCAACAACTGTCAAGGGAGCAATTCTGAGGTCACTCCTCATCTTGCGCCTGCTTCGAGGGCTGAATCAAGTACACCTCACTGTCAACGAATCAGTATTGATGAATCTATAACAAGATATTCATACCACCAATTCAACATTGACATTTCAAGCCAAGCTTGATTGTTTCCTCACTTTCAATGACAGCCACAGCCCTCGAAGCAGAGCTCTCCAACCACTTTCCTTGACGATCGACCTCGATAACCCTTTTTTCTTTTTGTATGTAGATAGTTTGTGCTCTTGTTTTCTCTGTGTGGATTGGTTGGCTGCTGAGTAGCACGCACCATCTGAGTAGCATCCCCTTTCGGGACAATGACTACTGGAACTTGTAGCTAGAGCGGCTTAGTAGCCAATCTGAATGTCCAGTGGAGATTGCTATTTCTGACATGTTTGCCACCCATTTTAGTGGTGTAAGAGAGGTTGGCGTTTGGGTCGCGAGTAGGTTCTATCGGCGGCGGAAGCTCATTACTTGCCAACTATTCGGTGGCTGGTTTTTCAGTATGTATGGATTTGTTGAACTTTTTAGATCCGCCTATCTTGGGAGCAGCGTATAGTTGCTCCCCGCATTTCAATGGTACGTTGCTAAGTGCTTCTCCCCCTGTCCCCAATTCCCTAACAAAGAGAACACGATGCTGATACCCCAAGCCGTCGAAAGTGTCACCTACAGTGGGGAAACTATCGTATAGCAAGCCAGCTTGCCGAGTTCACTAAAACGTTATTTCAGTTGAGCACAATAGCTTATGTGTTTCAAAGACTTCTGTTCTATGAATACTTCCAGTACAACTGTTCGGCGATTTATCGTGGTACAAGCAAACCGTCCAGTATTTTAAAGGGCTGCTACTCTGCGAACGCTTCCAGTACAACTGTCTCAAGATTCGCTATAATGCAAGTAAACCGTACAGTGTTCATAGGGCTTTTGCTCGATGAACGCTTCCAGTACAACTGTATCATAGCGGGTCTCGATGCAAGTAAACCGTACAGCCACAAGCTCCGAATCTCATCATTACAGAAAGCTGTGTCTTGCCGCATTAGTTTTACCTGTAAAGAGAAATGCAAGAAAATATGGTCTGATGGGATTTTTCCCTGAAAGCTATGTCGGTATTCATTTCACTGACTTGCGAAAGTGTACGTTGACGCTCGATGGTGATGGTTGAGCCAAGTGACGGCCAGCGACGTGTATGCGGCTTATGATTCTGTTTGTGTCTTTGTTGTTTCTTGATCGTAAGTCTGTGATGAGTTGAAGATCTGTGTGGGAGTTGGCTTTATGAACCGATGGTTCAGATCTGCTCGCAACATTAGCACTTTGTTTCCGTGAATTAGAGATCATTGTGGGGACTTTGGCTTTTGTGGGGTGTCTGCTTTTGTGGGTGTTGGCTACGATCTTTCGTTCTTCGGAACTTAATTTCTCAATCTCTAATTCTAAGAAAATATCGTGTGTTGCAGGCTTGATCTAGTGGGCTTTGGGGGAGATACCGTACCTTGGTTGTTACTTGTGACCTATTGATATTTGAAAGCGCAGACCATTTGTGGAACCTCCTCAGAATATCACAGGCGCAAGGAAAACAGATCTTCAACTCAACTCTCACATTCTAACTTTCTATGGGCTTCAATAATCATCCAGCATCATACTCCAATGCACATAGCTCCATCCATTACGATAGCACGATCCACGTCTATCGCATTTGATCTTAGAACTACTGGTGTTGGCTTGCTGAGTATGCGATAAATCCCGTTTTATCGTATGCGACGATGCTCGACAGTACCTTATAGAACTTTGATCATTTGTACGGGCTGATAGTGGTAGGGAGATAACGTGCGGAGAAAGGAAGATCTTGGATCGTGTGACACTGTCCCGATCAATGAGATCCTAGCCTGACTCTTGATTGTAGATGCTTGCATCTCTCATGAGGACCGTATCGTCAAAGACGGTGCGGCTTGCAGGAATACTAGTGAGCTTTCCAAGTTTCTAGCTGGACTCATGTTCTATGAGGAGCCCTCACATGGTTGGGAGAGCAATCCCTGGCTGTGCGGCTTGCCGGGTACTAGGTCATTTTGACGCTTGGATTTTCTTCTGGACGATGATGCCGTTATTGATTTCCACTAAATATTCAGTTGGTGCAGGCAGGAGTTTAGCAATGTGTCTTGCCACCGGGGCAAGATATAACGCGAAGCTCATCAAAACTGCTTGCAAGAGTTGTTGATGGCATTGCTGAGCAATATGGAAAGCTACCCAGAACAAGGTGCAGAAAGGTGAATAGTAAGGTGTTGCCCAATGAAGAAGATACTGCATATCCAACAACTTTCATGGACTTGTCACTGCCTGAGTGTGGAGACACCTCATGGGGTTAGATTTAGTTTCTGATTGTTGTCATGTCTTTCGAGGGCGCTTGCTATTTAGCTAAATACTGTATATCTGGATACTGGTTACAGATATTTCTACCTACTTTGTTTCTCGGAGTAACGGAGTGACGTGGGTATAGTGTATTGTCTGTATGAGGAGAATTCCGAAGGCACATCCTCAGGTATATCCACTCCGTTGCGCTGCGTAAGTCTTCTCCTAGCGATGATGCGTGTCATGAATCCAAAGCGCGGACTCAGCAACTCTTCCCGGATTGGGAGAATCCTATCTTTAAAGTTCAGTCACTTCCACCTGGCATTTCCAGTGAAGGTAGAAAGCATGGCGTGGGTGAAAGTCTTGTGTCATTGTTCTGCGCGGGGGCTTTGAGAAGCTAATTGGTAGTTACCTTTCTATCCACCATTTCCAGTTCTACCTTAGCGGGTTCTACTGTGGGTGTAGCTGCAGTGGAGTTGTTCGGCGTCTACCTGCCCCTGGGGGTATACAAATGGGCGTGCTGAGGCTTCACTCCTCGGTCCACTCGGGGATTTCGTTGTTCAACCACCGGGCACTGAGACGAAATTAGGGCAGCAGACTAGTCTGTTCGTGTTGTTCGGCCAATCGATGTGCGGAGTCGTGTCGGCGCTGAGGCATTGTCCGTCCAGTTAAAAAGCAACGAACTTTGGTGACGTGGTTCTTATGGCATTTTTCGTTGACGGGGACTCTTAAATTGTGCTACTGTCTAGGTGTGGAGACACCCTAGAGGTTAAGTTTCAATTCATAAGTTTTTCTGGCGCGGGATTTGTTACTGCATTGATGGTGAACGACCTGTGTCGTACCGGAGTAGCCGTCTCTTCGTCTTGTTTCGTTCCGACCTGCCTTTCGGCGCTGAACTGCGGCAGCGATGCCCAAGGAGGGGTACTGCTTGTGGGGAGGTGTTGTTTGGTGGAAGATTCTTGCGGGTAACTTTCATGTCCGAAGATTGGTTTCGAATTTCTGAAGTCGGCGATCTCGTTTGAGGGCCTTGTTGAGACTCCTTCGGGGGACTCTGATAGGTTCCTCTTGAGGTTATCGGCTGACGGGAGGAGACGCTGGTCCTAGGCTTAGGAGAGATCCTATGATCCGTTGTTCGGTCACTTCGGTGATGCTGAGGCGGGGATGGTGAACTTGCGTTTTGACCTGTTGTTCGGTCTTCTGATTGACGAAAGTTCAGATGAGGTTTCCTGTGGGCTCAAGGAGTTGCTCGCCGGGTCACCTTCGGGTGGCTCACAGGACGGCTCTGCGAGTTCTAATGGTTTCCTCTTGCCAATCCGACTGAGTTTCTCGACGAGTTGTTCAACGAGTTGCCTTCGGGTGACTCACCGGACTTCTCATGAGATCTCGAATGGGGCGGTAGAGATCTCTGACGGGTTCCTTCGGGTTCCTTGATGAGATCTTCTCTGTGCTGGGACTTAGGTTTCTCAGGTGAGGTTCATGTTGACTTCCAGAGTTGCTCATAGAGTCGCCTTCGGGTGATTCGCCGAGCTTCTTTGCGATTTCTGATTGTTCTTCTTGCTACACCGACTGAGAGTCCAACGAGTTGTTTAACGAGCTGCCTTCGGGCGGTTCACCGAACTTCTCCGCGGGTTTCTCGACTGGGGTAGCGTGAGGCCTTCTGATAGGACCCTTCGGGGTTCCTTGACGAGGCTTCTAGAGATTCCTCGACAGCTTTCAGTTGATGCTGAGGCAGTAGTGAGAAAACTCAGTGGCGAAGTTTCAAGGGGGCTTGTGGAGGACTTCGGTCTGAAGCAGGTTTTCTGATTGGTTTATCTTACTGTCCAGTGATACCTTGGGTTCAGGTGGCTTTCTCTACGGAGTTTGCTACGCTGCGCCGGGGTCGTGGGTGGGACGTGCGGCCTTTCATGTTACTAAGTCAGCGGTGACTGGGCGGTTGGGTAGGACAGTGCCTTCGGGGTCTTCGGATCTTGTTGGTGTTGCACCACCTCTTCGTTCTGATCCGTTAGAGAGGACTTGCACCGTTGTTTTGGGTACTTACACCGACGATTTAGTATTGATTCGCTGTTCATGATGGTTGGTGAAAAGCACTCATGCTACGCTGGTTCTGGTAGTTTGCGTCCCGAAAGGGTTTGCTCTGAAGATGGTGTCGTTGCTTACTTGGGGGTTTGCTGCTTGCTGCGGTGGATGTGCTGCTGGAATGGACGGAATTGGCGGTATTGATAGATGAATTTGGTAGACGGGTTTGGTAGATGGATTGGAATTCGCTCGGAGGACCTCCTTGGCATGTCGGTGCCCTTATTCGAGAATTGAAGAGCCCGAACTACGACTCTCAACGAATACTCAGCTTGACGCAAAAGTCACCACCCTCAACAAGAACTTCAATCAAAACGACAACCCACCAAACCATCAACATGGCAAGAAAATCACAACTCTACTGCGCCAGGAACTATCACTTGTTCCACCGACATGCTTCTTTCAAAACTCACAACACATTCAATTCGACATATGCTTGGTATGGGATGAATTATGGAAGGGCGGTTATTTTGTAGTCATATGTTTTGTATTAGTAGAGATTGGCAGCAGCAGCAAGACCCTAGCACTGTAGATAGATAGCTGGAGAGATAGTGACATCACCCTCGTCATTTCCTGTAGACTTCATCCTTCTGGCATAAATTGCCCTGTTTACTTAATGGAATACCTTCTCTTAACTTGACTTGACTCTTCTATGATCTGTGGTGTGAAACTTTGGTATTGTAAAGTGATAATTTCTGGTGGGAATATACTTGACAGCGTTCTATAAGTTTACGTTTGTACTTGCCGAAAAGTTCTTGAGGTGGGGTTCGGATAAATACTTGCATTATGCATGCAGCTTCCCTGACATTTTCGTATATCCGCGTCTTTCCGTACTCGTGTCAATTTAGAAAAGCTTTCGAGCTCATTGGGTGACTGGAAACATGATTGGAGATCTCTGCACCTCTTTGCATATTAATTTTGAGGTCGGCAGCTTTTTCTACCAGCTTTCTCTCCTTAGCCTCCTTTCACGGAAATTGACAGCGGCTTAGGGACGCCCACGTTTTTGACACGAGTTAACTCGTGACACCAATGGGTGAGATAATTTGATTCTAATTTTTGATCTCAACTTTTTGAAATGATGAAATGATGACCAACACAATATCAAAAGTTCGTAGATTACACGAAAGAGAAAACGAGGAAGTTACTCGGGTATGGTAGCAACTCTTCGATTTTCTTTCCACATTACATGGATGCCAAAAGAAACGTTCGTACTCTCCTCATCATTTTCGAACTTGACTCTAAAAATCGATAGTTCTTGGGGTGCTTGTTCTCCCCATGAAGAATACCCAATTCAGATATGACTTAAGTGCCATTTTCGGATCCCAGTTCCGTACTCCAAAATGGATCGATCGGAAATAGGGATCGGAATAGTGGGTTGTTTGAGCGAGACACATAATGCACATTTTTGAAATGCAGTACTTTTGGCTTATTACTCGTATTGTGACTGAAGAAATTTTGTTCGGCTGTGTGAATGGGTGTGATATTCGGAACTGACTTATTATGATCTCTCAGACCAAATTTCGGAAGATCAACCTTTGCACGGGTCTATCATGACCTGTGGCTTCTCACTGCACATGTTGAACAGTGGCTTATCTAACCGAAAGTGTAAAGCTTCATTTTACGGTAACTTTTGACTGATACTTATAGGAAGAAAGGCTTGTACATGTATTCTGAATAGGTTACCCGAAAGGTTCGGTATTGAACATGAGAAGTATCATTGGAACTGTAGGGAATAGCTGGAAGGAATCAAGAGCTCTGAGTATCTTTCCCGTAAAATATGCATTGATGGTAATGGCTTCTTCAATTTTCCTGGGTGGAGAAGGTAGCAGTCTCGGAGTGCTTCAAGAGGACAAGTAGAGGGCCCGGGTTCTTGGTATGCAGCATCTTCCTTGGGTATATGTGCGTCTGGTAAAGATTCGATTTGATTGTGGAAATAAAGAGTCTGCATACTTTGCTAGATATAAGCCACTTCGACATACGATTCTTGAAGGGTACACAGGACCCCCGAGTCAGCTCTAGTATTTTCCCGTCAAGATTTTTTTGAAATCACTCATGATGAGGCCACAAGAATACTCAAACATGTTTAATGACTTTACGCCATGTTCATCAGTCACACGAAGGAGAGTATATGTGTCGCACCAGGATTAGACCCCAAAAATCAACTCCGTGGATTTATATCCGTAGCTTTGATTCACGAGTGACTTGACCCTTTTATATATATATTTTTGATGCTCCTCACACCTTTATTGTTATTGATAGAGAATAGGGCGAGTTCGTGTTACTGTAATGAGTAGAAATGTGTTGAGATGTAGGGTTTTTTTGATACTTCATTTGGCTGAAGGGGCTGACTAAAACTTGCGGTGGTCCATTCAATTTGCCATGAATTGTGGGCGAGCAAATTAATTGAAGTTATCCAGAGGTTTTTTTGATCAAAAAGAGACAGGCGCTTCCTCTAAAATGCGTAGCATCTGTTCCCTTGAACCATTCCACTTGTCTGAAATGGTTGACCTGACTACGCCCACTTTGCTTTACCCGATCGGGCAGATAGAAAGCACCTTCGTCCAATATACCTGTATTGATAATGAAAAACTTTGTGCGACAGAAGAATGTGTTCTATAGTTGCGTTTTCTGTAACGAAAGGGTTTTTTAGGGGAGTGCGTGGCAGGAGATTCTACCTGAGAGGGGCATAACCAGAAGTAAAAAAACTACTCAACTTCTCTTCTGATGAAATTTGATCTTCGCTGTAGACTTGCGTGTGTATCACACATTTGAACACAGTATAAATCATGCGGGCAAGTTGGTATTGAGGAAGATTAAGATCAAGTAGATACGAATTTACACACAAACTCAAAGAAGGCCCTTCATTATAGCCCTCACAAATCACCTATTTCAAAAATGATATCTTCATCTCGTTGTAGCAAAGCAATGAGGTTTGCCGCATCTCTTATGTTGAAGGGCTTACTGAGAAGATATGATTCAAAAAGTAGTCCGCCTTTTTTACAAGAAATAAAGTTGTTTTTTTGTTGGGTTGATCTTGTGAGGTCTTCGTGAACTCCACATGAAACCCCCAAACTCTGGCCACTTGTTTTTCCAGAGACCTATGAGCTTTCATTTTATGCACCTCACATTTATTTTTAGTTTAGATCATGTAAAAACTCTTGATTTCCTATATTACGCTCCTTAGAGACATCCAAAGTGACAACCGCGGCCAAAATAGTTCTGGAATTGAAAAGGGTAATTCCAACTCAACATCAAGTGAACACACCCAAGTCAGACACTCAATCACTCATAACTTCCAGCAAAGTTAACTTTTCAACTTTTTTTACTTTCTTTCCAAGATTCCCAAGACTAACTCTTCCTACCATCTTAAAATTGTCCAGAACGGCAACTTTTTCTTTTTCGTTGTAATTTCAGCTTTTCTTCCAAAAAAGCTTCAGGGAGCTGGCAGCTAGCTACCTAGCTAGCTTTTTGAGGGAAAGTTGAGTAAAATTCGAAAATCAACTATTTCTGACATGCAACAAATTTCTGCAAAATCCGAAGTGGTCCCGAAGTCCCGTGAAAGTCACAAGCATCAATGCTGGTTGGTTGAATGATAAGGTTGTAGAGAGGCCCGAGCTTCAGAACAAGATCATGTAAGCCTGACAAAAACAACCTCTCTTGGTTCATGAGAATAAATAAAGCAACAAGTTCTGGAGTTCAAAGGTTAGATTGAAATTTAACTTTCTGAATGGAGACATTGTACGGCATCAAAGAATCTTCAAAATCCTTGATGTTCTCTTCAAGATTCTCATTCTCAGCAAGCGCAATCAACAAAGAGAGTGTGTGAAAGCGTCCCGATAGAAAATATCTCTTGAGAGTTGCTAAGAATCAGCCAACCAGAAAGAACTGGGATAAGATGTGAGAAGGAATGTCAAAGCTCAGAAGCATGACAAATAATCTCGTTTTGCTGAGAAGTAAAGGAAATAACCCATCTGTGCAAGCCCAGCCATAAGGATGTCTCTCCAACTTTTACTATTATGTCAGTGAGCTCATTATTTTCTGCGTTTTTTTAAACTATCAGCAAGCCTCACTTTAGACAATCTGAGCCTCTACTTGCTCATTGTCTGCCCATTGACCAGAAGTTCTTGGGACTGAATGAACAAGGTTCAACTTGCCTTGTGGAATCTCATGGATGTGAAGTTCTACTTGCACGTGCCAGACTCGTGACCTGCTCGAATTCCTGATCAAAACTATGATCAGCAAGAAATGTTTATCTTCGGAGAGCAAAACAACCTGATGTGTTTCTATATCTAGTTATTTTTGTGTATCTTGCACGTTTGTTTGGATAAATGATCCAGAGTATACAGAGTGTAGTGGTATGCATGAATGTAGTTGGTGTAAAGCTCAGGGGCTCACTCGCTTAACCTCTTGGGCTTCTTGGATCTTGGAATAACCAATTTTTTGTTTCTATCTATAAGACAACAAAACGCCAAACTGCTTTCATATTTTGATGTCTATTGTATGTATAGGATGATTCTGATCTGGATGGAGAATGTTTTCTACTTGAAGAATGCTTTATCAATATTTTCAGGAAAACTCAATACCTATACCCTCAAGCACACAGACAGTGTGTAGTGGGTGTGAAGTAAAGACGTAGACCTGAAGATAAGACAAGCATTGAGAGACAGTCAGTCCTTTCAAATATTCTAAAATGCGTATAGACGGCCATTCTTAATCAGATGCTTCTTCAATCTCGACTTCTAAGCTAGTGGCGGCATTGAGCTTCGATGGAAACTCGAAGCCCTACACATTTTGACTCGAAAACGGCTTCGAAGTATATATTCAATGCTTAATGAATCTAGAGACGTTTATCGAGGATTAATTTGCTAAAGCGAATGAAAAGGACGCCGTTTTCGGGCCTAAGTAAAGGCGTGATAATGTTCGTGTTATTTATGCTGATGCGCATTCCAAAAAGCTCGATGTCCTTCCCATCCCAAAGTTTCAACCCCGTTGTATTATGATATTTTCCATACGATCGTATTATATTGTCTTCCATTTGTTAATCGCCAGTGCGCTCGGTCTTCATCGTATCAGCGCACCCAGTCCAAGCGTTTCGTTCCATTGCGTGTCTTCCAAGATGCCGCACCTTCACCAAGGTACAAATGTTTTTCGTAGTGCTATTCGAAGGAGATGATAAGGTAATTCTTGATCGATACAAGGTCTTTGATGAGGGCTAAGTAGAAATATGGATTAGCCACAGTTACAAGAATTGGGATCGTAGAGAAGTTCTCGGAATGAAAAAAACAATTCAACCTAGCTAGTGGGAGATTTTTCACTTCGACTATGAGAAAGTCGCTCATGGTAGGACATCTCTAGTAATTATGATGATGTCGACAAACAACCAGAATACTATCAAGATAGACTGGTAGCTCAGGCCATCTGTCGGGGATATGCCATGAACGGGTTTATGAATTTTAGAAGTTGGAGGAAGTTTTCCATAATTGTGCGCACAAACTTGGGGTACGAAAGCTCGGATGCACCAAAACGTTGACACTCGGTCAAACAGCAAAATGGTAGGTATCATTAACTGGCTTCATTGAGTCGCTTAAATTCAGATGTGCAACAATTGCAAACACAGTCTGCGTAGACCAGTAAGAAAATTGAGCTGCATGTAAAGCATGATGAGGTCGGCCACAGACGGTGAGATTCAGTAGCATTCGTCAGCGGCGCCAGCTGGAGCTAAGATGGACGATCTTGAACAAAAATATTTTATGATTGACTATGGAACGTAGCTTGATTTCCTAGATACAATGTAAATTGTAGCGCTTTATTTGAGAAATATAATGCCTCTGTCACTTGGGATTTGGATTATTAAATGCAGGATTTCACTGATCTGATAAATTGATCGAGAAGGGAGGAAATTGATGGAAAATCACCTCAGAAGTCTTTTAGAGTCTCATAGAAATTTAGAATCAAAGAGCGAAGTTGTGTACCAGTTAGTTGTCAAAGCAGAAGAAAGCTTGCGTCCTCACCGAGTGATTTCAAGGCTATTTTCAAGCAGTATAGGTGTTCTAGATGTTTCAATGTATGATTGAGTGCTCCATGGCGCCCTTTTTTCTGCCAGCTACAAAATGAGCCGCGTACAGCCGCACCGCTTTACGACGTGCAACATTAGCTAGCAGGAGGCCGGAACGTACCCCCCAATTGGCTATCAATTGGTTCTGCCAGTTGCAAGGCTACTACCAATCAGCCTACCGCTTTGCGACGTGCAACAAGAGGTCCCAATAGCAGGAGCTTTCCTTCCTACTGGATGGATATCTATTTCTGCCAGACTTATGAACTTCTGTGAGCAGCCTCACCATTTTACGACATGCAACAAGAGCCTCAGATAGCGAAATCTCCACCTCTTATTGGAAGCCATTTATTTCTGTCAGATCTGTTGATGTTAAGAGTAGCCTTACCGCTATACGATATGCAACAAGGCACTGATATGACAAAAGCTCTACCGCTCATTGAGCGTACTCTTCCTTCTGTGTTTGTGACCAATTTTTCAATCTAGATAGTTCGCTCAAAGGAGCTGGTTGAAGTTAAAGTCGGATGTGAAACACAACCCATATTAGTGGGATTAGATATGAATAGCATTTGGGACACTCTAGAATAGTCTTGCTTATGGCTTGACTATCTCGCACATCGATTACATAGAATTTAAGAGATGTGTAATTTCCATCCCCATTGCCACCATCCTCTAATTATTCGCCACAGAAATGTAAATCTAATTACTGAAGCTGCTCAGATGCTCAGATATAAAGGCACCCCAGAGACGCCCATTCATATATTGTGTTTCTCTTTGAATATTGGCACATCAGCGTTTCGGCGGAGAGAATCTCATAATCCGTCACATCATTGTTTCTCTTCGAATTCGCGCGTCGGAGAGGTATTCTGGAAGAGAAGAGATGTTAGATAGTCTGCGTGACAAAAAAGCGGAACTTCTTCTCGATGGAACAGCGGCAGATGTGTATCATTCAAACAGTGATACGGGCATTCATATTGACTTTAAATTTTTGTACCTCCCTTCAATCACTTGCGCTCATTTGACAGCCCTTGGGATACAGAGTTATGACATGAACGTAGAGGCCTTGTCCTTAGTCTGAGAAGAAGTAAAAAAGCTCTAGGCAGTCTGCGGAGCTGTTGAAAGTCAAAAGCCTAGTATTGTGTTCCGCTAGAAAAGTATTGTATCAAACAACGACTGAGGGGCTCGCACCGCGTTTTTTTTTTCAAACTTATAATTCCAGACTTCGAGTTACCGTAAATGATCGACCTTCACCTGTGTGCTGGAAGCTTCGGGAACAATAATTGACTCGTAAGGGAAAGTAGTTCGTCGCGGATCGGCAGGAGTTTGGCACCTATGTCTTTTTCGTAGTTGGGGGGATATGGTGGCGCATGTGCTTGTTGCATCTGTTGATGTCATGTTAGTGAAATCTTCCCAGAGTGTTTTGTAGGGTTTGAAAATGCCGCCTTTGATGTTCTCCAAGGAGGTGGTGTGAGACTTGATCTCGTATCTCCAGAGCGTTTTTTCAATCAAAGTTTGATGGGCTGTCGTTATAAACCGGCCTGCAACGTGGGAGTGGGAACGCTCAATCAGCCGCAGAACAAAATCACCGTCAGCAATGTCCAAAGAGCTCAGTATTCATGTTCGCTTGGTACATTAATGGTCCTGACAGTGTCGAGTTATCTTCAATTCTGGTTGTGGAATTTCTAGGTCAGTGAAAGATAATGAGAGGAAGCTTTTTCCAAAGTGCCCATATTTTCGCCTAAGCAGGTATTACCCACAGCCGAATGAAAACAGAACCGGAACCTTTTCGATAAACACATAAACTTGGATTAGAATTTTGGAGTAGCATTTGAACAAAGATGCGCATGATCCAGGTCGAGTGTCTAGCTGTGCTCTAACTTTGTGGAGAAAACCCGATGAATCGATGTGGCGCTTATTGATGACCTCATGCAGCTCCAGGGATAGTGCGTCCCAATCGATAACATAGGTTCTATTGCCTAGATATGACCCACCAGAATAGAAAGCCAGGATAGGGAATGAAAGTTGTGACTAATAGACTTTTATTGCTGCTGTAGTGTCGCGCAAAGATTTGGCACAACTTCGGGAGTGTTGAGTAGCTAGGAAAGCTTTGAGCAAGATCTTAGGGAGTTGAAGCCTGAGATGGATTGTGCTAGAGAGTCACAGATAGTGCCAAACGTTTTGGTGAGTGTCGTAGTATCCGTAGTACCTATATTCTTGGTGCCTGGCACATTGTGCTAGCAGATTTCTGTAGGCCTTGAAGCTTCGCAGGTACAAAGCGAGGTTTTAGGCACGATTATAGTACTCGGGGTTGTCTAAAGAGATTTAGCATAATAGTCAAAGTAGAACAAAGAATTGGAGTATCATAGAATCATCTAGAAACCTTATCAAAGCGCAGCGCATAGCTTTTAGATTCTCGTGTGTGGTGGTAGGTGATTCTCAAGCAGGGTTGGAGTTCCTGGCAGGAAGATACACATGGCTTAGAACTAGCTGGTTGGGGCAGATAGGAGAATGGTAAGGTAAAGTCATCTTAAGTTATGATTGTGAAGCCTCACATGCAATTTTTTGAATGAAAGTTAGGTTTTTGAATGTCAAGGAGTTAGCTCCTAGTCTCTTCTAGAGAGCTAAAGTAGTTGAACTGACTTTATATGGTACCGAAGAAACCACAAATACCAAGGATCACCTAATATCGATTTCTGTACATCATTTGATCCATAAGGGATTACATATTATAATACTCTCAGTCTAATAAGTAGAATTAACTCGGGTTGGATGGCTGTACCTTTTTCTCCAAGCTTCGTCTTCCTTCTACCTTGCTACACCCCCAGCCTCGCCTCGAAGACCAATGCCTAGGCCCCTGAATAGACAGCGTCCCAAAAACCAAGATCAGTAACAACACTCTCGCCTATATTCACTTCATAACAAAGCACCCAAAATCGTATGTTACCCCGCACAACCACTTCCAGGATACAAAAGTCTTCCTCGCGTCCAACTTCTTCCAACTTTCTCCATCCCCAAACAACAATTTTCCAAATTCGCATCTTCATCGACCACGTTCATAGATCATCATACATTGTACCTTGGTAAGCCATAGACCTTTCGCATATCTCTATTCAAACAACTCCTTCATCGCTAGCGCGCGAAAGTTTTACATTTCTTGATGTTACGTTTACCATTTGGCGGGTTGATCTCGCTCTGGTTCGCTCGGAGTTGATCAACACTGATCCATTCCATCTCATTCCTGTATAACAATCTACAACATCTTCCTCGACGTGGCAAGTGTGTCCGTTTGAAATGGTTTTACTTGCACATTCAAGCCATTACAACGTACAAGAGCTTGTATAGGATCAAGTCGTTGCTATCACGGCCTTGTCTTGTGGGTTTAAATCGGACAAATCACACAAATCCCCTACATCTCATTTCTCATTCAAGTACTTCTATTCTCCAACAGTCTATTGTACATTCTCATAATTTCCGACATTCAAGTCTTGAAAATATACAGAAGCTTTAGAAACATTCAAATCAATACAATGTACACCAGCTTTGTGTACATTCAAGTGTTATTTATATATAAGAGCTTCTCGTACATTTAGGTCTCCACAATCTATGATTCTTCCTTGTACATTCAGACCGCCTCATACATTCAAAGCCTAATAATGTACAACTTCTTGTCATACGTTACCTTGCTAATAATTTCTAGCTACTATTTCTACAATCAAACCATAAAAATCACCAATTCTACTTGAAACAATGTCCGCCGTAAATGAGAATCCCCGACTAGCTGTCGAAGCTGCACCAGCTGTCCCCGCCGCTAAGGGAAAGGCCAATGAGAAGGTCAAGGCTCCCAACAATAGGACTTCGTCCGGCAAACAGTGGACCCAAGCCGAAAAAGTATGGTTCCTTCCCTGGCATCTGGCGAAAATGGCTAATTATAACACAGGATGCAGTTGTAGTTCAGATTCTCTTTCAGGCTGCTGGCAAGAGCTTTGTTCCTAACTTCACGGCCATCAAGGCTACGGATCGCACCGAAAAGGCTGTCAGACACATTTGGGAAGCACTCAAGAAGTCTCATGCCATTGTTAAGGATGGAAATGGTACTTTTAACTCATCCCTGGCTGGTAAATCATGATTAGATCACTAATAACTGTCTTAGCTAAGGGTGAAGGTGTCGCTAAGGGTAGTTCAAAGAAACGCAAGGTAGAGATCGAGGGTAAAGGCGAAGGTATGTAATCATCTAATAATTCTAGCGCTGCATCATTAACATAATAAAAACTGGCTGTCTAGGCGTTGCTAAGAAGAAGAATAAAGTAGCGAAGAAGACTACCTCCGAGCCTGAGATCGAGGAGAACGTTAGCGACACCGGTGATTTTTACGATGACTCTGGCAACGGTGGTATCGATTCAGAAGATCAAGCAAGCGCAATTTTTGACGACGATGATTAGACTAGGAGCCTATCTTTATGGAAGTGGATGTTCTCCAGGGCAAAATGGAGGATATTCAAGGCTTTGAGGTGTGTTTGCATGGTAGAAGGTTTTATTTATTGCCAATTCCAACGATTAGTTGAAGTGTTCCTCGGAAACTTCAGCTGAATGAATGAAAGTCACTACAATATTGGCACCTCGTGTATGTAATCAGACTATGAAAAGCATGCGCTTTAGCTAATACATGTCTAAATGTCTAAAGTGATCTTGAAATCGGACAGCCTCATCTAGTCATATAAGAATATCTTCCATCAAACTTCAATATAGTGTGAATTTTAATGTAATCTCATCCAATTTCAAGGAGATAGGTACCAGGTAATAGCAATCTAGGTTTGGTTGTCAACTAACATCAAACGTCTTGTTTTGAATACACAACAGATAAAGTGTGACTAATTTTGTATCAAAGTAGATTCCTGGCGAATTAGAGAGACGATGGCTCATGTAATACAACCTAGAATCTCGACCCAGAGACTTTGCGTCGGTTCTTGTGGCATGGATGCCAATTACTGAGGATCCAGGGGTATCAATCAAGGTTCTTTATTGGATGCTCATGACTGTTCACTGGGCAATGTTCAGATAGCCTTCAATCTTGAAGAGATATTGTCGAAAGATGTGAGCTTAGGCTTCAATATCAAAGAACTTCTGTCTGGTCTGTGGACAAAAATGTTGGTTTTGGTGTAAGACTCTACATCTTCAAGTGGAAGGCTCAAAAAGATGAGTCGATAGACATGAACTGACATGACAGCTTGAGTTGATAGTCAAATCACTACCTTTTTTCCAACAGCAAAAATACACATGCTTCGCTGGGCATACTAATAAATTGCATGCCAGCTGAAGTGATGTCAAATAGATTCATTCCAATCTTCTCTTGACAACAAGAATTAAAGCTTTATTGCACTTCCAATCGAATGCATGATAAACTTTTTCAGATCGTAGCTTATGTTCTAGGCTTACTTTTATATGTTTGTGGTAACCGTGATGGAAGAGATGCCCAAAATAACAGCGGAGCGCCGAGGGGCCAATGATCCATTTTTATACCATATGGAAATTGGGATACATGGCTTAGGGGCACTTGACTACCATCTCTTATATGAAATCTATGTACCTAGGTATGCTATTGCGCAGTATACTGCGACTCACTTCGTGTTTAATCAGCTATAATAAAAGAGTGGAAGATATACTAAGCGAGGGCAGCATTGTAGAGGCGCTTTTGTTGATAAAGGGAGTGTTCCAAAAACAAGCTTGAGGTTATGTTAGGATAGGAAAATTTGATGCTGAGGTGAAGGCTAATGCTTGGACGCCTGTATATACATCTAAATATATTGGGAATAGGCTTCATGAAAGCTCACAGCTTTGTATTTTTAGACTCTAAATTTGAGCGGCACATGAAACTTACCCAATACGTAAGGCTTTCAAGAGAATGTTCAATACTCCTAGAAGCAATTGAAATATCAAGCCTTGGGGCTTCTCGTTTTTAATACCTCGCCAAAGACCCACATGAAACATTATATTGGAGTCCATCTTGGCGATCTCTATTATCTTGGATGCAATCAAATTATGTTCCTATAGGGATCTCTCGGTGATGCGATGCATTGCCAGGGTGAGGAGATGACCGGGGTCCTAGGAATCTTTGAAAAAATCCATCTTAACTTTACAACACAATTTGGATTCCAGAGTAATGCGAGCCTTCCAGAAGTAAGATAGAGGTTTCGATTACTATGTTGGACTTTAAAAGCATGATACATACACTTTACGTGCTGGCTGGTTCAAAAAGTGGTCCGACAAATGAATAATTCTGCCGATGTAGGAATGTAAAGCGGTGTAGCGAGCAAAATGGACTAACGAGTTTGGGTTAAGTGGCGGCGGCATCAGCCTTGTTTAATTCAGCCTTGGAGAAATAAAAAGGTCTTGTACGTCCGAGTACTGCCATTGTTATAATTATTGAATCACCTCCACCAAATCACATCCTAGGCACGCCCGCTTCGTCCTCTCACATCCTACGGCGCATACAAAAGCTCATTTTGTATCATCGTACCCGCCGTTGGAAATCTTTCTCTCCTTGTGATATTACTTATTTCCTTCATTTTTGGCGCTGTCCCTTCTTATTTGATCCTGCTCCTTAGTTTTAGTACCACCAAGTGCTACAAACAACGCCAACTGTAAAACGTCTCAAAATCAATTCTTCGCACATTCATTCACAATTCGATTCGACCAATTCCGAGGCAACTCACATTGCGTATGATTGCCTATGCGATCGAGACACGGCTTCTCCCATTTCGTTGCACATAAATACTTTCAAACAAGCCTTGCGACGAGAAATCGTTTAGTGATTCGACGATTACTTCTGCGCTATACTCGAAACTCTCCTTCGTTGATTCCATCTGCGCTTACACCCACGCATATATTTTATTGTTTAAGAAAAAACAAATCAATCATTATGATCGGCACCAATGGCGTTGCAACGCGTTCGAAGAGAAAGTCGCATCCAACGGGGCCCGAGAGGCCTCAGAAGCAACTCCGAGCCTTGAACGGAAAAGAGTCAACGGGCGTTAATACTCCAGAAATCGACCTTTCCGACGATGATTACGACATCGATGGACCACAATTATTACCATCAAATGTATCACCAGACACAGCTGAATGGCAGGCCACTATTGAGCGGGTGGTGCGAAATGTAGTTTCGATCCGATTCTGCCAGACTTGTTCTTTTGACACAGACCCTGCATTAACCAGCGAAGCTACTGGCTTTGTGGTAGATGCAGAAAGAGGGTTAGTTTTTCCTGCTCGGATGGACGTGCTGTCTGTCTTTTAAGCTTTATTAATGTTTCTGCAGATATATTTTGACCAATCGACATGTTGTTGGATCAGGACCTTTCTGGGGATATTGCGTTTTCGATAATCACGAAGAAGTTGATGCCTACCCGGTTTACCGCGACCCCGTTCACGATTTTGGTATATTACGATTCGACCCTAAAGCTATCAAATACATGCCTGTTACCGCTCTGGGATTGCGACCAGATCTTGCCAAGGTAGGATCGGAGATTAGAGTGGTTGGTAACGATGCTGGAGAGAAGCTTAGTATTTTATCCGGAGTCATCAGTAGACTCGACAGAAATGCCCCGAATACGGTGACGGATACTGCGATTTCAATACCAATTACATACAAGCAGCAGCCGCAGCGAGTGGTGGAAGTTCTGGAAGTCCAGTCGTTAATGTACGTTCGAATATTCATATTTCCCAATTTCCTTACCCTTCAAATATTGATGTGTCGCTAGATTGATGGATACGCCGTTGCCCTACAAGCGGGTGGAAGAAGTGATGGTGCCGCAACTGATTATTTCTTGCCTCTCGATCGACCTTTGAGAGCTCTTCAATGCGTCCAAGCGGGTAAACCCATCACCCGGGGAACTATTCAATGTCAATGGTTAATCAAGCCTTTTGATGAATGTCGGAGACTTGGTTTAACACCCGATTGGGAAGGCATTGTCCGAAAAGGATTTCCCAAGGAGACCGGTATGCTCGTCGCAGAAATTGTTCTTCCAGAAGGACCGTCACATAAATTGATTGAAGAAGGGGATCTGTTACTCAAGGTCAACGGCGAATTATTGACACAATTCATTCGTCTGGATGATATCCTTGATTCCAGTGTTGGTCAGACGGTAAGCTTCCTTATACAGCGCGGTGGAGAAAACATCGAAGTTGCGGTTGCTGTTGGAGATCTTCATATGATTACACCAGATCGTTTTGTCTCTGTCGCAGGAGGCAGCTTTCATGATTTGTCGTATCAGCAAGCACGTCTGTATGGTGTGGCTTGTAAAGGTGTCTTCATGTGCGAAGCCAGTGGATCATTTCGATTCGAAGGCACTGATAATGGCTGGATGATTCAGACTATTGATCATAAGAAGACACCTGATCTGAAAAGCTTCATTGAAGTCATGAAGAAAATTCCGGACCGAGAAAGGGTTGTAGTAACATACAAACATCTCCGAGATCTCCACACTCTAAATACCGGCATTCTCCAAATTGACCGCCATTGGTCAAGTAAGATGAGATTGGCCGTCAGAAATGACATCACTGGTCTTTGGGACTTTTCGGATTTAGCCGACGCTCTTCCACCCACAACACCTGTAGCTAGGTCTGCAAATTTCATACAACTGGAGAATTCACAGCATCCAGCGGTAGCGGATATTGTTCGAAGCTTCGTTCGAGTGCTATGCCACATGCCTGTCAAACTAGACGGCTACCCCCGAAACCGCAAGTGGGGTATGGGCGTTGTTATCGATGCTGAGAAAGGATTGGTTGTTATCTCTAGAGCTGTCGTTCCATATGATCTATGTGACATTTCGATCACAATTGCCGATTCCATCATTGTGGAAGGAAAGGTAGTATTCCTGCACCCTCTACAAAATTATGCCATTATCCAATACGACCCGTCGCTGGTTCTTGCCCCTGTGCAAAGCGCGAGATTGAGCAATAAGCAGCCCTCTCAAGGAGCTTCAACATACTTCATTGGTTTCAACACTAATATGCGAATTGTCGTTGCTAAAACTACCATCACTGAAATTACTGCTGTTGCCATCCCTGCAAATGCTGCATCTCCAAGATATCGGGCTATCAATATTGATGCTATCACTGTTGACACAAGCCTGAGTGGTCAATGTGGAAGTGGTGTGCTTATCGGTGAAGATGGCGTTGTCCAAGCCTTGTGGTTGACTTATTTGGGAGAGAGATCTCCATCCAGTTCAAAGGATGTCGAATATTATCTTGGTCTTGCAACTCCTACACTTTTACCCGTCATTAAAAAAATACAAAATGACGAGAAGCCTAAGTTACGCATGTTGAGTGTTGAATTCAATACCATTCAAATGGCTCAAGCTCGTGTCATGGGTGTCTCCGAAGAATGGATTCGTAAGGTTGCTGAAGATAATCGATCTCGCCATCAACTTTTTATGGTACGAAAGCGCACCTTTGAGCGAAATAGTGAGTCGGGTGCTCTTTTGGAAGGAGACATCATTCTATCTCTCAACGGTAAAATCATTACTCGGGTCAATGAATTTGATGTAATGTACGACCATGACGTTCTCGACGCAGTCATTGTCCGCGATTGTGAGGAAATGCACATTAAGCTTGACACTGTTTCAGCAGATGATCTCGAGACTGATCGAGCCGTTTCCTTCTGTGGAGCTATTCTACATCGCCCTCATCATGCTGTTCGCCAACAAATTTCTAAACTCCATAGTGAGGTTTACGTTGCGGCTAGAACAAGAGGATCCCCATCTTACCAGTACAACCTCACCCCAACAAACTTTGTGACTCATGTCAATGGGAAACCAACACCAGATTTGGAATCATTCTTGAAGGTGGTCATCGAGATTCCTGACAATACATGTACGTTTCCGATTTGTTTTTCCCAGATTGACACATTACTAATATTGTTCTGCAGATTTCCGCATCAAAGTAGTAACCTTTGATAACGTCCCATGGGTTATCACAATGAAGAAGAATGATCACTATTTCCCAACTACAGAGTGGATTAAAGACCCATCGGAAAAGAGTGGTTGGAAAAGAATCACCTATGAAATGGGTAATGTCGTGGAAGGTGAAGGCAAAGAAGGCATTGGCAGCGTAGTTGGCGATGACGTCGGAGATTTTGATGTTGCGGGAGGATCTGACGACCCTATGTCCTTCAAGTCATTGTAATGAATATCACATATATGACTTGCAATTGCATAGGCAAGGCATGATGTCAGCGTGTATTTCAGTGGTTTACCGTGGATTTTTATAGAGGATAGCCAACCATTAGTGAGCGAACAAGTACAGCAGCATTGATATGCGACAATCAATTGCTGCGAAGCTTTATGATAGTTCTGGTAGGTGAGGCTGCGGCTTCACGCCTTCCGATGATTCTAGTCGCATTCACAGATCTAGATATGGGGCGTTTTTGGATGATGGCCAATGATACCAAATCGATCAATAATCGGAGGATGAATAATAACCAATTTCATTGATGTATATGTGCCATACACCTTTTGTAGATATCAATGCACCGCGTTCACTTGCGTCTTCTTTTATATCCTTTGCCTTGCGTTGCTTTCTGTCAAGGCGATGTCGAGGCACAGTGCATTAGTGTATCAGTGTCTTCCAATGACGTATCTGCTTTCTTCAAGACATACATGTATATTTACCCCAAGTACTACCTTCCAATTTAATCATTTACTCCTCGAATCCAAGTCTATCGAGCATACAAGCGTCAGCAGAATTTTCAACGTAAAGTATACTCGGGCAATGCAAGTCTAAATCTGAATTTTGCTTCCTTATGATGAGTCAGCTTCTTTCTGTGGATTTTCGCTTGGACGAACGTTCGCTTAATGCGCCACACGAACTGAGAGTCTGAGCACGGTTCCAATTTTTCTCAAAGAGTTCTATAGCTGTCGAAGTATTTGGCTATCAAAGTATACATCTATCAAAGTATACATCTATCAAAGTATATGGCGCCGAAAGTTTGTGTCTGTCAAAGTATACCTCGAACTCTTTTCAAAGTTTGAACGAAGTCTAATCTGTCAGCACATATAGCGATGCGATTAGGCTGTATTTGATGAGTCACGCCACTAAAGATGCTGCATCAGTGATGCGTGAGACGGCCTCATACCAGTAGTTCTGGGTTTTTAGTGAGAGAAATAGTCTTCTGGGACTAGGTTCAGTTTCGTGATAATAGAAAGTCACTTGAGGAAGAAATTTCAAAAAGTAACAACGCTATAGCCTACTCTGCAAACTGGAAGTTTGATTACTACTTTTGCTACTATTGCCACTATCTCGTAGGCTATACGACATGATATCTGTAGTCAAATGAACTGCCTTCGGTCTTCTGGGGCTCTTCTGGCGTGGTCTAAGATGTATATCTGTTGGTTGTATCTTCTGCTTGCCAGATTTTTGTAGCGTCTGCTATTTCATGTCTCCGAGCTTGCCAATTTCAAGTTCCATTGACTACTTTGCATTCTTGTTTCCAGGGGATAACCATAGTTTCGAGAATTTGCTAGCTATCGGCTGGTTTTGGCAGATCCTTTGGATCACTTCACGCATGAGATTTTGTCTCTCCACTATCTAGTCTAGTCTAGGCTTATCCATCCGGTCATTTGAAGCAAAGTTAGCAGTTGTAGAGTGGTCTTCATAGTCGTCCATTAGAAATAGTCGCACTCGTCTTTCCATACAGAATAGTAAGATGAAAACTTGGTTTCGCATACCTGGTACTGTGTATTCGTGCGAACATTCCTGTCGTTCAACGTATGATCGATGATCACCCGCTTGTTGTGACATACTTCCTAAACGAACTCTTTTGCTTAAAATCCCTTCATTCCTCCTTTTTAAACGTTTATGCTTCGATTTTTGGTATATTGGGGCGAGGAGACCATTCACCATAGAATGATGTTTCCTCCTATCGTCGTCTCCTTGTTGCGAACGTGTCTGTTGATCTAGGGGCTCACTTCCCCATATCTTTTCTTTCTTTCTTTCTTAGCATTTTGTGTTCATTATATCTTGATCTGTGATTTTTCGTACTTACGTAGTCGCGAACTATCGAGTACTTCCACGGCCAATAGAGAAAAATGTCTCATTATCGCCTCGCTAACCATTCTTGTTATTTTCGTCAAAGGAAAAATGCGATCAAGAATTGAAAAGCATGTTAAGTTACATAAAATCTACAAAAGAGTTGGTTAGCAAAGAAGATTATCATTGAAAAAACACCGAATCGTCGTGAAAACTTTGTGAAATATTTTTCGAATGGTATATGAAGCGACAAGTTGGTGGGGAGGCTCTTTTAAAGTCAAAGTCACGCTTATGGAAATGCAGATCCCGAGCGAGCTACGTAATAGCTAGCTTGGCGATGATCACCACAACCGGCAATTTCTCAATTTAGTCGGGCATGCAAGAATTATCGCGACAACAACCCGAAGCACAGACTTAGTGAGTTAGCCACTAAGTAAATGAAGTTAGTACTGGCGTGGGCTGATACTTCCAGTAGTCCGATTTCAATGCCGCTAGGCATTAGAATGCTAGTGGAAGTTAAACACGGCACTTGGATGGAATCAATAGAGTAGTGGAGTATAGCCATCTCTCATCTTTTGCCATCCCTCTAAGAAATACAACCAATTATCCACAACTCAAACAACCTGTCTTTTGTAATGAAATATCTACGCTTACACATACTCTAGCATATCCTCTGATAAAATGATACCCTAAAGAACACATTAGCTTAGATATTCAACACCCTAAAACCCCAACCTCCAGCCTCCCAATAAATCCTCATACTACCCCTGTCTCTACAATTCCGAGCTTTCCGAAAACCTTCACACCAACCTCCAGCCCAAGAAACACCACACATGCATTAACATCCAACCACTTGATATCCCCCCTAAATCCATCAAACTATACCAAAACCGTATTGATAATCTCGACTTTAATTGAGACATATCTATGCTTCCAACGCAGTGGTGCCCAAAACGCGGATTTCCTAGCCTTACATCCCTGTCATCGCGAAAAATAACTCAATGTAACATGATGCGCCCGAGAGAATGCCTAAAACCATCCGAGATATTTAGATTCGAATCTCCGTGACAGTGGGTTGGAGTATAAGTAAATTGATGCCCCACACGAAATGTGAAAACTGCTGTACCTTGTCAATCAATTCTTCATTCTTCTCTTCCCTCGAACGCCGTTAGCGCCATTATCCCCAGAACTATACACTCGCATAGAAACCTTCGGAAATGAATCTCAAATGCCATTCAGAAACGTCGACCCCCCTTTTTACAAATCCAACATACCTAATTCAGTTTCGCTTATTTTCCAGAACACCTCCTATAGCACAATTTTGGAATTTATTCACATGAAATCTTACTATCACCAACGTGAACATTAACTCTAGTTGTGAGTCTTCAATTCGTGATACTACTCTGCTTATATAACAATAACAATAACATAAACTCCTTTTCCCTTCCCTTGTTCCCGCACCCATCCAAATTCTAGGACTATAATCAAAATCTACCAATAATTTTCACAGGGCGCTATATTACAAAACCATGTATCCCCGGTATATTATACCTAAAACAACAAAAGTAAAATGCAAAATCCCAGCTCAAATCAAATTCAGTCATTGAATGTGTACATTCAATGATTCTATGAGGATTTCTTTTCAACTGGAAAAGCTGACTTCCAGAGGCCGTTCACTTTTTTCCTGTAAGGAGCCAGTTCTGCCTCTGTGGGCTCTCTCAAAAGTCGAGTTTGCACCGGTGTCGGCATGTTATTTTGAGCTGAAAATGTGCGTGACGGTTGTGTGAGTTCGGAAATAAGGTATTGATAAGGTCTCTCATTGCTAGCGAGTAGCATTCCCTGCCTATGAATAGCTATTTCTGCCGCGACGGTCGATTCATGAGCTTGAGCTGACACCTGCGCAGGCATACTACTTTGAGTCTCAGTTGTAAATGGAGATCGCACTATATCGGAAGGAGAACGTGCAGGATGCATGTGGTCGTTCTGAGAGATCTGTTGCATGAGTGGTTGCAGAATTGATGTCAGGCGAGCTTGCCCTCTCAAAGGCGAAGATTTCTTCATACCGGTTCCTCCCTCTGGCAATACCATTTCATATCCATTTTTTGATCGTTTGATAGGCATTGAATTGTCTGAAAATCGAGGTTCTCCTGCTACTAGATGTGGAGAAATGCTTGTACTCTCAGTAGACGTGTTAGACATTGGACTTTTTCCGTGGTCGCTTGAAAAATTGGGTTCCTCAGAGCTCGACGCAAATATACCCGAAGAATGGAGCTCTGGTTGTTGTTGGCGCTTGCGCTTCTCTCCACGAACTCTTCGTAGCTCAGGCGTTATTGACTGCCTAGTTCGTGCTCTTTGTCTTTGTACCGGTCCCGAAATTGGCCACTGTTCCTCTGTACCATTTTCCTCTTTGTCACTTTGCTGTTGGTTCGATAGTGAAGTTAACGTTGACGTTTGACATGTAGATGAATCTTGAATCCTGGTGTTTATATCCCACTCCGTAGCTTGCATTTTCAAAAGGTCGAGTATATCAGCCCAAAGAGGCTCCCCTACAATATTCGATGGCAGAGATCTTTCATAATTGAGTAAGCCGCGTCTAACGCGTCTATCGCCGACCTCTGCAACCTGTATCTCGAGCCCGATCGCATACTTCAAGGGGGTAGTTGGATCAAGGAAGGTCGTTTTCGTATACAACGAGTAACTTCCCTTCACCTCTGTTCCATTGAGATCACTATTGATAGTATTACCCATGATCGTATGTTTTGCGGGCACTGGGATACTATCTTTAGCCAATCGGACTGTTTGCTCTGTTCCACGCACAACTTTGATTTCTTCTTTAACAAATTGCGATTCAGGGGCAAATGCCAACGATTTAATCAAGGAAGAACCAATGTTTCTGGTTGTTACATAGTGTTCGAGGCTTTGTCGTGCGTCTGAGGAAGTGTCCAGTGACAGATGAGCAATGGATTGTTGGAGTAGTTCTCCTAAGGCCATCCTTACTATAGCCAAACTTTCTTCATTCCTGAGCATAAACACTTTTGTATTCGCTTTCGCAGCTTTTGTATCCATAACTTCGATTTCGTGGTCCAATAAGTGATAAAACTCGGTATCAAACGGTTGATCAGACACAAACACTTCTGGTAAATCCGAAAGGAAAACAGTGTATTTGCCACCAGCAGAACTGATGAGTTGATCAATTGAAACGGACATTCGCTGGGTTGCTGGAGTGGCCTCGGTTTTTGGATTTCTTCCAGTAACCGCTAGCACACCCGTAGTCGATGGAGGAGCTGGCATTGTCGTAGTCAATGGGGGGGCTTGAGCTCTTGTGGTTGATGGAGGAGCTAGTCTTTCCGTAGTTGATGAAGGATCTGGCATTGTCGTATTTAATAACTGGGCTGGCAGTGCCATAGATGGCGAGGAAACCGGCAAACGAGATTGGCCCGCGGATGCAACAGCCAATGAAGTTCTTCTTGTTCGTATATCCGAGTTGATGCTTTTCCGAGGTTGTTTAAGATACTGCTCGTTGTTCGGTTGCATAGCTTGTCCATTCAAAGTTGTTGGAGGGCCCATAGTGTGCTGAAAGCCAGTAGTAAATTCTCTTCCCGTATTCTGATAGATCATGGTAGGCGGTTGCATGTATTTTTGATTGTTCGGCGATATCATAGGCTGTTGAATTGGTACATTGTTATTAAAGACAAGAGTGTGATGAAGAGGAGTAACTCCATGTTCCAGTGTTGGTGTGATATTGCCTCTCAACTGCTGACCTATGTACCACTTCTTAAATGTTTCGAACTCCATCAATTGCGTTTCTCCAAGGGCGAGACGTTGTTGAAAAAAGTGTTGGAATTCGGCGTTCTGTTCTTGCGCCGATAGGTTAGCAAATGATGAAACGGCGGCGGTGGCCATTCCTTGGTATGCTTGTTGGTTATCATTGACACCATTGAAGTTTATCTGATTTACAGGCATTTGAGGTACTTGACCAGAATGAGCAGTAGTTCCTCCAACAGGAAAGTGGACAGGTAATCGCTGGCTGATATCGTGTCCGTTATTATTCGTGACATAGACAGACATTGGCAATGGTTGATCAAAATGAGTTGAAGCAATTTGGAATGGATAATTAATGAATGCTTGTTGGCCGATGCCATGTTCCATATCACTTGCATAGTTGCCCTCAATTTGAATTTGTTGTTGCCCGGAATTATAAGGTAAATCTTGAGCCTGATGTTGATTACCATTGATAGACAAGTGAGGTTGTCGATCATGATTGATGGAAGTTTCTTCAACTTGGTGAAAAGCAGACATTTGCGGGTTAACAGTATATCCGTGATAGAGAGGCGATTGAGGTGATTGTTGATAATGGCTGGTGGGAGTTCCCTCATTTTGGTGGTGATGAGCCGTTATTTCTGGGATTTCAATGTATTCACCACCGTCTACATAATCGGTAGATATTTGAGACTGTAGTTGACCGAAATTATGAGAGGTATCTTGAGGCTGGTGTTGAATACTATTGATAGGCAATTGAGATTGTTGGCCATGGTTGATAGGAGTTTCTTCAACTTGGTGACAAGCAAGCATTTGCGGGTTGACGGTGTGTCCGTGATGGACAGGCGACGGAGGTAATTGCTGGCCATGGCTGATAGGAGTTCCTTCGACGTGTTGATAAGCAGGCATGTGCGGGTGAATAATAATACTGGGATGGTTCGTATGATAGACAGGCCATTGAGGTACTTGATCATGGTCGATGAGAGTTAAATCATCTCGGTAATGAGCAGGTAGTTGTGGGTTGGCAGTGTATTCGATATTGTTCGCATGATAGTCAGGCAATTGATCTCCTCCATTCAGGTATTGAGAATCAAACATCGGAACTTGAGACTGTGGAGGAATAAGATCGACAGGGATTACTTGAACTCCGCGTTGATTGGTGTTTGGAGCCATTTGTCTACCGTCCATTCCTTGTTGATGCGGATTGAAGGAGTCGTCAATGCCGTTGGATGCGTGATGATTGTACTGATTAATGGGCGGGGATGGCACTCCAGGAATTGTTAGTGTTCTCATGCTGGCCAGCCTGTGTCTGATGGCTCCAAAGGGTCGATCATTTAGAGGATAAGGTCGTTCGGTACCAGTATCATGAGGTTCTTGTTGGTTGTCGTTGGAGCCAATATCGTTTGTATTATAGCCAGACATTGTAATGAAAAGAGATATGTAACGTACAGCTCCTGAGGTATTTGGTATTGGGATTCTCTGTGCCGAACTGTTGCGGTGGATATTTTAATGTAACTTTTTTGGAGTTGCTGCGGTTGTGTTATGTTGTGTTGTGTTGTGTTGTATGTATAATTGAACTTTGGTTCCAAGAGGGAAAAGAATTTTCTTACATAGGAAGCGGAAGTAAAATCCGCTTACTGGTCGGCAGAATAGACCTAGACCTAGACTAAACTGTCTAGGGCTGGCAAAGCTACCCAATGAAGCTCTCACACCACCCCAGAAGATTTGGATTGCCGTACCAAAATAGTTCTCGAGGGCATTTAAATAGAGAATGAAGAGACAAGGCAGCCGGTTGTACCTTCATGGAACTGCACGGGAAACTCTCGAGCCCGTGTTACTTGTAACTCGTCCGAACGTTCAGATGTTCAACTTCTGGCGAGTTAACATTGGTGAATTACTTTACTAGATAAAAGCATTGGGAAGAACAATCGTCTCCAGCATCAAACTTACCACACCACGTCTGATTGAAGATATCTAGGTAGCCATCCAATCGAAAAGATCATTTTGAGAAGAATGGGTAACACTGATCTCTGAATTTTCCCCTGGAACGGATAGATGTCTCTTTTTCTGGGGTTCTCGTTGCAAGTACCGTCGAGATGCACATTCATCATTGATAATGTTGGTCAGTACGATTCCAGCCCAAATACAAATTCACAGAACAGACATGAAAGTAGACATATGTCATATAATCTCGGTTTATCGTCCTTTCTTTTGGATACCCGTCTATCTCTACTATCCACAATCTATTCTTGACAGGAAGTGTTAATTGAATAGCCTTTATGTATCTAAATTGTTAACATAACTATAACCATACCCATACTACAAATTCAAATGGAAACAGAGATAGAAGATTCGGAGAACATACGTCAGAATGAATACGCAGTTTGACATTGATTCTCTACTCTTCATTAAATGCTGAGATAGTTATGTTCCTGTGTTTCCGTTTTTCTGTGAAATCTGTCCATCTGTGTGCCTTCTCTAACCATGCGCCCTGTATGTTTCCACCCTTCCCTCCTTCCTCTTCCATTTATTCTTGTCCACAACCTCATTCCATCTCTTGAGTATTTGTGCCAGTATCATAACTACGGCATTTTTGTGTTTCAACCATTAGAACATTCAACTTTTAAATTTTATATCATTGTGTTCGCCTCCAAGTACATCAAATGCTGCTGACGGGCGTGATGGCGACGAGATCTTATACCCTATATGTCCAGACTTGGCCGCTCCCTATCTTCCTGGAGATTTTTGTCGACCTTGGGTACTACTCTCGATCATCTGTCTGTTTCTACAATCAATCATTGTATCAATTACAAGTCCTGCCTACCTACCTACTGGCACAAATTTGGGGCTGTAGAATGAAGTTCAAGATAAGCTGGGTTCACTGATATCTTTTCTGCAATTCAATCTTTCAGTCAAGCCCCGCGATAGAGTCAGCATATGGAATACTCTTTCTAATTCGCAGACATGCTAATTCCTTTTCTTTAATAGCACGGATTTTCTTACTATCGAATCTCAATCTCTTCCTACGAATTCCTCGTCCTCTCCCTCGAGACGAACTGAGCAAGATTCGCAGCTTAGGACTGGCCTATTCTATATTCTATCCCGGATACGAGTGTACCACGAGAACTTAGGGTTACGTAGAGACTTATTACAAACTGAAGGTTGTAATTATATTGAGAGAGCATATCCTTATTCTCGATTATAACGTACACACCATCGAAATGTCTCTTGCGTACGATATCTACAATTCTCATACCGAGCAAGCAATTTTCCCCAATTCATTGGGTATAACCTATCATAGAATTCCTTGCGAGAGTCTATCCATAAATATACGTAGTGTTCCGAAAGTCAACCATCTCCGATTACAATTATTAGATTTACACTCTCCAAGTCCCAATCAACACAACCAAACACTACACTTGCTCCTTGATTTTAATTTACAATGACAATAACCATAAATCGTTTCAGTCGGGTGAAATAGTACATATAAATTATCTCGATTTTGGCATGTCGTTTAATCCCCGCATCGGAACATTATACGCGGGGCCCCGCATAAAATGACAAAATACGGGTACGCAGTGAGATGTCTTGTGCTCATTTGTTATTCCCGGGTTTTCCTAAATATCAGGCTTTAATAATTACCAAAGACATTCCGTTACGCAAGATCAATTAAGTAGAAGACATGATTCTGTTTCATTTCTCAATTCTCTGGAATTTATTGGCGGCAGATTTATCATTCTAATAAATCATCAATGTTTGAAGGTACTCAATACCATACTCCAAATTCGCTAACTTCTCGCGTATCGACCAATCAAAAAAAAGTACCCCTCGAGATGTCAACGGCCAAATAACTATGTACTTCCGCGATAACATGGTTTACTTTGACGGATTGCTCTTTTATCAGTTTGACCCTTCTTAATGTACCTGGCTCACCTTCTAGAAAGCATCTAATGTATTTCTCGAATCGAGATTTTGAGACTCAAATCATCAATGAGTATAGGGATTCGTGAGACTCACTTCAAGATGGAAAAAGTCACAATTAATCGAAATGTTTTGGGCCTGCGAGAAATCAAGTGTGTTGAGGTTTTTGACGGAATCTTTTCGTGTGGTTTTGGGGGGTATGTTTTTCTGTACTAGGCTAGATCATATAGTTAGATTTAATGATCGTGTAGTATTACAAGGGTATGAGAGTGATTGTATCATACAAACCGGGATAATCATAAGGTTTTAGAAGAAGCAGGGGAAGAGGGTAACAAGATCTTAAAATTTTATGTCTGCATTCCTACTTCCTTCTCTGCCTCAGACAAAAGGTCTCTAAAACAACTTATGCCACCCGCACCCCCAGTACAATTCTCCGAGGATTTGGGATCTCAACTTCATATATATACCACTATCAAGATATTACATATACTCCAGCAGCTGCCAGTATACGTGCGAGCCTATCCTTCTCACACACGCCTTTCATGTATCAAAACGAACCAACCACTTCCTCGAATGGACACGCAGATGGCAAAAGGGATTAGATAGATTCCGTCTTGAAATGCCCGTTACTCCGAACTTCGACATGATACATATCACCATACCAGAATCATAATATTGGCAGATATACCAGTAACATCGAGGCATTCGCAGACTATTAACCTCTCCGGAGACTTTTTCGAGACCTTTATACGAGACTACATTTTCGCGGAAGCAAAAGAGGAAGAGGATGAGAGTATCACGGGCTCTGTGTTATGGGATATAATCATTCTCGAGCTATCAAATCGAGGGGTATATACCGGTTACTCTCGGCGCTTCTGGACAAATACGTAAGAATCAATATCTTTCCCTGCCTTACACGGTGCCAAGTATGGTGTATCCTACACCGTCACACCGAAGCTGGAGATACATAAAAATGGGCAAAATCCTCTCTAGCAGAGGGTTCAAAATGGCAAGTGAACAGGTGAACAGGCGAACAAGTAATGCCTACTAATAACACAAGGAAATTCTGCAGAAATCCGAAATTCCCACCGAGTCCACGATCAATACGCACTCGCCAGTGTCCAATGCATGGACTCACGCTAACTACATCGCGCACACAAACTATCTATCAAAACTTCCCAACAGAATCCCCATTCGGAGGACCCGACAAGAAGAAGATCTCAGGGAAACTGATCAGCATACGAGAGAAATACTTTGGGAACAGAGCCGTGAATGAGATTGAGGTGGAAACTCCGCAGCGGATGAGTATGAGGGTTTTACGTATTCTGGAGTTGAACTTTCATAAACGGTTGAATGTGTGATAATAGAAGTGTGAAAGATACGTCGATATTGTGAATGTAGGTGTGCGGATGACATTCAGATCGCTGCTCGCTAGAAGGTCATGTACACTTCGAAAAAGTTAGGTAAAGGGTATTTTCGAATCGAAGAGGAATATTGAATTACATTGTTGAGATTTACACTGTGGTTTGAAAAGACCGGAATATAAATGAGCGGGGCAATATTGAATAGAAGGAGAAGAGAGAAAAGTGGTAGGGAGAGATGAGTCACGGGTGGAGGGGGAGTGATAGCTATGGCTGATACAAATTTGTAAATGTTTGTCTTCTACTATCACCGTGTCACTGCGCCATGACATAACAATTAGTCCATCCTACCTGGGCACATACACCTTTCTATCCCACGCATGATAATTTAAATTCCTTCGAGTATGTTCTCCAATATCTCAATGCAGAGGAAATATCAGTTTCACCCGGACCCTTGAGCAGTGCTCGCAATGGGTGGATTGGGTGATACAGCTTGGAATCATGAACCAAGGGTTGGGTCGAGCCGAGTGTTGTGAAAATGACAACTTGCGATTGCTAGGTTTTGGCTGGGTTATACAATTATTCTTATTGAAATAGATCATTTATAAGCCCCATCCATCTCCATCCACTATTTTGTTTCAATTGTTCAAAAACCTGGGGTTTGATGAACCATTCCTCAATCAATCATAATTCCATCGACAAATCTCAGATGACCCAATCACCTATTTCAAACCAGCGGGTTGAATAAGTTCTTGAAATTTGAAAAAGAAAGTGCGAAATCTACTTAGGCACGTACCCACTGCGAGCACTGCTGATGACACAGTCCATCATCTATAATCTATAAACTACACATATAACCATCATTCTACCTTTATGAATCTTCCGTCTCCTCTCCCCCTTTCGCTTCCCTTCAAACTCAAACCCCTCCCACATCCTATATCCTATATCCCATATCCCATATCCCATATCCCATCACCACCAAATTGAATCTCCACCACCAATCTCACACTCTCCTTCCTTTTTCTCTTCCTTCTCCTCTCCCCCATCCCATCCCATTCTCCATCCTCCAACTCCCTAATCACACTAATATCCCATCTAGATCCACGCAATCACCTCTCTATTCCCTCTCAACCTCACAAA